CCTGCCAACGCGCCGGCCACGAACAATCACAGCACACACAACAGAAACAACAGGTCGCCTTCGCCCATGCGCTCGCCCATCTCCTCCCATGGACCAGGAAGCTCGCCACCCACCAGTGTCTCGCCCGGCGAGCCAAGATGTCTTGATTCCTCACCCAGCCGTGGAGCTCGCGTGCCGCGCAGCCCGCCACCTTGTCCCCATAGCCCGTCCGCCATGCTCAGCAGTGATCTAAACGTTGAGACCATGAGACAGGCCCTGCGCCGCACCGGGAGCGGAGATCTAGGTGGTTCTCTCAGAAACCCTTCCTTGAGCGCAGCTGCAAGTGACACGGCCCATGAACGACCCTTTAAGTGAATGAAACTTGCATTATTGCCATGTTTTAAGTTATCCCATGATAACACACCCCTTGATTTTACTCTTCCTTTTTTTTCTCTCATCCTTTTCGTCCAGTGTCACTGTTTGTATGCGACGGTGCAGGCCCAGTTCTCTACTTTATCTCCCGGTTTGATACCTATTTGCTCCTCTCCCATCTCCTTCCTTGCCGCCATTATCGTGCACTAGTGCTCTGTCCGATTTTTCTGGCGATTCTGGTCTATTTACTTGTAATCTATACGTTTTTGCGCCCTGTTTCACCAAGCAGTACCTTGGTTCCTGGGAAATCCATATATTGCCATTCCTTATGATCTTGACCACCTAGTTATCTCTCGGCCATTGACTTTCCCTGGTCTTCTCTGGTAATAAACTCCACCCCCGTTCGTCCATATGCATCGATAGTTGATATCGCTAAGCGTGAGGACCCAGCAGGCATATAAAACCTCACCTAATAATGTAACTCACCACTGTGGCACCTTACTTAGTTAACGAGTTAATTCAACAGCAAGGCTCCATGCCGAACCTTCTTCAGCTGCTTTTCCCCAGTTTCTTCTCCACCGCTTCAAGTGCGTGTGTGATTCTCTTCTTCATATCGTCGACGTCCTCGAGCCCAACGCTGATCCTCACCAGATCAGACGGGACGTTCAGGGATTTGGCCTAAAAATAGATTACGTCAATAGGAGAATATATAATAGCACAGATTGCCTAACTAAACCCACCCAGTCCAGTTCTTGATAATGTGCCAGAATAGTATACGGGCAGCTGTGACACGTTAGTTAGCTTCAATACTTCACACACAAGACACACAAGACAGAACAAACCTCAGGGTGAAGTTTGTCCCCAGGCTAGGCCCCTTTAGAACCGCAAGGTTGTCGAAAAAGGTTGCTGCTGCCTCGGGCGTATGGAAAGTAGCTGAGAACAAACCTCCATAGCCTCCTCCCTGGTTACGACATCGGTCATAGAACGCCTTTGTTGGGCTGTTCTTCGGATAGTACACATCTTTGACTACACAAAGTAAGCAAAAAACCACAGCCCAAATTCCATGCCCAAAGCAATAACTGATGGACTTACCCAGAGGCGAAGCTTCCAGCAACGAGGTCAAGGTCTCCGCTGACCTATTGATCCGCTCAACACGACCGACAAAGTCCCGACTATTGCGTTCCAGGAAAACCGCATCCTCGGCCCAATAGTCATCTTCATACTCTTGTGCCAGCACCTCCTTGAGCAGCGTATAGAACTGTCCATGCGGATTGAACACTGCACTGCCGCCCATAACGTTGCTGTCTCCGCTGAATATCTTCGTCAAGCTGCTGACCACCACATCAGCAAAGGGGAGCACATTCACATTGATGAAGTTGCCCAGCGACTCGTCCACGACAACGGCGAACTCATATTTCCTCGAAAGGGCATATATGCGTTCAAGATCCGGTGATCGCAGCAGTGGGTTCCCGGGGAACTCGGTAAATAGAGCAAGATACCGCTCTCCTGCCTCCAGGCGTTTCTCAAGATCATCTATCTCCTCCGTCGAGCAAAGGCCGTAGAACAGCACTCCCGGGCCCCATTTCTCCAGGATCTTCAGCGTGTCAATGTACGGGAAGCCGAAGCAGATACTCTTCATGGGTCCACGGGCCTTGAGCAGGAGCTGGTGCACATTGAATATCGAGTTCATACCCGTAGGGTAGAGCATGACATGCTCCTCGTTGAGCCCCGGGATACGGGCGTTCTCAGGATTATGCGAGTCTGCCTCTGTCGCTGACAATGTCCCTGCAATCCGCCTTTTGACAGCCAACTTCGCGTTGTTAGCCAGGCACATGTCCAAGTTTCGACCAAACCGCTCTTCGATAAACTGGCTGAACTCCCCTTCGCCGGTAGACGTGGGCTCAGCTAGTTTAGTTGAACCGTGCAATTCAACTTTCTGGTATCTCTTTGGCCCCTTGTGTATGACACTGTCTGCCTTTGCACCCTTGGCTTGCCCTTGTCCCTGCGCCTGAGACTCTTCGACGAGATATCCACCATTCAGCGCTTTGAGACAAAATTCGCCGCGTCGACTGGAGATTCCCGATCCACTGTGCTGCCATACCTGCTTCGAGATACCGCCATACTTTTGTGGGTAAAGCACTGCACAAAGCTCCGATGTGATACCGTTGAGCTCTGCAGGGGTAATCTGTGGCGGCATAACAAGCCTTACAATACGTACTCCAGTCTTTTCGTCTTCGGGTATCTTTGACAGGAGGAAGTCCCTACAGCACGCAGCGGTTTTAGGCGATGGGAATAGCATGGCAGCGTCTCCCTGCCGGCCAAAACGGACAATCACCTCGTTTGCAAGACATTGGATGCTCTTATGGACGAAGAATCTTGGGTATCCTGTAGTCATGGCATTGATAACCTTTGCATCCCCTTCTTCATATCCCACATTGGCTTCCCACGTTGGAAGCGATACACTAATCGCCTATATAGATGTCAGCAGCGGTATCAGCCTAGGACTATACCAGCAGCCAGCTTCAGTAAAAACAAGGAGCTGGATGCGGATTCCCATTGCTAGAGTATATATGTATTATATCGTAGGCTCCCATATAATTTCAATACATGGTTGATATTGACTCATCGGGTATCACTTACATGGGCAGTGTTCGGAGGGACTGAGCCCCCAACAGGCTGGTCAACAGACATGAAAATTGAGCTCTTCGCAGCCCTGATATGTCTTCTGTTTCTTAATGGAGGCTTAATGGAGGGTATAGAGTGATAAGACCGCTGTTATGACTAGACTGCGTCCCTAGTAGGTGGCTGTCCAGGGATCATTCCTGGTAGGAGGAGGGCTTAATAGAAGAGAACAGTGGTTATCTGCTGCCCTTATATGCTCCCACAAACAACAACAGATATGGACATAGAACAAACTAGCCATTCAATCACAAGCTCATATAACAAACAGCTTTGAATTTATATAAAATGTTGAAATGAAAAAAAGACGCCGACCTCGGCCTTTTTTGGTGTCATTAGTCACATGTCACAGAATTACAATTGTAACTTGAAATTAAAACCAAATATTTGTAAATATACCGCCAAGCCTGGTAATACAGATACATAATATTTTCTATCAAAATGTCAAAAATATTTCTGATATCAGTCGAAAGATCAAGAGGAAGAAGCAAACACAACCAACGGGCGCAATGTCGGGTCCTACTCTTAAGCGCAGGAAGCTGAGCTCCGGAGAGGAAGAAGACAGCGCCAACGCGCCAAAGAAACCAAAGTCACCCGCTGTCCAGCGCAATGGACGGCCCAGCAACTCCGCCGCCGAGTATGCACTCGCGCGTGGGCAGTTCAAGTCGAGCATGTTCAAGCTTCAGATGGACGAGCTGCTCGGTCAACTGCGCCCTGACTACGATAAACTCCTTTCCCGAGTCGAGAAGAGCCTACGGAAGCTGAAGACCGTCATTGAAGAGATCCCAAATGGTACTCCGAAGACACTCGCCGAAGCGAAGAAGGAATTCGAATCCTCAAAGGTTGCGATTCCATTTCCAGAGCCTCCCCCAGCCAAGGACGTCCGATATACCTTCGAATATAGCAAACCGGTGGATATAAACGTTGTGGGAAGCTTTGCGCTCAAGACTATGGGGAAGGGACAAGGGCCTACCTGCATTGATTTGGCCGTTACATTGCCCTCTACGCTGTTCCACAAGAAGGATTATACTAGCTATCGGTACTTCTACAAGAGAGCATACTACCTTGCTCGCATTGCAGCAGCCATTAAAACTGCAGAGGATGTGGACTTTTCTATGAGCTATACATATCAGGACGGAAATACCCTTCGGCCGGTCCTTTTACTACAGCCAGCAGACGGCGCAGAGGATGACTTTTCACGGTCAAATTGTGTCATTCGTATCATAACTGCAGTTGAAAAGGATACATTCGCTCTTTCTCACACTTTTCCGTCGCATAATAGCCTTCGACTAGACAGCGAAGTTGAGCATAAATCAATTGGCGCCCATTCTACGCATATTTATAACGCATCCTTGCGTTCAGAAGCCGTAGTTAGCGCATACCTAAAACTACACCACTCCGCCAGTGTCAAGTGCGCCGCATTCAAAGATTCATGCATCCTGGGCCGGGCCTGGCTTCGTCAGCGAGGGCTTGGAGCTTCTTTTGCCTCAGGCGGATTCGGTCACTTTGAATGGGCCACTGTCCTTGCTCTTCTCCTAGAGGGCGGGGGTCCAAATGGAAAGCCCGTACTTGCTCCAAGTTACAGCAGCTACCAGATTTTCAAGGCGACTCTCCAGTTCCTCTCCGGAAAAGATCTTACGAAACCACTTCTGATGCATGCCCCAGAAGGGTTAGGTACCGTGGCTGATACTGGCTTCCCCGGCCTTTTTGATGGGAAACGAGGCTTAAACGTCCTATATAAGATGACGCCTTGGTCTTATAAACTCCTCCAGCGCGAAGCTACCTTGACTCTTAAGATGCTAAATGACTCAACTCGCGATCATTTCGACAGTATTTTTATCACGAAGGTCTGTGATGCCTTCTACAGGTTCGACCAAGTCATATCCATTACGTTACCTGGACGCCGTCCGCCAACAATCCAGGCAGCCGAACGATTTCAGTCCCTGCATCGAGTTTTAACGAAAGCCCTTGGGGATAGGGCCACAGCGATAGACCTCACCTCGGGTGAACTACCGAGCTGGGCTGTCAAATCCGCCTCACCGCCCAAGGAGAGCAAGAAATGGACCATAACTGCTGGATTGAACCTCGATGCATCTAATCAGGGTCGCAGTATTGACCATGGGCCTTCTGTCGAAGATAAGGAAGAATCCGCTGCTTTCCGGGACTTCTGGGGTGATAAAGCCGAACTACGTCGATTCAAAGATGGCAGCATCAAGGAGAGTTTGGTGTGGTCTGATCAGGCCTCTTCTGGTACCCCTGTTCAACAAATATTGACCTATATTCTCCATCACCACTTCAAGGTTACTCCGGAGAACATTGTTTATATGGCAGCAGATATTGGTCAAGCTATCCCTGGCATATCTAATGCCTTGTCGACCACATCAGCCTCTGAACCAGTCCTAGAAGCTTTCCAGAAGCTTGAAAGGCATTTCCAGTCCGACGAAAGCCTCCCCATCGCTTTCAGTCAGCTCCTTTTAGCCACTCCCCTCCTTCGATGCTCACCTGATTCTCCTGGAGCTCCTATGGACGCCGTCCTTCTGTTTCAATCCTCTTCCCGTTGGCCCGATGATCTAGGCTCGATTCAAATGACCAAGGTGGCTTTGCTCCTCAAAGTAGAAGAGTCTATCCGCAAAGCAGACGGCGTTATCGAAGCAAGAGTCGGGACAGAAAATCACGAAAGCAATCTACTGAATACTTCGTTCCTTGAGATCCATTATTCTCCGTTTATAATATTCCGTTTACGCATCCACCATGAACCAGAGCAGGCTATCATACAAGCCCAATTGAAGAGTAAGGATTTACCCGCAAGAAAAAAGGAGGAGCTTGCTGTTGCTCTCGCCGCCTACAAAGCAACTTTCCTCCAAGCCCCTCGCCATGCCCAGGCGCTCCAGAGCCTCTCAAACCGTTACCCACTACTACCAATCGCTATCAGGATGTTGAAATCCTGGATAGGCGCCCATCTTTTGGCTCCATTCGTACGTGAAGAGCTCCTTGAGCTCCTAACGTGCCAAATATTCCTTTCCTCCTACCCTTGGGATGCCCCTTCAAACGCATTTACAGCTTTCCTTCGAACTCTACATATGCTGTCTAAGTGGGACTGGCAGCATGAGCCCCTCATAGTGGACTTTAGCGGCGAACTTGAGAGTCATGACTTCACAGACATCCGCACCCGCTTCGAGGCATGGCGAAAAATTGACCCGGTAATGAAGAACGTTGCTCTCTTTGCTGCCTCGAATATCGACCCGGATGGTGTTACGTGGACACAGCACAGTCGTCCACCAAGAATCATAGCGTCTCGAATGGTCATGTTAGCCAAGGCTGCATCAAAACTCGTCAGAGAAAAGGGCGTGGACTTGGAAGTTGGTGAACTATTCCGCTCTCCCGTAGATGATTACGACTTTTTGCTCCATCTAAGTCCATCATTCGTTTCGGGCCGTCCAAATAAAGCCGCATTCAAGAATCTCCATGACTCAGCCTTGACATTCGAGTATGCAAAACACGAAATGGTTCGTGATCTCGTTGCAGAGCTCAGCAGTCTGTATGGAGAGCACATTCTGTTTTTCCGCGGCCATGCTAGCGAGAAAGTGATAGCAGGACTCTGGAATCCACAAACTACAAAGACACAGCCATTTGGTCTGAAGATTGGATTTTCATCTTGCCCGAAGAAGACCCAGGATGGGGAAGAAGTGGCATTGAACAAAAAGGCAATTTTGAATGAAATTGCATCTATAGCAGGGGATATCATTTCTAAGGTACAGGTGCTCCATTGAATCGATGATTTTTGGTGTTTGTAGAGGGTAAAATAGAAGATGACGATGAAATTGGTGTATATTGTGATAGAAAAAAGAGCCCTCCTTTGGTGATAGCAAAAAATAAACCGGTCACATTAATTATCCATTTAATTTTTTTCGCATTCTTCATGCAAGTTCATGATGTTATAGATAAGAGGGTATGTTTAAAAGAAGCCTCGTCGGCTTCCTTTGTCAGATTGTGTCGAAAAGGAACAGTAGCGGTCCTTGATGGATATAACTTCATATGTTCCTTCATCTGAAGCTTTGATAGTTTTCGTGTGCTCATGAGATATGTCATTCTTAGTGTCGAGAATGACACGCTTCTTGCCCTTGCCGTCATTCGAGCTGCGGGTATAACTAGAGAAGTATCCGTCAGTACATGGAGATTGGTATTGGAAGATGAGTATTAACTTACGTGAACTCGAACGGAGGAGTTCCCCAGAACTCAAACATGATCTCCGCTTCACCACCTTCGGGTATATCGACAACAGACACACCCCCACGGCTGATCCTGACGCTGGGCATCTGGTGTATCACTTTGGTGATATTCTTATGAACTCGGCACCTTCCACTAGCTCCATCACTGACTGATGTGATTTTGAATTCACCAGGCATTTCCGCAATACGTCGGAAGGTCGTGGCCTGGCTCTTTGCCTTTCTTGCCACACCATCGAAGGTGTAGTAGATTTCAAACGGCGCATGTCCGGAGAGAGAGAAGGATATTCTCTCGCCGACACAGTAATCCTCTCGTGATTCAAGAGGAATAATGGTTGGCACGTCAGAAATGGATACTCTGACTGATGAACCATCAAATTCGGTCGCCCTTTGGCAGCCACGTGAATCTCGGACTTTGCGGATGCTTATGACATGCTGTCCAAGATCAAGGTACTGGCGAAGAACAGGTAGAGCATATCGGTTTGAGTTGATGTTGGGGATAGAAAGAAGCTCCGGCTTCGCGCTTGAATGATGTTTGACAGCAAGTTCAAGCGTGAATGGGGGTATACCTTCAAGTATGATCGGGATTGTCTCGTCTTCCTGCTCTTCCTCCTTGCAGAATCCGTACACTTTGCTAGGAGACTCAAACCGAGCCGATGGACGGGGATTCACCTTCTGGGTGACAATAATAGGATTCTTTGCTTTCTTTTCAGGGCTATAGAGATTATCTCCGATTTCCAGGAACTTGTAGGTGTAATTTCCAGCCACATTAGTCCGCATTGGTATAGAGGCAGAGTTTAGGGCAGCAGTGAGACTTCTCATGCGGGAAGTTGGGTTCGAATTTCCAGCCTTATAGCTCTCTTCGTACCGAACTGTGTATGGACGGTTGCCACCAAATTTCAGCTCTAAAGAGTTCACGTCGCCTTCACATACTTCATCCTTTGCAATAATAGTCTGAGGCCCCAGTTTGACACCATCAACCTCAGTGATCTTGGGCCGGGCAATCCAGGACACTTCAAAAATATGCGCTTTCTCATCAACTGATCCAGGGCAAGTTGCATCTGACAGACCAATGATCTCATACAGTCCTTGATCCGTTACTCGAAGGACGCTGTTTGCATTCCAAAAGGTTTTCTCCACAGGGCCAGCGGAGGGGTCGAGCTTGTTCTGGTACTTCACTTTCCATGGAGCTTCACCTTCCAGTCTCAAAGGAAGATCTACCGCCTTACCTTCCAAGGCTAGAACAGTTCGTTTCTGATCTATCTGGCCAAATCCAACACGCGGTCTTTTCGGTCTGGCTTCAATCCGAATCTCCTCCTTCAGGGCTCTCTTGCAGTTCGATCTGTCCTTAACGCTGGTGAGACCAACAGTGTAAACACCGCCATTGACAAGGTCTGCAGTGGAAAGTGACGCAACATCGGTATCACTCTTCAGTTCATGCTTCTTCCTCTTTCCGTTGTGTACAACCTCGTAGTTCAAAACCCATGGCGGTTCGCCAACAAACATCACGTCCATTGAAACAGGTTCACCGAAACAGGCTTTGCGGCTTGTGAGGGGTCCGACAAATTGCGCAGAGGCAGGAGGTTTCACATCCTGCTCTAGGGCTGGTACGCTGTCTTTTAATGATCGAGCCTCGTATATGCGATCAGATATATCCAGGAACCTATATCTGTAGTGACCTTCCTCTGCAGGCTTCAAATCAAGTTGTCCGTGCAGGCCATTGATGGTGTGTACTCTGGTTTGTACGCCCTTTGAGTGTTCTATGGAATACCTGACCTTGAACGGTGGCGTTCCGATCAAATCGAGGTACACCAGAAGACCAACGGAGTTATTCGCACAGGTATCATAAATCTTTTCATGGCGGATAGCTAACTGCGGCTCAGCTGGATTGTGCAGGAAGCAGGACGATGGCTCAAAGACTTCACCCCGACAGTATGGGCTGGAGATACCAGTAATACTGTACCAGCCAGAAGCCTTGATTCTAGGCTTGGTGTTGGCATTCTTGAATTCATATTCATGAACAGATGTAGGCTCCCTCTTATCGCCATCCTCTCCAGACTCAGAAAATGAGTAGCTGAGAGTGAAGGGGAAATCCTTATTCTGGCCATACCCGGTATCGTGGAAATGAACTGGGAGGTCAATTGATTCTCCTTTGGCGATTTGGAGGTATGTTTGTGTATCACAGCCGGACAGGGATACCCGAGGCAGTTCATGAACGAAGAATTGTTGAGATTGCGGATGATGCTGAGACCAAAGACCCTCGTCAATATCCGGGTTTTTGGTATAATTGACAACATTCCCACAACCATCATGGATTTCCTCAATAGCATAGGTCCATTCCCCGAATGCAGTTAGGGATTCGTTCAGAGGAACTTCCACCTTTTGTTGGCGAGCCCAGCTGAATTTGGCCAGTACTGGATTAGTTGGCTCCTCCTCCGGTTCTGGCAGCTTCTGGTGGCCTTCTGGCTGAATGGTTTGGAAGGAAATCCCTTGATCAACGTCGTTGACGGTGCGACTGCATTTTATCTTGAACGGTGGAGTTCCGTGCATTGACATAGTGAGATCTGATAGCCCGCCCCTGCACTTGTGGGCCCCGCGAGTCAACATCGAGGCTTTGGGGCAGTTGACAACGAGAGTATCCATGGAACGATGATGAACAGCAAGCTTGGACTCATCCACCACTTTTTTGATTAGATAAACACCGGTCTTGCGCACGGGGTAGAGAAGATCCAACCATTCTCGTTGTTCTGATTTTGGATAGTTTTGGCTGGCCTGACGCCTGAGGGTCTTGGCCTGTTTCTCAGGGATAACAATCGTTTCGTTTGCACCAGTTTCGAGGTCAAAGCGCAGAAGTTCTATGAGGATGGGGTTGGTCTGGTTAACTCGGATTGGGAGGTTGACAGAATGCGCATGGCCGAGACACATCGGAACCTTGTCTGGGTTCAGAACAGCAGAACTAAAAAAGTAAGTCAGCAACTATATATAGAGAGTACCGGGGAGAGGTATACCCTTCCGGCAAGATATGAACGATATGTTTGCCTAGAATTAACGACGAGTTGTGTAGTATGTCATAAGGTTTAACGCGTTGTCCGGAGATAGAAAGCTCTCTGTCATAGGCCATTTTGAACAGAGAAACGACCCAGGCTTCCATCGGCAACTGTTTTGTCATTCGTCAGTATACTCCAGACCGATCGATGATATGCTTGTCTGACGTACTGGAATCTTAAACATCAAAAATACGTTCATCACCACATGAACCAGGAATATCGCCAATGTGGTTGAAAATGCCCACTCTAGCCACGGAATCCGCAGTACAGGCAGCCCAAACAGATATGTAGCATCTATGAGCAGCCATTTCAAAAACAGCCATGTAGCATCCCCCTCATCCGTAGACGTCCAGTATTCGTAAAACCGCCATGCATTCAACGCAGCATAAAACGCAACAACATAGAGTCGCTGTGCAGGCGCATCGACAATGTGAAACGGTATCAGAGGCCTATCCTGAGGCTGAGCGGCATTGGCAGACCTCACAACAGCGCTGGCGCTGGCGAAGTTGATCTTGCTTCCCCGGCCAAAGGGGACGGGCGTAACGGTTGGGTCATGGTAGCCGGTGGACGTTCGAGGGGTCCGTGGTTCGGAGCGAGGTGTTCGAGGGAAAGCCGAACGTAGTCGGGGAGTGTCACTCATTGCATTATGGTCTCTGCAGGGCCTCCTTTGATATGGTGTTTCGTTTGCTGGTGAGGCCGGTTAGAGGTCGAGACGCGTGCCAGGTACCATCCAGGCGACCGTCAGAGGTATCTACCACCGATTCCGGTATAAGTTCCGCCGCCGTATCTCGTCCGGTAGATCTCTTAAGGCAGTGGATAGTGCTAATGTGCGTCGCAGGTGGGCATGTATCTCGTCAAACCCTCGTCTTCGCTTGGGCTTCGTCGTCGTCTGGCTCGCTTGAAGCTGTGTTGATGCTTGGAAGTAATTTTTTTTATTTTTATGCAGCCCTGATTAGGTTTAGCGCGGTCACGGGCCAAAGTCTCTTCCGCGAAGCTTCAAAAACAACCTTGAGAGGAGACGAAGAAGAGAGAGGACGGAGTGAGAGCTGGCAGACGCGAGATGGGAGGGGCGAAGAAGACAGCTGCTCAGGAAGAAGGTCGAGATAGGGGTGGGAGGATGGCTGGTGTCCAGAAAAAAAGCACCGCGGAGGACGAGTTGAGGCCTCTGACCAGCGAGGAAAGGGACAGCTGGAACGGCTTCTGTGAGATTGAAAACGAACCAGTATGTGCTTATGCGGTGGTTGATAGATAAGCTAGAGAGTGGCTAACCCGACTACAGGCATTATTCAATGCGATACTACAGGACATCGGCGTCAAGGGAGTCAAGGTGCAGGAAGTGGTGTCGCTGGACGAGGAGATGCTGGCCTTCTTGCCGTATGTTTACACCCCTGAGCTACCTAGTAGTAGTCGAGGACCTAGTTATTTATGTAGAATAACTGCTGACACATGAGTTTAGGAAACCCATTTACGGTCTCATATTTCTCTTTCGCTGGAGAGAAGACGATCCTCACAAACAAGAACAGACTTGCCCGGAGTCACTATGGTTTGCCAATCAGGTAAATAGAAATCCAAGGTGACACACATTCCATGATAACGGTAGAACTAACGAAGTAGACCGTGGAAAATGCATGTGCCACCGTGGCGTTGCTCAATATAATCTACAACATCGAAGACATCGAGATAGGAGAGGAGCTGAAGTCGTTTCGGGAGTTTACCAAAGACCTCAGTCCCGCCATGCGAGGCTATGCGATTGGCAACTTTGAATTTGTCAAAAAGGTGCACAACTCGTTTGCCAGGTAGGTTGTCTGTAAGCATGATAGGAGCACAACTGCATCTGCTGACCAGTACAGGAAAATGGACATTCTCAACACAGACATGCTGCTCAAGAACCAGCAGAAGTGGAAGGCCCGAGGAAACCAGGAGCTAGACGAGTCCGAGGCCGGGTTTCATTTCATCGCATTTGTCAAGGCCAAGGAGAGGGTATGGAAATTTGACGGTCTCGAACGGCAACCCCAGAGTCTTGGTATGTCATCGGACACCAGTCCTATCCAAAATCTCCCATGTTTCTTGCAACATCGGCATCTAACTATTCGCAGGAAAATGCATGGAGGAAGACTAGCTTGGACTGGCGACGAACGAGATCCAGACGAAGATGGCAGAGTATGAAGAGGGAGAGATCGAGTTTTCCATCCTAAGCCTGTCCAAGGACCCAATGACCGGATACCTTGCCGACCTGGCATCCAACGTGAAGGGGCTCCAGCACCTTAACAGCCGCTTATCCGAGTTCGGAGATAACTGCGACGAGGCAGACCCTGAAAACGCCGTGCTGTGCGGCCCAGACGCGCAGTACGGGCTGACCCCGGCTATACTCGAGCTAGCATTGGTGCCCAGCGAGCTAGCAGAGACAGCCGAGAACGGCAACAGAGCACACGACCTCGACTCGCTTGCGCGCCAACGCCAGGCCCTCGTCGAGCAGCAACGCCTCCTCCGCACGCAGATAACGGACGAGCAGAACAGCAGACAAATCGAGCTCGACTACGCCCGCCGCCGCCGCTTCGACTACTCCGCTGCCGTCAACCGCTGGAGTCGCATCCTCGCTCGCAAGCGCAAATGCGAAGAACTGCTTAGCTAAGGGATTACTTAATGAATGATTAGTAAGTGATGCAGGGATCAGCTGACCAGTCCGTGCTTTTGTCGCCCCTTTTTTTGCTTTTTCCGTTTTTGGTAATTTTTCCTTTTATTCTTTTTTTTCCTTGTGATATAAAAATATTGCTCTTATTAACTTCGTCTTTTCCCACCAGGATAATAATAAGAGACACGAGATATAAAGACTTGAAGATAGAACCGAGCAGCCTGACAAGCAGAAAGATACCAATGAGCGCGTTGTCAAAGTGCCGCCAGGATGAAATTCGCCCACAGTTACGTGAGCACCCTCGAGAATGAGGGCTTCCCTTCGCAGTGGGTGAGGTCGGCCATCTCGTACCGCCAGCTGAAGAAGTGCATCAAGCGGGTGCAGAGCGAGCTGCTGTCGCTGGGACTCAGTCCAGATGTGCTCAATCGCTTCTGGCTGACAGAGGACGGTAGCCTGGCCGATGGCGAGGGAGATGGCAGGTTGGCCCGTGTGGGATTTGCATATTCGCTCAGGGGTATGTATATAGACACCCTCAAACCAAGCACTCCCCCCTGTTGAGAGCATGGGCGATCTCTCTCTCCCTCCCTGTTTTTTCATGCGTCACGCAAGCTTGTACTCATACAGAACAACAGAATGCAAATCTTCCTCCTCCCTGCGCCCCGTTCTGACGTTCGCCATGGGCTCGGACGATAAGCCCCCGCGTGAACTACTTAGTTATCCCGCCATCGCACAAACGGACAGCAGCAGTATCAGGTCCAACAGCACGAGCGGCAGCACAAGCAGCAGTGTCGGAAATAATCCCTGTATGGGTGAATCCGAGAGCTCCTGCACCACGAAAACCGACGCGGACGGGCCCTATCAGTCGATCGAGATCCCCCTCTCCTCCGACGCAGAGTTCTTCCGTCTGCTCAAAGCTGGTCTCTCTAACCTTGAGGACCTGCAGGCGCACGAAAAGAAGGACCTTGATAGTCAGGTCGGCCTGCTGCGCGAAAGTATTGTCGAGGTCACAAGTCCGGCGACTCCTGCCAAAAAGGCCGATCAGGCTGTCATCTATGCCTGGCGCGAAGTCTTCCGTATCTACATGGAGATGCAGGTCTTCTTCTCCACGGGCGAAGTAGACTCCGGCGAGCGATCGTCTGAGGTTGCCCGCCAGCGTCTCGAAGCCTTTCAGACGCAGCTGGTCAAGCAGCAGCACGCCAAGAAGCTTGGGCGCAATGGCCGGCGCGCCCTTGAGATGTTTATGCATATCAACCTCGCGGTGCTGCAGAATCTCAAGTTCCAGGAAATCAACGGCATGGCCCTGAGCAAGATCCTGAAGAAGTTCGACAAGCAAACCGCACTTCACGCGCGATCGGCCTTTACCAGAACAGAACCGTTTTCCGCCAGCAGTCTCTCAAGGTCTGTCTGCCAGGCAATCTCTGAGCAGATATTAGTAGTTGTGCCGCAGCTGGATGACTATCTTTGCCCTGTCTGTTTTACTATCTCCTTCAAGCCGGTCAGGCTGAGATGCTCGCACGTTTTCTGCATTCGGTGCCTAGTCGTCATGCAGCGCCAGCAACAGGACCACTGTCCCATGTGCCGAGCCGAGGTTGTCATGGAGGCAACAAGCAGTAGGTCTTCACCTTTGCCTTTGTACATCCTTAGCATATATGTTGTTGTTTTAAAACATACAGTAATCCTAACAACGTCATGTAGAAAACCTAGACCAAAAGCTGCTGACCTTCCTGCAGTCATCCTTTCCCAAGGAAACCAAGGCCAAGCAGAGGGAGAACGAGCGAGCCGCAATGGTAGATGTCTACGGCGAGCCTACCGACGTATGCAACATGATGTAACGCGGTCCAAAAAAGACTGACCGTTTCCCGTTTCAATATGCCACCTACCCCTGGCGATAGCGAGACTGCTCGTTGTCCCTGCAGAAAGGAAACATATCCGGACTACTTATACTTAAGTATGGCGTGCTGCGTATATGTACGGGGGGGAGCAACCGCACTCCCACAGCACGTTATTACCTATGCAGCCGGTAGCATGGCGGATGCGAAGGATGGACTTCCGGGTCGGCAAGCCTTCTCGGTTGCGCTCGTCGGCCCTACTTGATATCTCATCGGTCCATTGCACTAACTCACAGTTTACAGATCTCATGCCTATCACCATCAGGCTTCCCCAAATTCCTTCTGACAAAACGACCCCAGGTCCCACCGGAAACCCACAATCCTATCGAATTGACAGGGGAGCCAAGGATGGACTATTTATGCATAAGGCGACGTAAACAAAGCACGCCAGCGCCAACATGATACCAAAACACACCCTGTTCATGGAATGTCTTATTTGCTGGGTTTATACCTTGTCGAAAAAAATTCTGGACAGGGGGAATTCTTAACTCTCCAAACCTGACGGAATGACGAAAAAAATTTGAAAGAGCGGTGGGAAAGGGGGTCGTCTCTTGCGTCCTTCAGCAAATATCAGCCAGATATTAAAAAAAAATATGCGTCTCCGGCCGCATCCATTAGTTTTTGTCCCCGGAGACCTTTGAGATGAGCTGATTCCTGACCCCGGGAGTTAGTCAGACGCCTTCGACCGAGAGGCGAAAACTCGAAAGCCCCCTACTTCCACTGTCTCGTTAGGAGTATACTCCATGTGGTACTTCATAGCGAGGATGACCCCAGCCGCTTCGTACGGAAGCCTCCTTCTCTCTCTGGGAACAGAAGACTCTGCGTCTGCGTCTACTTCTTCCGTCTGGCTTTTCCCTCCCTCCCTCCCGTCCGTCTTCCCCGGGCCGCTGGAATGGGACACACAGCAAATGGTTCCTCCGCATTGCAACTGGCATCATCCTCGTCCGGCCAGGGGTATGCTGTAACTAGTCGCCAGACCCCAGCTCGCCATGGGCGCACTACCGTTGTTTAATGGCGATATGCCGGCCGGCGAGAACACACTATGCCCACTTATTTTGTGTATATTTAGACCACACAGCTGTATAACGACCCTAAATAATTAACTAGCTAATCTAATACCATGCCTGCCATTGCCTCCGGGACACGAATCGCAGCATTCATCAGCCCGTATTTTCCGCAGGCCTTACCTTGGACACGGAGTCATGCGCCAACGCTCCGTGAAGCCACGGCCAGGGATGTAGTTAGGTACTTCTGAGTAAACCCGGTCACAGTAGCTAGCTGGTACTGCTACCTGTGCTCTGCCATGCATGCTGAAGTAAGAAGACGGCGGGGTGAGCATCTGCATCCATCTCCATCGTCTCCATCTATGAAGCTGCGGGTGGCCGACGGAGCAGTATAAATATAGGGAGGCTCTTCGTCCGAATAACACTTTATCTCCATCGCCCCCATCTCCATCTACCTACACCTACCATCACCACCGCCATCACCATCACCATCGCCCATCAGCAACAAGAAGAAGTCTATCACTCTAGCTATAAGCTGAGGATAGTGACCATGCCGGGCATCCTGCTCAGCCAGTTCCCAGACGAAATTTTGCACAGCATCCTCACCTACACGCCGCCGTCCGCCGCCATCGCACTCGAGCAGACCTCCAAGCGCTTCTCGCACATCACCAATGCTCCCTTGCTATGGGCCGGCTACTGCAAAGCCTCGTTTCGCTTCTGGGATAAGCGTCATGACATCACCGACAAGTTTGCCAGGCCGGCAAAGAGCGTGCAGTGGAAAGAATTGTACAAGCTGAGGCATCAGATCGACCGCTCGACGACGGAGATACTGGACAGCATCCTCGCCAGCCAGACAGGACGCATAGAGAAGATTCACCGCATCGTCAGCTTTGGCTATGATGCGAAGGATACGCTGATCAGACACGCTGACGCTCCTCAAGACCTTGAAGACTACCTGGCCAGGAGGTACGTGTCTTTAGGTTGACCCTGTCCATGGAATATCAAGACTAACGAACGGCATATAGATACTACAGCAATGCTATACTCGGCTGTCTGCATCGAACGCTGGCCATTCCCACCTGGAACAGGCTCAGGAACGGCGAGGATGTGTCTCTCGAACACGCCCTGGGAGCCTTTGACATGTTCATCCTCGACTCTGGCACCGGAGATTTTGACGACGTATGTCCCCATCAGTAGTATACAATACTATAACTTTTACAGGGCAAGCTGACAGGAATAGATATCACGGAGCTTGAACAACATAGTTGGACGGATGAAACGCCAGTACCCTAATATCCTCGAGTACACGCCCCGAGAGCGAGCGATCATGACAGCAGAATACCTCCGAGAAAACAATCTTACCGGGATCGAGTCCGGCAGGGAGTTCTACAACATTGAGCACAACTTCCTGGGCGCCGCTCTGACCAGTGAACGGCACAACTCACTGCCTCTGATCTCCGCAGCTATATACTGCTATGTTGCTCAGAGACTCGGCCTCGATGCCCATCCGTGTGGCTTCCCCTTCCACGTTCACGTTATCATCCGCCCAGAGCCCAATCACGACCTTGCTGGCAATCGACTGCCAGACGGAGAAGAGGGCGACTTCATGTACATGGACCCTTTCCGCTCGACCAGCGAGACTCCCGTATCCGAGCTACAGAGCCAGCTGAACTTCCTGGGAGCCCTCACCTTGTCGCAGTCAACGTTCCTTCGCGAGTCATTCACTGCCGAGATCGTGCTTCGATGCGGCAAGAACATACTCAACTCCGTCCTGCAGACACCACACTTCCGTCAGACGTCTCTCGACATTGTTAACGTCAAGTATGCTGCCCTTTGGGCATCCATGCTCTTTGCCAAATACGCAAATCCCGATCGACAGAACATCCCCCAGGGCCCTGAGCGCCGACGAGCCGAACATCTGCCTCTACGCCGCCACCTGCCATCGCTGATGGAGCACTTTGCTACGGATTTCCCAGCAGACGTGTATCTCATCGAGCAGTATCTGATCCCGCTGTTCCAGAGCCTGCCTGAATATGAGCATCTACGCGAGAGCGTCAGCGTGATGAAGGCCAGTGATGAGATACCAAAGCAGGTCCGGCGAAGGAACTCAGCCAACGGCAACGTCAAGTACAAGGTTGGCCAGCTCTTCCGTCACAAACGATATGAGTACATCGGCCTTATTACCGGCTGGGACCCTGAGTGTGGTGCTGGCGAGCAGTGGATGGAGCGTATGGGAGTGGACCGTCTCCATGCCGGACGCCATCAGTCTTTCTACCACGTCTTGTAAGTTTTTCATATCTTTTTCCCCCTGAACAAAGGGAAAACAATACTAACGACATCCAGGGTGGAAGATAAAAGCGTCCGCTATGTCGCGGAAGAAAACATCGAAATATGCGAGCTCGAGGCTTCCGAAGTGCCGGATGCCTTCTTCAGCTTTGCCGGCAAATTCTTCAAGCGATGGGACATTGAAACCCGCCGCTTCGTGAGCAACATCCGTGATGAATATCCTGACGACTAGACTGCTCAATATTATCTCGCTTGCATCGGCTTTTTCTATATCAAAAAAAGAGAGAACAAAAAAAAAAAAGGATAAAATGCATCAAAACTACAAAAACATTATCGAAAAACCAAACGTTAACGAAGACACGACAGCTTATGATCTCTACTTATTATCATTTAGCTCTCTGGGTTTGGGCATTTTTTACTTCCGGGCTACGGATTGCTTGCTTGTGGTTCTTATTCTTTTTGGACATGAATTTGGGAACGAAAGGGGGCGTTGATATTTTTACATACCATACCACACTCTCCCCTCTGTATATTTTGATTATTATATTGTTTCTTCTGCTGCTTCTTTTCCTTTCCATGTGTGCTCCTTGTTTCGGGGTCTATCCTATTCTTTTCTGTTATGCTAACTCCCGGAATGATTGAATACCACCCGTCGCTTGAAAGCCGCGACTTCATCCTCGCCTAATGAAAATAATTTGCCTTGCTCCAGCTGGTTAAGGATCGGTGCATCCCATGTCCGCTGCAACGTCTGTATCAAGTTCAGGACTTCTCCTTCAAACTCGAATGGGGGGTTCTCATAGATGATCCTCTTCAACTGCTCGCCGTAGTCTTCATCCGCATCATCATCGTCGTCGTCGTCGTCGGCATCATCGGCATTCGGACAAAGAGATAGCCGATGCCTATCCCTTGTCTCCGCCCAGCTGTGGTCATCGTCTTTGTTCCCCCATGCAAATGTCTCGTCGAGAACCTCCCTCCCTACCCGGCCATATAGTAAGCCCTGCTCTATAGCGGCATGCAGCATAAACAGGACAGCAATGGTGCAGATATCATCACTGACGGATTCAGGGGCCGAGTCGCAAAGCTCCATCAGCTCAGGCAGGATATCACACAGCGTGACCGACGCTTCAACGTCAAACTCGTACTCCTCTGTCTCCTTGACAGCCATATGGTCAAGGAACGTCCGCCGGTTCTCATCTATCTGCGAGGCTGATATGGGCTCGACATGTTCAAATGCTCGATCCAGCTCCTCTGCAGGAGCAGTTTCTTGGAAGCTGTTCTCCTCGAGCCATCGTCTGGCCCTCTCGCTGCTTTTCTTGCGTTGAGCAGCCAGGGCCGCGCGAGACGGTAAGTAAGCCGTCCGCTTGAACCGTCTGAAGAAGAGGTTTGAGAAGTTGAGTGTCTTTATCTTGAATTTGATGTCGTCCGAGAGCGTTTCTCCGGGGTTGTTCGTCTTGAACAGGTGCAACGTAGCTAGTTACACCAGCCGTCAGCTTTTTGAAGCCCAGGTAGATATGAAACTAGACTCACCCTCTGCTATCTCGAGCCACCGGTCACAGCCGTGGATGCCCTCCTGCCGCTGCTCTGCGCCCTGTCTGTCCGCGATGCGCTCGTGCAGGATGGACGTCAGGGCCGCGCAGACGATGTAGTCCAGAATCATCAGGTCCACGTCCCGTCTCGTCTCGTCGTCGCAAACATCGCCCTCGTTGCAGACCGGCAGCGGCGCCCCCGCCCGTCTCCAGGCATTCGTCTGCTGCATGATGCTGTTGTGCTGCAGAGATGTCATCGCTGTCTGCAGTTGTCGATACGCAGTAGCAAGTAGTAAGTTATAAGCTTACCCCTATATTTACTTCACTCTCGGCTTTCCTCACGTCTTCAACCTCACCCTCCCGACCTCACCACCCCCTTTAATACCCCGATGCCTCCCTCCCGCCAGCGATAACTGATGCCTCATCTCCATCGCTCCGATGTAATCAATAGTTATATGCACGAACCAATTGTTGGCTCCACGAAAAAAGGTTGAACGGCTAACCTGCAGCAGCGGGCCTCCAGCTTTCCCCGGCGCCAATGGCAGCGTCCTGCGCCCGCACCACGGGAGCACCCTGAGCAGAGGCCGTCAGAGCGCTGCGGCGACGCTCGAGGTTCAGAGCAGGCCAGGCCAGCGTTGCCAAAATCCGCGTCTCGTGAGGTTTTTCAGTGCTTTTTCTTCCCGTCTCTCCTGGCTCCTTTGCGCTCGCTGCTCGATCAAAAGCCGCTTCTAACACGTCCGATTTGGCTAGTTAGTTGCAGCTTGCTTTTTCTCCTGCCTCCTTTTTCCTTTCCATCGACGCTGACTGCTGCCACACGCAGGTCGAATCGCCATCCTCTCCTTTTGCTTCTTCTTCTTCGTCTTCTTCGTCTTCTTCGTCTTTCTTCTTCATCTTCCCGTACGTCCTCGAGGAGTCGCGACATATCACGTGATACTCTTCTCGCTCCAAAAAAAAAAAATTATATCAGAAAAAAAAAGAGACAACAGCAAGATAGATCGGATACTCCCACGCGGCGCTCGATATCGGTGGACGAGTAGATTCATCTCGTGCGCAGTGGTGGCGGATGATATCACGATAAACACCCTCCGCCACGAAAATAAAAAAAGGAGTGGTTGTTGTTTTTTATTTTTTTTTTGGTCATACCTTTTTTTTGCTGCTGATGGGTCAAGGCCAGTCCTCCTCCCGCCAGGGTGCCGCAGATGAAGCTCACGATGCTTTCGAAAGAGACTTTTACGCGATCTTAGGGGTGGAACGGGATGCCACAGCTGAAGAGTATGCATTTTCCTATTTCAGCTAGCCGCAGACTTGTATATCTAGCCCTCCTTCAGGTTGCGGTTTGGTTTTGGCTAACTGTTTATATTATTATTGCCTGGTCTAGGATAAAGAAAGCATATCGACGAAAAGCACTCGAGCTACACCCGGACAAAAACTACGGGAACGTCGAGGAGGCGACCGCGCTCTTTGCGGAGGTGCAGTCGGCGTATGAGATCCTTTCGGATCCCCAAGAACGCGCCTGGTATGACTCGCATAAGGATGCAGGCGGCACCGGTGGTGATGCGGGCGTGCAGGGGCCAGAAAACTCACGGTTTACGGCGGCCGCTGATGTCATGTCGCTAATCATGAAGTTCAACCCTCGCATGGAGTTTTCGGACGCGCCCACCGGCTTCTTTGGGGGCCTCAATGATACCTTCAGCCGGCTGGCCAGCGAGGAGCTTGTAGCATGCCGGCTGGACGATCTAGAACCCATCCACTACCCCTCTTTTGGCCGTAAAGACGATGCCCCTGACTCTGTGCGCAGATTCTACGCTGCCTGGAGCAGTTTCGCCACGAAAAAGTCCTACGCGTGGAAGGACGTGTACAGGTACTCCGAGGCTCCCGACCGCCGTGTACGACGGTTGATGGAGAAGGAAAACCGTCGTCTACGAGAGGATGGTATTAGGGATTTCAACGACGCCGTCCGCTCGCTGGTTGCATTTGTACGCAAACGAGACCCCCGCTACAAGGCTACCGTCCAGAGCGAGGCGGATCGCCAACGGATCCTCCGTGAGTCCGCGGCCGCCCAAGCTGCCCGTTCCCGCCGGGCTAATGAGGCTAAACTGCGGGACTTTACACTCCCTGAGTGGGCTCAGTCGACGGAAGCAGACGAGGAGCTATTCCCGAGCGAGACCGAGTCTGAGCAGAACCACTTTGAGTGCGTGATATGTAACAAGACCTTCAAGAGCGAGAAGCAGTTCGAAGCCCATGAACGGAGCAAGAAGCACGTCAAGGCACTCAAGCAGCTGCAGCGTGAGATGAAGCTGGAAGACAAGCACCTCAACCTGGACGCGGTGGAGCCCGGGGAGATGGAGCCATTGTCTGATTCCAATGATGGGCACGAGCATGAGAATAATAATAATAATAATGAGCCTGAGCTGACGGGGTTCCAAACCCCAGCATCAAAACAGGAACTAAGCGACGCTGACCCTGCTGACTATTCTTCGGACAGAAGTGAATCCCCTGAGCCGTCGTCGGAGGCCAGGGCCGATCAACCACATCCTCCCCCGGTGGGTCAAGGTACAGGCGATTTAGACGGCGACGAGGTAGACGAGGAGGAGATCCGAAAACACGTCCTGGGCGACAACCAAGACATAGATCCCATTACAGGAAAACTATCCTCGCTCTCCACCGGCCAAGCTGAAGCCCAGGACGAGGGCGAGGACGAGGATGAAGACATCGTCCTCCCGGCCAAGAAGCCAGGCAAGGCCAAGCAGAAACGCGCCAAGAAGGCCGCTGCAGCCCAGGCATTGGGAGCAGAGCAGTTTGTCTGCGCTGTTTGCCGGGCGTCTTTTACGTCCAGGAGTAAGCTGTTCACTCACCTGAGGGAAGAGGGCCATGCTCAGGCTCCAGTAAGCCAGAAGCAGCAGCAGGCAGCGAAGAAGAAGAGGAGGTAATCCTCTTCTATGACTATGACTACACTCTGGTGGCTATGATCATGTTTGATGACTTGACGTATATAAATATATCACGCAGCGAATAAATTAGACGATTACTTATCTCTTGGTTTAAACTATTGGCGCAGTAGATACGGAGTATATCAATGTTTATATCGCAGTAATTAAGCACCTTGTGAGCATCCAGGGGTGTTGTTGCACGTAGCTGTCAGCGCGTACGGGTACAGTTGGAAGTATCGCAACGCCGACAACCCATGATCAACATGACCAGATAACCATTTAGGCCATCTTCTACGGTGTTGATAACGTATAGACTGTTGTAGTTTTTATATATATCGCCCGTTGACCGCGTATAGTTGAGGGGGTGTGGTTTGTTTACCTGTCGCCCCTGCTCTGATTTCAAGCAAAACAGCGTCGGCACCCACCAAAACCGCAAACTATGTAGATATATATGATCTAAAATGTAGAATGCAGCTATCTAAAAGGAATGGGACGGGTTTCCGTATGTAATATGGCCTGGTGGTGGTGGTGTTGTGATTTTCATCGGTTTTCGGGTGATTTTGGATATTTTTATTTCAAAATTTGATATTTTTATCTTTTGATTGAAAATGTACAAATTGACATATTGAACACAACTACATCAACGTCTCGAACATATAATATATATCCCTAATTGGGTATATAGGTTATATAAGATGGGAATATTCATTATCAGGCATAAAAATAGTGATATCCAAGTGAAATAGCAAGATTCATACATGTGTTGTGGACGTACCTTGATACAGTGAAGTCATTGACCGATGACACGTATACCGACATGCGAATGCATGTTTATTGCATGTTTACGACGAGACAGATAGAGAGTGAAAGTACATCTATTACAAGATGAAATCAACTGTAATCGCGTTGAATTGATTATGTATGTTTTTGGGCGAATATAGACAGCTACCACACCAGCCGGCCTCTATTACATCTGGGGTTATTTTATGTATCACCGACGCCAAACCCGATCAACCCTATCAAACAGCAAACAAAGCCCGTATCATATTAAAGTAAGAAAAAGCCATGTAAAAGAAAGCCCTGAATACGCCAGACGAGTCGAAGTGAGCATGTAAAAATGCCTACCCCAGTCCTGCCTTGGAGGTCTTGACGATGTGGATGACAGGCTGCAGGATGCCCTTGTTATCCGCGGCACCAAGCGACATTCCCGTGTTCCAGCCCATTTTCTCCAACATGGCGCGGCCACGGTTATCAGCTCCGATCTCAGGCGCAGAGGCACCCACGACGTCTCCGTCCATGTACGAGGCAGCGCGTGTCTCGCCGCGGGCTCTACCCGAGCGAGCACCACCGGATGGCCCTGCGCGACGCTTGTCAGAGTATCGGGTGATTTTTCTGCGGGAGAAGAGGGCTTCGAGCTCGTGGACCTCGTCTGGGTGGAAAGTGGGCGTGCCGCGGGTTTTGGTGAGGATGGGGAAGCGGTCGTATCCCTTGCCGCGGGAGATGGATTTGAGGGAGAGCGCGTTGGCCATTTCGTGGACGACCTTGCGGTCTTTCTTGGCCATGGGAGGGAGTTGGAGGCTGGAATATATTTAGCATCAATCAAAGCAGAGAAGTAGAGTTAGAATAAGATAGAGACGTACGTCTGGGTGCGGGACATCATGAAAGAGCGGATTTCATCGCGAATGTCGTCTGGCGTATTACCTCGCGGACGAGCCTTGCCGGACTTGCCTAGCAGACCCTGGGCACGCAGCTCCTCGCGCTCCAGCTTCTTCGCCTTCTTCTTACGCCGGTCGTTCTCCCACGAGGCGTGGATGTTGGACTCGAGTTCGCTGTCCGAGAGGTCGAAGTCAGGCATCTTGCCTCGGGCCTTCTTGCCCATGAGACTGGTGCGGTTGTAGTCCATGATATCGAAAGCGCCGTAGGGGTCTTCCTCGAACATGTCGGCGAGTTTCGAAGCGGAGATGGGTTCACGCAGCGAGGCATTCTTCCGCTTGTCTTTCTTCTTGTTCTTCTTGTTTCTGCCGGATGCTGCTGCGGAGCCTGATCTGGCGAACCCATGGGTGGTGAAGAAGTCGATCTCGTCTGCGTCCATGTCGGGGATGTCGCCTGTGTCGAGGAGGTGGGCGAGCTGTTCATCAGACATCCACTGCATGTCCGAGTCGATGTCGATGTCTTCATCGTCTTCATCGCCTGAACTGCTACCTTCTTCCTCCTCGTCTACGTCGTCTGGACCAGACATGCCGGGAGTCTTGGGAGTGACGGCTTTACCTGGCTGTTCGTCGTCGGACCATCCATCAGAGCTGTCTGAGCTGTCGTCACCGATGAGGTTGGCCAGGTAGTCTGCCACGGCATCTGAGTCTGCAGAGTCGTTGCCGAACTCGAGGATTACCCTGCGAGGAGACGGTCTGCGCCTGCTGATGCCGGAGAATCTTCGGAATCCCGTGTCTCTGCGGTCGACTGCATCATGGCTGCGTTTTGGAGGTGTCTGTTGAGCTGTAGACGATGCAGCTGGAGGATCGTTGACGACTCTTGAGCGGACCTGTCGTCTCCAGAGGGGGGTTCTGCCGGTGAAGACGACTTCGTCTCCGCTGGAATCAGGGGAATCGCAGTTGATAACGGGGTTGGGCAGCGTAGGCTTCACCGTCTTGTCTCCCTCTGTATCGATGATATAGAGGTCTTCTTCTCTGGACTCCGGCTTCTGATTCTCCCTTTCTGTCTTTTGATTATCTTTCTCTGGCCTTTGGTTCTCCTGCTTGTCAGCTTCTACCTGCTCAATCTCGACCAATGCTTCAACTTTGACATCCCCATCCCCATCCTTAGTATCATTAGTATCCCCCTTAGTATCCTCTTTAGTACCCCGGTCGAGCACGAGGTTATCGAGGTTCCTGAGGACTGCAGGGTCGTCCGGCTCCTTCTGGCCTCCGCTGACGAACTGGACTGTCTGGTAGCGGAGCTGTCGACTGCTGCGCTCGAAGGAGTGGCGTTCAGTATTGAGGGCTTCCTGGCTGAGAGTAAACTGGTAATGCTCTTCTACTGTGTCTACTCTTTCATCAGCTGTCTGTCTGCATCTTCTATCACTGTGAATGTCTTCTCACTTCTGTCAAAGGCCCTTCCTATGCCTGCAATGAGTTCAACAAGTCAGTCAAACCAGCCAGCCCAGAGCCTTCCACCCTCTCTTTGCCAGCATCCAGACTCACCTCTGCGACCTCTTTGCCGCCGCCTTCCTGGCATCCTGTAGCAAACACTGTCTGCTCTTCTTCCTCTCTTCTCTTCTTGTCTTGTTTGTTTCTGTCTCTCTCTCTTGATGTCTTCTCTTGATGTCCTTGAAGTGAAGTCAGAGTCAGAAAGACAAAAGAAGCAAACATCCCCACATGCGGCTATTTTTTATTATTCCCGATGATGTCGATGCTTTTGCTTGTTCACGCGGCCAAAAGACCAACTTATAAGACTTCAAGACTTTAAGAAGACTCTAAAGACTTGAGACTAAAGATTCAAGACTTCATGGGAGAGACTCCGGCTTCTTTGCTTTACTGCTGGCACTCACGTTGATGGCCGTTTGCTGCTCCCGCTGCTCCCGTACTTAAGGCAGCCCATGTCTCGCGGCAGTTGGCTTCTCTCTTGACCGGCTGGCTGATGACCGCCGGCCTCTGAGCAGCCTATATCTATACCAACCCAGCCCTTCTACAGCTTCTATATCTCCAGAGAGAAAGATTATACAAGAATACAGTGAGCTTGAGTGGCGATACGATGCTTCCTGCAGGGTACGATATACTGACACCGCGGCGGCTGAAGATGAACAACGTCGACCTGGGCAACCAGTACAAGAAGATCATCCAGTTCTTCTGGGATCCAGAACCGAAGAACGATGACAGCGAGCAGCCCATCTGGTGTCTGGGGTGCGAGTACCGGCAGGCAGAGACTCCGTGTCCTGCGCAGTCATCGGGAGAGCCGGCAGACATCACCAACAGAGATCTAGCATCAACATCAACATCGACGACCACTACATCTACAACTACAGACACGACGGAGAAACGAACATCGACGGACGGACCACCGACGCCCGGGTCAGCCATCTCCTCGTTCGTCAACCTGGCCTCGCCGATATCCTCTTCTATGGCAGAGAGCAGCACGCCGGCCTGGCCGCCGCAGTTCCTAGACGACTTTGAGTCGAAGCTGTGGATAACATACAGATCTCAGTTTCCGCCCATTCCCAAGACTCCCAAGACGGGCAGCGGAGACTCTTCTATATCCCTGGGCGTGCGTCTGCGCAGCCAGCTCATCGACACCCAGGGCTTCACTTCAGATACCGGCTGGGGCTGCATGATCCGGTCAGGCCAGGCTCTGCTCGCCAACACTCTTCTCTTCATCCGACTCGGACGTGGTATGTTCTTTCTTTCATTCTTTATTTAAAGAACAAGTGTACAAGCTAATAGGATAGACTGGCGACGGGGAAGCAAATTGCAGGAAGAAAGCGAGCTGGTGTCGTTGTTTGCCGACCACCCACGGGCTCCCTTCTCGATCCACCGGTTTGTGCACCACGGAGCAACGGCCTGCGGCAAGTGTCCCGGCGAGTGGTTTGGCCCCTCTGCTGCGTCACAGTGCATCCAGGCGCTTGTGAAGAGTAACCCGCAGGTCGGGCTGAGGGTGTACATCACCAGTGACGGGTCGGACATCTACGAGAAGCAGTTCAAGGAGGTAGCCTGCGACGAGAGCGGTGGGATCCAGCCTACTCTGATCCTGCTGGGTGTCAGACTGGGCATTGACCGCGTCACTCCCGTCTACTGGGACTCTCTCAAGGCTCTCCTCCGCTTTCCTCAATCCGTCGGCATCGCAGGGTGAGTTATCCTTTTATTCAATATCTATCTATCTATCTATCTATCTATCAATATGTATGTATCTAATAATATGATAGTGGCCGTCCGTCGTCGTCGCACTACTTTATCGCGACGCAGGGAGACAGCTTCTTCTACCTGGACCCGCACCAGACGCGGCCCTGCCTGACTCCACGCGCCGAATCAACCGGGGACGAGGAGAGCCATCCGTACAGCCCCGAAGAGCTGTCGACGTACCACACGCGGCGCCTTCGACGACTGCACATCCGCGAGATGGATCCCAGCATGCTTATCGGCTTTTTGGTGCGCGACGAAGATGACTGGGAGGACCTGAAGAGGCAGGTGAGAGAGGGAAGCGCAAGGGGGCGAATCATCCATGTATTTGACCGCGACCCAACCATCAAGGAGACCGAACGCGAGGGCGCCGAAGAGGAGGTAGAATCATTTGACGAGATATGACGACTTCCATCTGTAACCACTTTATCTTGATCTTCATCTACGAGTGATAGAATCTGATCTTGACCGTGACATACTGGTATAGACATGGACAGGCAATGATGACATTAACATAGCACTATCAAGCATCAAGCGGCTCGCCCGACGTTAAGAAATAAGACACGACCATCCGATCCCATGAGTAAAGTAACAGTATCAGTAAAAGAGAAAAGTAACAGGTAGTAAAGACAAGCCCACGAAACACCCATCCCACCTCGACCATGACATAAAAGAGAAGAGAAGAAAAAAGATGATACAAGAAGGCGTTTATCGGGCAGAGGAAGAGTACTTGGTGACGGCCTTGGTGCCTTCAGAGACAGCGTGCTTGGCCAGTTCACCGGGCAGGATGAGACGGACGGAGGTCTGAATCTCTCTGGTGGAGATGGTGGATTTCTTGTTGTAGGCAGCGAGCTTGGAGGCCTCGGTAGCAACGCGCTCGAAGATATCTACTCTTATTAGCGGTGATTATTGACTGGAAGTAGTATGAGTCTGCCTACCATTGACGAAGGAGTTGAGGGTGGACATGGCGCGCTTGGAGATACCGGTGTCAGGGTGGACTTGCTTGAGCACTATACAGATGTCAGACGCGTCAACAGAACAGCAATGAGAACAGGACGAGACGCACCCTTGAAGATGTAAGAGGAGTAGGTCTCCTTTCTGGCCTTGGTGCGCTTCTTCTTGTCGCCGGAGCCAGAGGCAGCAGTCTTCTTGCCGGCCTCCTTCTTCTCAGCGGGAGCTTTGCCAGCCGGGGCCTTGCCGCCGGTCGAGGGCTTCTTCTCAGCAGCTTTTGGTGCCATTATGAAGTAAAGTAGAGAGCAAGTAGAAGAGTAAGAAGCTGAGTAGCAGAGTAGAGTAGAGTCGTGAGTTGAAGTCGAAGTCGAAGTCGAAGTTGAAGTGCTGGTTGTAGTGTTGCTGGTTGCAGTTGGGAGAAAGAGAGCGAGGGCGAGCTTTATAAAGCGGGCGAGACGGCGTCGGCGTGATCTTTTTTGCGTGATCGAGCGAGAATTTCAGTACGCGTAACGCCTGCGTATGATCTGTATGATTAGGTTGGGCGTTTGCGGGCGGAGGGCTGGGCTGACTAAGACGACGCGGCGTAACTGACGGTACCGGTATTATTGATCTGGAGGGGCGAAAAAAGTTGATCTCGCGCGCTGTTTTTGTTCTTATAAAGCGATTCTTCTCTCTTTCTCTTCTCAACATCTTCAACTACAACAACACTCAGCACAGTCTTCTACCAGCGACTCTCAGGTCAACAAGTCAACAAGTCACTCTTCTCTCACCTCTTAATCTCATCTTCATCTTCATCAGCTCAAAATGACTGGCGGCAAGTCTGGTGGAAAGGCCTCTGGCGCAAAGACCTCGCAGTCGTACGTTCTCTTCTACCTACTACTTCTCTTCTATCTTCTAACTTGCTTGCAGTCGCTCCTCTAAGGCCGGCCTCGCATTCCCAGTCGGTCGTGTCCACCGTCTCCTCCGCAAGGGCAACTACGCTCAGCGTGTTGGTGCTGGTAAGACTCCTACTTCTACCCTTGAAGATCAAAGATAGCCTTGCTAATAAGATCGTAGTCGCTCCCGTCTACCTCGCTGCTGTCCTGGAGTATCTCGCTGCCGAAGTGCTCGAGCTTGCCGGCAACGCAGCTCGCGACAACAAGAAGACCCGTATCATCCCCCGCCATCTTGAGCTCGCCATCCGCAACGACGAGGAACTCAACAAGCTGCTCGGCCACGTTATCATCGCCCAGGGCGGTGTCATGCCCTACATCCACCCCAACCTGCTGCCAAAGACCACTCCCAAAGTCGCCAGCGTCAAGGGCGGCTCCCAGGAGATGTAAATTGTCTTTGTCGTTTTCTCTTTTCCTTTCTTACTTACAACTTTATGTTACTGGCGCATGGTTCCGTTCGGGGTGGGATAGGATGGTCTACGTGGTTACTTTACCCTTTTAACCTTTACTGCTACTACTCAGTGCAATGATGATGGTGTATAATACATTATCTCTTTACTTTCTCTTGTTTCCAGTAAATTCTACGTAAAAAGGAGGTAGAAGTAAGGGTAAATATACATTCTATTAGTTTTCGACCTTGGCTAGATGCTGTGGTTGTGGCTCTGCGAAAGTTAGTGATAGTAGGTGACTCCTAGATGCAGAGATATACGCACCGTTCAGCACTGGAACAGGCAGGTTTCTCTCCCACTTGGATCCTAGACACAGTTAGTATGACAGCAGCAGAGTAACAGACGACTGAACTCACCTCCTGGGGCAGTTGGCGCCCGGTAAGGGTCGGGATGCTTCCACTTCTCCAGCAGTTTTTCCGTTTCTTGCAGCAGGACCTACATCCGTCAGTCGACCACCACTACCACCACCAAACAACAACGAGTAAAAGGGACAACGCACCCGCTGGTCGTGAGGATTCCGGACATGCCTGTTGGCCTCGAAGAGCGAGCGGATGTAGACAGCCTGGCCGCGCCAGAGGTTGCGGTGGACGGCCCAGTCAAGCGACAGCTTCAGCGCGCGTTTATACAGGACTCTACTCTCAGTCAGTATCTCTTTTTTCCCTCTTCAATGGTATCAACAGGACGTACAAGGCTGGATGGCGGGCCATGGCTGCAGCGGTAATGTCAATGGCTTCTGAAGTCTTCTTCTTCTTCGTCTTCTCGTCTTCGTCTTGCGATCTGCTGCAGGTCGTGAGGTTGACTTCGTCGCTGGAACATGGATATTCCGGTTTCGTCCGCATCGTCGAGCCCAAAACATAAAACATCGCCGGCCCTGCAGCAAAAGCAAGACAAGAAAAATCACTTCTCTTCACTTCCACTCTACCTCTCTATCTCTCTACTTCTTCCTACGCCAGTAGAACACCAGAGTGATACTTAATCCCGCCATGGCTTCGAGGAGAATATCCCAATTGTCCGGTGCTGTCCTGCGCCAGACGCCTGCGCTCGTCCGGCCGCAGACCTGCCGCTGCTTCTCGTCACTGCGCACTGCGTCGAGACAGACACCGCTCGCTGCGTCCTCGCTCTCCCGTCTGGACTCCTTCAAGTCGCAGTACGCTCATGATTCCTTTGATCTTCTGTTTTTACAACTTCCTCTGACTTGCGTGTTGTGGTAGATACGTCGTGCCTCGATCCATCGGCCAGATACGCACTTACGGTACATCAAACTCCGTCACTTATACAGCAGGGCGAAAAAAACCGGAGCTGACTGACAGATGACCCTTAGCCGATGCAATTGTCAAGGTCCCGCAGATGGCCGAGTCCATCTCAGAGGGTACCCTCAAGCAGTTCTCCAAGGGTGGGTCTATGACTTTGCTGCATTGCTTTGTATTATTTACTCTGTATTGCTAACCAGTGTCTACAGAGATCGGTGACTACGTCGAACAGGACGAGGAGATTGCTACCATTGAGACTGACAAGGTGTGTATATCACGCCCTCCAAGGCAGTGTGCATTGCTAGTGTGATCATCGCTAACTGGTTAGATCGACGTGACCGTCAATGCCACCGAGTCCGGCACCATCAAGGAATTCCTCGCCGCAGAGGAAGACACCGTCACCGTCGGCCAGGACCTCGTCCGTCTCGAGCTCGGTGCTGCTCCAGAGGGTGCCAAGGAGAAGCCTGCCCCGGCTGCTGAGGAGAGCAAGCCCACTGAGCCCAAGCAGGAGACTGCCGCCCCTGCTCCCAAGGAAGAGCCCAAGGAGCAGCCCAAGGAACAGCCAAAGAAGGAGGCTGCTCCAGCCCCAGCTCCAAAGCAGGAGAAGAAGGCTCCTGCTCCCGAAGAAGCTGCCAAATCCACCCCTGGCAGCAGAGAAGAGCGCAGGGTAAGCTTCTCTATTTAATCTGGTATCTAACTCAGTCCATTCTAACGTGTACAGGTAAAAATGAACCGTATGCGCCTACGTATCGCCGAACGCCTGAAACAGTCCCAGAACACCGCTGCCTCCCTCACCACCTTCAATGAAGTCGACATGTCCTCGCTTATGGAATTCCGCAAGCTCTACAAGGACGACGTGCTCAAGAAGACCGGCGTCAAGCTCGGTTTCATGTCCGCCTTCTCTCGTGCCTGCGTGCTCGCCATGAAGGACGTTCCCGCCGTCAATGCCTCGATCGAGGGCCCCAACGGTGGTGACACCATCGTCTACCGCGATTACGTCGATATCAGTGTTGCCGTGGCCACGGAGAAGGGTCTTGTTACTCCTGTTGTGCGCAACGTTGAGACCATGGGTCTCGTTGAGATCGAGCAGTCCATTGCTGATCTCGGCAAGAAGGTAGGCTTCAAATATCTTATTTTATATTTGCTTTGTGCAATAACTAACCTGTATAGGCACGCGACAACAAGCTCACCATCGAGGATATGGCCGGCGGTACCTTCACCATCAGCAACGTAAGTCTCCCTTTAAACAATAATCTATATTCTCTACTAACTTCTCTAGGGCGGCGTCTTTGGCTCGCTCATGGGCACCCCCATCATCAACCTTCCCCAGACCGGTGTTCTCGGCCTACACGCCATCAAGGACAAGCCCGTCGTCGTCAACGGCAAGATCGAAATCAGACCAGTAAGCTAGCCATCATCTTCCACCAACATATCACCTTACTAACATCCATAGATGATGTATCTCGCCCTCACCTATGACCACAGACTGCTCGACGGCCGGGAAGCAGTCACCTTCCTCGTCAAGGTCAAGGAGTACATCGAGGACCCCCGCCGCATGCTCCTCTGCTAGACAACCACCGACCAACAACAATAACCCACCCTAACCCCCTTACCATCATCACTCCCGACCATACTGTAAATTCTCATCTTGGCCGAACCCATCATATTCTTTTTCATATGTTTGTTTCCATACTCATTTACACCATATCATCATGTCGTTTCCTTATGTACAACAATAAACCCAACCCACGGTCATCTGCTTACTCTACTGTTGCCATCTGTGAATCGATACATGCCTCAAAATACCAATAGAATTAACGCCTTACGTCTTATATCTCTATCAATCCTGACTTTTTGATGATCATTTTGAGTTCGTAAAAGAAATATCTCGTTTCTGATTGGCTGGCGTATTCGCGTTTGATGACTAAGCGTATGCGTTGAACGCGACTTTCCCTTTTTCCTATTTACGCGCGAGAATCAACAGATTGAAAGACGGCATAACTTGGATGGTTGGTTGCAGACAGCGTTTGGAAACAAGACGAGAATGGATGCAGGTGCAGGTGCAGCTACTTCTCTCCGGGCAGAGCTGAAGCAATGGGAGAAGACCTTCACGCTGCAGAATTCGCGCAAGCCAGGACGCGAAGACATAAAGAACAACCCAGCAATTGGTAGGTCACCACTATCTATCTATCTACCAAGCAGAGAAGCCATGTTGCTGACTGCATACCAGCTGAGAAGTACAAGGAATACGCACGTCTACGATCAGACGGCTCGCAGAAGACAGGCAAGGAGAACGGGAAGGAGAAAGAGAAAGAGAAAGTAAAAGCCAAGTCAGCTGTAGTAGACCAGCAGACACCCAAACGCACGAAACGACACTGTCCGTTCGAAGATGATTCACCCAACGCAAAACCAAAGATATGTACGCCCAGCAGAGCCGTGACGACAAGAGTAGGAGAAGCACACCCTTCGCGACTGGACCCGTACGACTCGCCCTCGAGTATCCGTCGTTTGAACGGTGCACGGGATCCACTGCCTCTCTACGACGCTATTGGGCCTACGCCGCAGAGAGACGGGAGGGCATTGGGTCTGTTCGATCTGCTTGGTTCACCTGCCCAGAAGACACCCAGGGCATCAAGGCAGTCTGTCGGGAACGATAATACTCATGGCAACGGTATCGGGGTGGCCCAGACCCCATCGAGGAAAGGGAAAGTACCAGGCACACCATCGAGTAGAGGGACACCAGCAACAGCACGAAGACTGAGATACGCATCGACGCCGCTATCCTCGGCCCGCAAGTTTTATTTGGCAAGCTTCTTCGCTACACCCACCGCGAACCGATGCACGACTATACCCGAGGAAGACGAGGATAATAACGCTGCTGGCGGCGCGGATCTCGCTTCAGAAACACCCTCGTTCTTGAGGCGGAAGAACATATTCTCTCCCAGAGCGAAGAATAATGTACCGACCCTGCATAGTCCGGGCCCTGTAGCGGTGCGTATGCCGCAGAAATTATTCGGGAAGGGAATCAGCTCGTTTGCGAAACGGTTGCAGGAGCAGAATACGGAGAAGAAAGAGGGTGCCGAGGAGCAGTCTGAAAAACGTGTTGAGGAGACGCAGATCTTCTCGGATCAGGATCGGGATGTCAACAACGAGGATAACGGAGATGGTGATGTTCACAAGTCCCCGTCGAAGACGCACAAGACGTATAAGAAAAAGGGCCAGAAACGAACAACTAGGCTTTCTCGTCTCAAGCCATCTCGTGCAAAACCAGCTGCTCAACCATTATGGGAGTCTCTAGTTGAAGAGAGTGAGGACGAACTTGCCGCTGCTGACGCGGCTGCTCCTCCGGCAGAAGATGATGGTTCAAGTGATGATCCCGATGGCGATGAAGCGTATATCCCCAAGAACCACGAAAAGAATGCAAAGAAGCCAGCCAAGTCTGCCTCTAAGGCTGCTGCGGAGAAGAAACCGAGGAAGATCAAGGCGGAAGCCCACGCCAATTACCGCTCGTTGAAGATTCGGAGCCGAGGCGGCCAGAAGGGAGGCGGCCGGTTCGGTAGGCGATGATATGGCGTAAATAATGACCCTGAACGACGCAATGACTGGCATAAGCATCATCCCGTATATAAAATAGCATAGCTCTGGCGTTCCATACATAGTACATATTGTATCATAATATCCCACTTTCGTCGTATTGAACCGCCGCATCCCACTCCCTGAGTGTCTCAAACGGACTTCTCAGCCAGGACTGCAACTCATGTAGGAATAAACATGCGTATTCCCTGCCCAGAAAATCCCGTAGCATCATCTCGGCCTGTCCCGCACTGCCCTTTATATCAACCGTACGTATAACGGCAACGATATATTCAAGCAGATACTCCGGGTTCCCGATTCGAACAGCCCCGTCAACCTGCCTTTCAGCCTCCGGCAAATTCAGAAAAGTAAATACCTGCAGCTCACGCCGGATCCACCTGCGGGCCCGCGAGAGCAGTTTTTCATCTCGATCAATCATGCGAGGAGTAACTTCTCGGTAACCCGTGCGTCTACTCGAACCCACCCGTAGACTATACAGCTGATGCCGGTATATATGCCGACGGCGCAACAGGGCAGAGTCTAAGTCTCCGTGACTAGAACGAGATGATTGCTGTCTGCTTCTGCGTCTGTTTCTGCTTCGGAGACCATGGATATTTTCTTTGTTTGCCGTGGGCGGAGAAGTTGGTATCCAGATTATCTTCTCGCCGTCTGGAGCACGTATATCATACTTCACTCCGGTCACCGCCGTCTGGCCTGTAGATCATGATTAAAAATGTGTCAATATTGAAGTAGAATTTCGTACTTACATAAGGGACAAGCAGGGCGTTGGCCTAGCCATATCAAAAGACACTGTAGATCGAAGTTGGAGTGTTTACATGGAATTGCAATGCATATTTCTTCAATTTTATCCAAACAAATTACACACGGCTTGCATTCATCTTCCTCGCCCTGATCGCTCCGACGGACGTCTGCTATCATTCTGCACAGCACATCCCGGCTCCCCTCGACATCCTGGGCCATCTGGAATGCATCTCAAGCGCAAATCATGCAGTAAATCATAGAAAATATGAAGTCGAGGTCAGGAATTTCCTCTTTCGGCAATAGTCACGTGAACATATTATTCAGCTTACATAATACATTTTGCAAAAAAAGGAACGAATAAAAAAGCAAAAATAATTTTTTTCAACCTGGAAAAACTTCGAGGTTTCTTGGATTCTCGCAAGCGAAGGAGGAGAAGAAGTCAAGCGAACGAGCTGCGGCATGAGATCTCAGGCATCTCGACGGCTCGACTCGACTCGTTCGTGATACACACTGCGCGACACGACTGACAAGAGTCTCTTATGCTCAAAGCACTCCGGTCACCGAGATTTGCAGCCGCTTACGCCCAGATGGCGCCAGCTATAGCCAACAGCCCGGCGCGGTTCAACTCCCAGAAGTCGACGACCTACTCGACAACCGCGCTGAAACGATGGTCGTGCCTTAATGAAGGCGTCCTTCCCTGTGGGTGTCACAACTGAACGCAGGCCATGATTAAGACGTGCCTTATCGTGGGACGTTGAGAGTGCAGTAGCTAACGCGGTCAACCGTTTTCAACTCGCAGCCATCCCGGATATCAAAACCATTCACGTCTATGATTTTGACAACACCCGTACGGAGACACCCTGGATATGCTGTATGACGCGAAGACGCGCTGGCTGACTGCTCTATCAAAGTATTTCTAAGCCCCCTGCCCAACCCACAGCTGTGGAATGGACCTACAATAGGCTTCCTGCAATCGTACGAGTGCTTTTCAAAGGGCGGCTGGTGGCATGATGTGAACATCCTTGGATCAACAGGCGATGGAGTCGAGATCGAAGAAGCCCGCGCCTGGGCAGGATGGTGGAATGAACAGATAGTATGATACCCGTTGACCTGTGGCTGATATTTCATACATGCCCAAGTGGTGAACCACCGAGCTGACTCCATACCCTAAAGGCACAACTGGTTCAACTGAGTATGAAACAAAAAGATGCTCTTACAGTTCTTCTGACAGGCAGATCTGAAGCTGGATTCGCCGAACTTATCGGACGCATGATCAAGAGCAAACAGTTGGCCTTTGATCTGGTCTGCTTGAAGCCAGAAGTTGGCCCGAACAACCAACGCTTTGCATCCACTATGAAGTTCAAGCAGAACTTCCTAGACGACCTAATGCGTACGTATAGGGAGGCTGACGAAATCCGGGTTTACGAGGACCGTGTAAAACAGTAAGTCATGCGTGCCGGATGAAGCCCTCTTGAGCCGAATAAAAAAAGTTAGTCCTCTTCTTTAACCAAACTCACAACAAACAGTGTCAAAGGTTTCCGTGAATATTTTGAGCAGTTCAATAGAGATGCCGCGACAGGCGGTCCGTCTGCTACACGAAAACCCATCGCCGCTGAGGTGATCCAAGTAATGGAGATGGCCAAGTATCTGTCTCCAGTGACCGAGGCAGCCGAGATCCAGCGTATGATCAACGCACACAATGGATCGCTGGGAAATCCAGGTGCAAACATCACCAAGTCGCCCTATGGCAGACTTGAACTGTCCAAGACCACATTTTACACAGGGTACCTCCTGTCAAATGCCGACGCTGTTCGGATAATAGATAACATCTTCCTTCCACTAATTTCATCCAGCGTTGCTGACACCAGTGAAATCAAGTTCATGTCGAACAATATCCTGATCACGCCACGGTCTGCTCCCAAACCCATCCGTGACAAGGTTGGCGGACTGGGGAAGGTCGTCCGTTGGCGTCTCACGGACACAGGCCATTTTGAACACAAGCTATGGGCCGCAAGAGTAAGCCCGCTCGATAGTTCAGTGGTCATCCACACTGATAATCCAGAACCCATCATCATTCTTGGTATGCGCAAAGGCGTACGGCCGGCAGATGCCAACAAGATCCGTAACTGGACGCCAGTTACCAAGGATGATTCACTAGTATTCGACACGGTAGTCGGTGAGAAGACCATTCTGCGCGTGCAGGAAGAGGATGTAGCACGGAACGGCGCTGCAAGCCGTGGAGGCAAGAGAAGATTCCAGTCAGTCACTCGTGATGAGGCAGACACATCTACGCGGGATTACCGCGATATGCAGCAGCATCGGCCACCTGCCCCTGAATATTCAGGTGGGAGGCCCCCCCAGAACCACAATAACCGCCATTATAACGGACCACCACCACCGTTCCGTGGGAACCGTGGCAGAGGTGGACGAGGTGGAAGAGGTGGCCATGGCCGTGGTCGTGGCCGCGGTCCAGGAGGTAGAGACAACTACGGATCCAGGTATAGATCCCTGGATGACCATGCTGTCGCGGCTGGCAGTCACGATAACATGATGGACGGGAGAGGACCTGGCAGGGGACCTGGTGGTGGCCCAGTGATGAACTATTAGCGGAGTTGTTTCTTTTTTCCAAGTCCCAGATACCATTTTCGTGGCTTTAGCTTGTATCAGTATTTTATGTTTCTTGCTCTTTCTATCGGAGTTTGCTGCATCTGTGAAATCCGATACTGTCGACGGTGTTTGTTCTTTCATATCTACGCCATGCAGGTTGGCTGATGACTTGACTTTAGGTAAACAGCATTATCATTCAATGCATTTGCATTCAATATTTCGGCTTCACTGCAGTATTCCTGGAGTTCTTTATCCCTTCACCGCTGGTATTCTTTCTTGGCTGCTGCTTTGGGACAGTGAATATACCCTATTAACTGCAACAAAGGGCCTGCATAGCCTGTCTCAGCTATAAAAGGAGGCAAATTCTTTTCCTGTTCTCAAATTTTTCTTCTTCCCTAAATATTTTCTCAGGACATTCTCAAGGGCCCTGATGCCTATATACCTATATACCAAGACCAAATGGTCTTCAGGCTATATATTTGCCACTACCTCAGACATCACTCTTCCTTGTACATATCTGGTCTGAATACGACGCTCCTCCCTTCCCATAGTGGCCCTCTCAATTGGCATAAAGAAAAGGAGCTGGAAGAGGGCCCTTTTTATTCGATATGGTAGTGCCGAAGAGGCACATAAGGCACCATTCCCATGTTCTTGGGACCCTTACCATGTCTGCTATCGTGAGGGTATTGGAAAAATGTGCTTGACCAGGACGGAATCACGAAGTCTGACACCTTGACTCGTTGAGCATTATCCTGAGGTCTTGTTCCCGGATGATGATGGTCCGGGCCACGGACTCCCGTTTCCTTACAGCAGACTGCCAGAACAGGTTGTTCTGATGGTTTGTCTTCCACTAAGAGAAAAATCAACAAAATGGCCATACGACTTTAAACACCGTGGGCAGCGCTTGATAGCTCAGGGTAAAGGCAACTCTGCCGTTTCCATCATTCTAAGGTGATCTCAGTGTCAAGAACAACCTAAACGGACCGGTAAAAATCAACAAGGAAAGATTTGGATGCCTTGGTCTTTGATATGCCTCCGAATAAACAATGTTGTTATAACACTGGGACAGGGACGGCACCATCGACATCCTTGACGCCCTCGGTGGCTCAGTTATATTCTCTTCGATGGATATAACCAAGGGTTTTTAATACCAGAACTCGCACTGGCGAGCCGAAGCCTTCTCCTGCAGCGACTTGCATCTACAGAATACAGAAGAGCTAGATCAGTTTATCAATCGACACGTCATTGGAACGGCATTCCGCACTGCCGATGTCTACCCAACTGGATATAATGGAGTCTATAGATGCCTATTACGACGCCTAATGGCGGCTCTCATTCCCCCGGTGCTGCAATGATTGGATGACTCTCGGACTCAAGTCATTGATCGAACACACAATTTCGCACTATCCACGTACTACAGTGAATTTGGAAAAAATTTCATATTCGAGATATTTCGACGAGGCTTCTTTGGCACATGGTCTTAGCAAAGATGGCATGTTCAGGCTTCCGGGCGTTCGAAAAAGCATCAAGCCCTACCAGTTCTAGATACCATAGTGGACGGTGACCCAAGAGCGCAATGATTTTTACGGCCCGGCGTGCTCGTCAGGAGGCTAGAGAGCGCCTTCGGGTGGAGGAGCAGCTGGAAAACCAGCTCCTCGGGGACTCGTGAATAAAGGGAATAAGCAGTCTTGTGCCTGCAATGCTTGCTCAGGGCGTTGTTTTGATGCTCCTCGTCTTACTTCCCCAGAGCAACCGATGATACCATATGACGCTCCAAGCGTTTGAGACTGACTCTTCTGTTTCCCTAGTCGCCTCCCCTGCTGGAGATATTCAAATCATTTTGGTGATGCCAATGAGTTCTGTGTACTTGCTGGTCGCACCCACTGCCGCCGTTTAATTGCTGCCCAACAGCGCTGTGTACCAGTGAGTATCCCTGTCGTTTGCCCTCTGAGCATCCTCTGGCTACTGCGTTGCTAACCCCGGGTTGCAGCTACCTCTTACTGGGCGTTTGCGCCGCTTGATCCGTCTTCGAACCGCGCGTTGGGCAGAGAATGAACTTCACAATACCCACGACCTTGATCAGTGTATTCGTTGCCTGCACCACTGAATCATGCGCACGGTGCTGCATCATTTTATACTATAGGTACCGGGATTAATCAGACGATGATCAGCCTTTTTTATGTATCATCAACAATTGGCTTGCAAACGCACTATACAAAGTTAATATACACCGCCTGGTGGAGGGCGCGTAACATAGCAGCATGCCATTGCAGCTAGATTACGCATACACGGTGCATATTTAACTATTCAAGCGACTGCAGCCTACGTCTTGGGGTCAATATCAATATGCACCAGTGCCAGCACCGGCAGGCACTTGGCTATACAGAAAACTCAATAAGACCAGACCAAGACATGCACACAGCATGCTGTTAAGAGGAAACATGCTTATTACATGGGACTGAAGTCCTTTCTTCTGGGGCCTCTTCTAGACACTGTTCTGGGTATGAACTCCAAGAATCGAAGAACGAATGCAGCTTCCAGCAGTTTATACTATTCCGGACAAGCAATGCCAGCTTTAACGCTTTCATGGCCGCTATCTATTCCTCTATGAACTACGCTAGTATGAATCTTCAACAGGAGTGCTGAAAAGTACGATACAACAGGGTGCACTGTGGCCCTCAACATACAACCCTTGATTTCACAACAGCTACTAACGTTGTCCTCCACGTCTACATCATCACCCTTCGTCCAGACCACGGAGGGGGTTTATTATCTTCTATATTGATACCTTTCCACCCAGAGTGGCCTCCGGCATTTGTGGATGTATCGTGTACTTGGGCAATAGCATTGGCAGCGAGAGTAGAGAGGGCGGCATCGAAGCGATGGAAGCGATGGAAGCGGCAGCAGCAGCATTCAATAAGACCATTTTGACCCTGAACTCTGGCAACTCGATCTTCCTGCTCCTTCTACAAACATCACATATAAGTTCCACAGCCTTCATCTACCTAAGTCTTGATGCAGCGTTGACAACATATGACTGTGGCACAGGCGGTCTTAATCTTCACGCTTGCTCAATTCGTGGTAACTGATACAGATACAGCCATCAGAAGCATTGGCTATCTCTACACGAGCCGGCAGGTGCCTGAACGATCTCGGCTTCAGGATCAAGGTTCAGCGACACGATTAACTACTATTTTATTTCTCAACCATTCCAGATACAACAGATGGAGTGGTGCAGGAATCAGATTGGACATCCAAGTAATAGGGGAACCAATGCAGTCCATCGATTCGATAGAGCTAAACAGAGACCGGGACAAGATGCCAGGCCATCCCTAACATGCTTGGATGGACTACGAAATGAACAAGGATCTGATCTTCCAGAAGATTTTCTTATTCCCTCAACCATTGGAAAGTTGCTCCCAGAACTACAATATGAGATCAGGAGACTGCAAATACAGCCGAAAACCATCCAAAGTTCTGGAGTCCTTGGAATGTAACCAGGCGGAGGATACCCCCTGCGACCGTTGCCGTTATCCCAAGAACCGGACTTGCGCGATGGTATGTGTGGGTGTTATTTCTTCCTTGGTAGTTGCCTAAGACATATGCAATACAATCAGGAAAACATCCTACAGAGGGATGGGAACTCCTTGCTTTGTCTAGAGTCAAGCTCCAGAACAGGATGAGACTATGAATCGAGAATATTGCTCCAGGACGAAGCCATGTTCCTCGACTACGCGGCGGACACAATGCTGATGCTGATAACGGGATGAATGTCCTTGTATCGGGGAGGTAGCTCAAAATTCATACTAGACCACAATGCCTTAAAAACAGCCCTCCATATCCTGCGTTGCTAACTTTATCGTTTGCACCGTATAGGTGATCCCTGATCTCGTTCCTCTCGCTACTGAAGCTTTGCAGGCACACCAAGCCTACTTAATGGCATGCAACGACGAGGATACACCAGATATCATTCATGCAGCAAATGGTAAGCTTCGGACCACGCAGCAGGCGTTTAAGAATAAGCGCGGCGGTTGGGCCCGTAAGTTTGCAGCGAGCAAGGCCGCCTCTGCTGAAACAACTCCTCTTTCTAAACGACGGAATCAGCGGATAATCAAATGGTCTCTTATTCTCTCAACCTTCTTCGCATGAACATCATCCATAGAGCTGGAGTGACACATAAAAATGCGGACGCCCTACTCCTACAGGGAATGAAGTGACGGCCTCCCGCAAAGCTGCAGCTGAGATTCTTGAGACGTCAAAGTGTCTGCTCTGCAAGTCCGATGGCCACTGGAAGTCAGAGGAGAACAACTGAGTATGCTTCATCTAGCTCTCTGCTTCTCGACGGCTCTTGCTTGGGGAACTCAGCGGACATGGGAATGCATTCGAAGTATCGAAACGTACATCTATTTGATATAGCAATGGCAACTATTACCACCACATGTTGCCTTGGGTCTAGAGAAAGGGATGCCTCCATCAACTGCTTATATTACCGGGTCAAGGGTTGGTAGCGAGTTATTCGTCACGATCATAGGCTGCTGGGCTATGGTACATACCTGTCAATGATATAACGACTCACTCTGCCGCCAACTAGGGGCTTCTCCTTTTCGGCCCAGCGCTTTGATATAAGTCATTAAAAGCGGCGAAGAAGGGTTCTCCAGCCCATTCAGTTGCTGGGGCGCTTGCCATGCAAATGGTAAGCGTCATTGAGAACCTGAACGGGGTAGGTAAGGGGATGCGGCATAAGTACCCTGACGTTTATAAAGACATCCAGGGAACAGTCTCTTCCACGTCGCAATCGTCAAGGTATACGAGCAACCACCTGCGCACCATTTTGGCCATGGTATAAAGACTTTCAAGTGGGACCCTTCTAAGTTGTTATAGGTATTATATGAGCTGTGATAGTGCGATCCAGGACAATACTTCTGCTGGGGTACAATGAGGAAAACCACGCAGCAAGTATATTTCCAAGAGCATTCCTTATTGATCCGGAGAATCCCCTCGTTCAGCAATGGCCACCAATTCAAGCTGCTATTACAGAAATGCTTGGTGATAGACACTGGACTGTGCTTCAACCTCTTCTACTCGGACAGCACATCGATGTTATCATTATACAATTGCAACCATCAAGCCAGAAGACTATATGTTATGCAAAACCTCCAGTCAACCGCACCAGAAACAGTAAACACAGTAACAAAAGCAGAAGCCATAGCAACAGCAAAAGCGACAGGCCTGGGAGCTCCTTCGTTATATTACACACCTGGCGATTATGTTTGTTAGCTGGCTGGTTCTCTATATTTCACAACAGACGGAAGGGCATGTTATTATATACGGACAGCAATTGAGATGCTTTAAATTTTTTATTATTTTTTGTTGTCTTTTATCAGCAGTTCGCATTAAGTATCACGGACACGGTATATAAAGTAGATAAATAACTGGCCGTGACAAGAAGTAAGTTGATTAAAGACGAATCCCTCCGAGAGAAAAAGGGAAAGGAAAAAAAAGGCAATAAAGCAACTCCCAACACCACCACGGACGAGAAGGAAGAATGGTTCATGTACAGCGCGTCAAAACATCAATCAATCAGAGTAAGTGAAAGGGGACATGCCAACAGTTAGGGAGGAGATGGGGCGTAAAGAGGTAAACAAGGGGGGAAGTCGAAGGACAAGGAGGCTTTTTTCGTTGTCAGGGGGGAGGAGGTTTCGTTGTATATCTAAAATGCACGTAATGCGTAATGTTCCCATAACCCAGATCCCAAACCCATTATAATAGTAGATCATCAAGGAATCACCATAGGAGAAAGGGAAAATCCAATCCAAACAGAAAGAAAGAGGGCATATACTTGGGAATGTAAATATCAAAACAAGTGAAAGAACAGAGAGACAGATTTAGTCGTCTGTTAGCTGTGAGAAGTAGTTGATGCTCAGAATCATGCAGAGCAGACCGATGGAGACGATGATGAAGAACGCAAAGCCGAACCAGCCGAGTAACATGGCTGAAGTCCCGACTCCGCTCTTGACGCTGCCGTTCCCTAGGTCTTGCGCTATTGTGCTGGCTGCTACCGAGGCTGTGTGCTGCCAAAGGACGGATACCAGGATGAACACGGAGGCAACAAAGATCAGAGCGAGGGCGACTTGCGATACCGGGCGGGATGGGAATGGCTTGACTTCAATGTCTGAGCCTTGGTTGTTGAGTTCCTCGTGCCAACCAGGGAAGGTTGCGAGTAGGAGGAACGACAGGAACGCGAATATAAGCGCCACGATACTAGTCAAACTCAATTAGTGTATGCCGTTCCTCACTTTTTTTAATATTCAAGGACACTTACATGAGATAGGGAAATACGACTGCATCCTTGAACGTTGATGCTACCCAGATCAGGTTCAGCGGGTCACTCTCCACACCAAGAGACTCTGCAAGGATAGTCGCATTTTGATTGCACAGGAAGCCGCCGCCGTTTCGTTGTATGCAGATTCCGAAGTAGCCAACTCGAACTTCCAAGTGAGCACCTCCCACGATGTTTGAGATTGTAGATGATAGCCCAGGATCAGCCTGAGCGGTGCTCATTACAGGCGGATATTTGTCGTAGAACATCGATATCAGGAAGATGCTAGGTATTTGCGGAGATGACGAGGAGCAACCAGCAAGTAGTAAAGCTAGAAGAGCATGTTCGTGTTAGCAACCGTTCCAGGCCATACCATCAAGCGTTCAACTTACATAGTAATAGGATAGAGACGGCAACGAATAACATGAGGACATGGTGGTATCCCACCATGGGGATAAATCCTAAACAATAAATGAGTTAGGCCTTCTATCTTGCAAATGTATCGTGTGCCATGTCAATGAAGGGCCACTTACGCCCAATACCCGCCATAAACCGCATCTCTGGCATCTTAAACTAATCCGGCCTTATGCCCCAACCTTTCCCTTTCCCAAGTCTCTTGCTAGGCCCTCCCAGGGAGTCCGACTCCTGCCCCTCAGGGTCTCGGAGGCCTGTCCGACTACTGGTCCAACCAGATGAGGAGCCGAATACTCCTACCCAACACTGCGCACACAGGTCGAACGAATGATGTTGGTTTTTCCCGCGAGAGGTAAAGCGACCTCTTTACCCAAGGCAGCAATGACTTTTTAAGCGCTCGTAACGAAGGCGGTCGCAAGGGTCGTGTGTGGTCTTGGTACTAGGAGATGGTTAGGAGCCTCGAGCAGGAGTGTCTTTGCTGGCTGACGGGCGGAGGAGAGGTAGAGGTAAAGGTAGAGGTGAGTGAGTGTTGGATGGTGCAAGAGAAGGAAGAAGAGGAGAAAGATCGCAAAGCTCGTAGCTACGAGAGAAAGAAAGCAATCCAACAGCCCGTTCCAAGATCCGTAGACCTGTGGCGAGCGAAGGAAGTAGATGTCACCGGTAAAACGGTCGAGATGGATATTTCTTCACAATGGGTTTCTTGTGAAGATGGAGAATAGAGGAAGGAAAAAAAGGAAGAAGAAGAGGGAAGAAGAAGTCACTTGAAAGAAAGCGACTCTCTGCTGCGATGCGGTGGCTGGATGGTATCGCCGTCGCCCAGGTCTTTGAAGCATCAAAAAGTCCGTGGCTGGGCCAACGAGGCGTCTTTGTTTACCCGCCCTGGTTGTCGGGGCAACGCAACCTCACCGCCCTTGGCAGAACTTCCCGTCCGACAGGTACCACGTGGGGCGCGCTAGCCTTATCAGGACTAGACACGTGTCCAGGTTGCGCCAAGCAATTAACGTGCATGCATAAGCATAAAACGGTCCAATCAGAAGAGTACATAAACACTGCATAAAACTCCATACAAAAACCCTCGTTCGCTCTCAAATCCTCTCCAAACGCCAAATGCGCTGTGCCTTTTGCCCAGTCAGCCAATTTCAAGATGGATTTTCCAGCATGATAATAAAACAAAAATAACTCCGGTCGTCCTCCTGTGATCCGTTTAACTCCTGCTAGTTTTTTATTTTATAATTCCCGAACAGACACAAGGCACGGGCTTCAAAAGTTCCAAATGCCAATGAAGATGAAAAAAAGCCAAAAGGAAACTGTTGCTTTACGCCTTTTTAAATGCATATTGGGAGAAGTCGAAGGAGTAGGCGGCGCCCTGGCTGTCGTCATCTTCCTCGACTGAATTGTCGCTGTTTGGTATGATCATATCCTCACTTCCACCCTGGGAGATGGTGTTCTTCAATGCAGGAAGACTGTCTGCTGCCTGCGTGGTAGTCATTTTGGGCGATTCAGCTGCGTCGTCGGGTTTATCATCAGTGGGCTTTGGTGGCTGAAGACAGGTCATGGACTTTGACCGTGAAAGGGCATTTTGCTTCAGCCGTTGCAGTGGCGTTGCTCGCAGCTGTGAGGAGAGAGTTCGCTTCAGGGATTTCGCGGATGGACTGTTGGAAATTTCACTCTGATCCGAAGGCTTGAATGCATATTTCTCTCGTAGATTCAAGTTATGGCGCTCTATGTTGTAGTTCAGTACACTTTCGAATAGTGCTGGGTCGGAATCAGCGTCTACAGCCTGGCTATTGGCTGAAGCAGATGCCACAGGTGAGTCTCTCTTAGATAATTTGGTAGAACTGTCTTGCGAATTGGTGATGGGGTTAGACTCGGCGTGGAAAGACGGAGGAAGAGGCCGGCTCGATGATGAAGCCTGTAGGAGGTTGGGGGTGGTAGCATTATCATTGGCTATGCCTTGACTGGAAGATAGCGCAGCCTCCTGATCCGAAAAAACGTGGAGCTTGCTACTCTTCCGCTTTTTGCTCGTTGTGTCCTTGCGAGACAAAGGTGATTGTTTGGAGCCGACAAAGAAGGGACTCACTTCAGTCATAGCTCCCGTGATATTCTCTTCACTAGCATCCGAACAGAGACGCTGTCTCTTCTGAACTTGAGGCGGCGGCAGTTCGGAGGCAGATCTAAGAAACGCTTCTGTGCGCCGGGCCCGATCAGTTGGAGTGTTTGGTATCGAGGCCGCACTTCTGGTGACGCTGGGAGGAGTCGATACTCGGTTTGCAGCTAGGGAGTATCGGCCACCATTTCGACTCATCACAGGCCGATTTGGTCCGGATGAAGGGGTCATTGAGTTTGGATCCAGCTCAGAAAGCGGAATGCGCTTTGGTGTAAAGAACTCCTGTATCTCTCGGACGGGTTTCTTCTCATCCGACGAGGTGATGGATTGTCGTCCAGTTCGGACCAGTCTCTCTCGCTCTGGGTACGACCGCTTAATCTCACTAGGTTCCTTGGTAATTGGATCAAGATCACCACATGCAATCCCAATGGCTACATGGGGCTCTAGAAGAGTACCGATGTACGGCATATCCTCTCCATTCCCACCGTCTGGCAGTGGGTTGAGCATAACCAAAGCTTTTGCAATTGGGCAGAACACTCGTTGATGCAGGAAAGTAAGTTCTGCTCGTTTGAAGTTATCGAGATATCCCGGAGGCACACGATTCGATCCCTCGAATTGGACCATCCTGACAACTCGATCCACTGTCTTGTGCTTCCTGATACTCCGGTATGCAGTCTTCAGCCCCATTTTAGGGATGTTAGTGAGATAGTCACAGCCGCTAAGAATGCACATATGACGAAAGTTCTCATCAGTCCAGCCTATCATGCTTATATCTCGGCAAGCAGTAAAGTCTCCCCTGTTGATCTCTATACAGTCACCATTCTTGTCGAGTTTAGACAGAAGCCGCTTGGCACCGAAGACAAGCATATCAGAGTCCTCTGAGATGATTCCATTGATGATTCCCTGCTTCTCCAGGTATACCAATTGGGGATCTGCTTCATACGGCGCCACAAGATATTTGATCTTGTGCTTCTTCAGTTCTTCAATCAAGACGCGGGCCATGTAGGGTGTCACGTCAACAGCCTTTTGAAATTCTTGATATGCCTCAGTAGTCCTGCCTCTTCGCATGTGTTCTTCACCTAATTTCTTGCTCTCTTCTCGTCTGGCTGCCCTAGACGCTTCCGTGGCTTCTTTGCTAGGCAGCATCCCCCCATCAAACACGATATATGGGGTAACTCCATAGTGCTGAAGCATCCGTATGCGACCTATGGCAAAATCAACATATCTACGCCTGTAGGTCAGCACCTAACCTTATCCGGGAGTCGTATATTCTAAAAAAAAAAATTGAGCGTACTTTGTGGTAGGCTTGCCGAGTACCAGTTCGTATGCACACGCAATTGTCCCTCTATGTAACCAACCATACGCATCGACCCCGAGAGTCTGACCCGCGAACTTCTTTACATTGCAAGGCTTCTGGATCGACTTTAACAGCCCGTGGAGCCCTGCAAGTATGATTAGTAGCTGTATCTTCAAAGAGGTGTTATCTCTTAACATACCGGAAATGCCCATGGTGACCGTCACAGCATACAACGCCCCCAGATTCCAACTCTGGTTCAGCTCAGTCAGGAACTGGTAAACCTTGTACGGCAAGGATCCATGGATAGCATTCAAGACGAGGGAGTAAACAGAACACCTCGCAGCGTCCAAGGGAAACAATGAAGGTCAAGTCTTTCTCTTTCTTTGCTTGCAAAGCAACTTCGACGCGCAGGAAGACGCGGTTTCTAAGATGGTCACGTGGAAGGCGCTCGACCTCTTTTTATCACTATCAACAAAATATTGGAACTATTGAAACCGAGTATTGACTTGTTTCAAGGCAGAGAGGACGCGGAAATGGTTGTTACCGTGTATACAGCGCTGTACTCTCTCCTGACTGTTATCTGTTTATAAAGTTGTTGTGGGCAGGAGTTATCAGAGATGATTTATGAAAATAAGGGAATATAAGGCGTATACAACAGTAAATATCCAGACACCTAGCACATACGTCCATGCCAAGGACAGTATATCAGTCCTCTCGATACTAGTAAATACATTTGATATGCAGTATCACCGTTCCTCTTTTTTTGCTTCGTCTTTTCGTCTGATTTTCGAAAGTTCGAAAGTTGAAGTTAATTTATAGTTTACACGTGATTATGACTCAGCAAGGGACACCGCCTTATTTTCTGCCGTTATCTTGATAGAAAAATATAAAGAATATAGAAAAAAAAGGAAATAAATTTTGAGAAGCCAAAGACTGGAAGAAACATAGCTTGGAGCAGGCAGAAAAATGACAAAGAATCTGAATAAAATCACCAAGAAGCTCTCCAAGAAGAAGGGGAAGCTAGACTCTCTACATGAGAAAAGCAGAGATGCAGTTCGCTTGCGACGAGCTGGTGGGAGGGAGGAGAAGCTAGCTCGAGCAGCAGCGACGACAATGAAGGGACGGCAGATATACGGTGAGTTTTTATGTGCGATGCACATTATTATACCGAGTGCTCACATGCTGACTTGCGTATAGTTGATAGAGTAGCTTTCTTTAGAGATCACACAAAAGACCTGGAGGCGCCCCTAACGTCAGAAGGTGCCGTTAGCTTACTCCAGCAGTACGTTGCCTCTTCCACTGGCAGAGTTGAACCATGGAGCTATATAGAGTGTGATTATACTAACCGGCTGTGTGTAGATACCTAGACCGACTCAAGCCAGAGCTACAGGAAGAGCAGGAAGCTCGACGGAAAGGCAGACCTCCAAGCAAACGCCAGGAAGTTCTGATTGAGAAAATCGAAGCTGAAGAAAAGGAATATCAGACCGGATTTTGGATGCCAGACTTAGAATGCGAGGACAGTCTGCGTCGACTGCGCAACTGGAATAAGGATTGGTCTGCAATGAGCAACCTCAAATTCGTCAGACTCAGTAAGGCCGGGGATAAACGGCCGTCACTGTTCCCGCCCAAGGGGCTGTCATGATCTTACCTACGGCATTTCCACAATGATACCATACTCTGTATATCCTTGATCTTTGGACACGAAATAATGACTTTATGATGTTGCCGCAGGTGGCACATCTACAAACGCCTAATAGAGCGATTAACAAGCAACCACTTATAATTTTTCTATGGATAACATGGAATACCCGTCACGACTGGACTTCTCCATCGAATAAAATATAAACATAGACTGTCAATTGCAGATTTTTGACATATCAAGTCTCTATCGCTTCATACTCCGTACAAAAATATCAAATGCACCGCTTAGTCAGCTTATCTTCTATGGAGCTGCCCTGGCAAGGACCCTGAGAGAAAAGATGAAGCTCTCTTTTTCACGGGGCAAGACGAACTGTCCTATCATGCGCTCTCCATTACTATGTACCTTGAGACATCCCGCGGCATGGTACAAGGATTAGGTAGAGGGAAGGGTATCCCCTCGCGTGCTCGAGGGGAGTTATGAGTACCCCGAGGGCGATATAAAGACTGGAAGGGCGCTGCCAGTGTGCTCCCCTTGAGGAAAATTTCTTCATTGTGATACCTATTTTCTGTTCAGCTTTGGGCATTCGTTGTACATTTGACCAGGTGAAAGGACTAGAGATCAAATATGGGCATCAATTCCGAGGCGAACGGCCCTTCCTGTAGTCTACCTGCATCCAATGGGAAGCAAGAGACTCGACGCCTACCAGTTACGCTGCTTTCTGGGTTTTTGGTGAGTACTGATCCCGCATAAAAGCCTGTGAATCTGGTCTAACTACTGTGATATAGGGCAGTGGAAAGACTACGTTGCTTGAGCACATCCTCAAGTCGCCGGACCATGGCCTTAGGATTGCAGTCATTGTCAATGATATGAGCAAGTGAGTTCTCCAAGCATTCCCGCATGGATTCTACGTTGCCGCAATATTAATGCTTTGATCTTTCCCTAGGCTCAATATTGATGCTGCTCTCATCACGCATCACAAAGTATCCCAGACGAAAGAGAAACTGATCCAGCTGCAGAATGGCTGTATCTGCTGCACTCTCCGTGGAGACTTACTCTCGGAACTTGCAAGCTTGACCAAACAGAACGAGGTTGAGTATGTTGTTATCGAGAGCACAGGCATTAGTGAACCGATGCAGGTCGCAGAGACTTTCACCGCAGAATTCAGTGCTGCGATGCTTGAAGCTGAGGATCAGATCGCGGATGCCGATGAGGATAGCAAAAAGATTCTTGCCGAGATGTACGTGTGCCTTACCCCTTGGTATTTTCTATAGCTAGACTATTTGTTGACTTATTATACCCTACGAATGCAGAGCGGAGTTGGGAGGCCTTCACACCTTAGCAAGCCTTGATACTACCGTGACGGTGATCGATGCGTTCAATCTGTTATCGAATTTTGATACCACTGAGTTCCTTTCTGATCGCTATGGTGCAAAGGAGATTGTGCCAGAAGATGAACGTACCATCTCTGACCTCATGGTGGATCAGATCGAATTTGCCGACGTAGTGATCATCAACAAGATAGAGACGGTTAATGAAGATACCCGCCGTCGGATTAAGCAGCTCGTGAACTTGTTGAATCCCGAGGCTAAAGTTTTGGAAGCTAGCTACTCAAAAGTTGATGTACGAGAAATCATTGACACTAAAAGGTTCAATTTTCTCAAGGCAGCCTCAGGATCAGGGTGGCTACGAAGTCTGCACGAAATGACAATGATGAATACTGCTAACGGGCAGAGAATGGCTCCGAAACCGGAGACCCTGGAGTATGTTTTCCTCCCTTTATTTTTCAACCCTTTTGTCTTTAAGTGACTTGTATGCTACGTTATGGGTGCTGACATACAGGTACATAGGTACGGTATCAACAATTTTGTGTATACTGCGAGGAGGCCCTTTCACCCTCGTCACCTTTTTGCTCTTCTTCATGATAAATTCATCCTTCTCCAACATAGCGAAGGAGGAGACGAGGACGAAGACAACGAAGGTAACGAAGGTGATAAAATGGATCTGGACGACGACGAGGAGGAGGATGAAGACACAGAGAAACAGGGTGTGAGCGGGTTTGAACAACCTGATCCTGCAATAATACTTGCAAATAAGCGTTCACACGCCTTTGGGCCTGTGCTACGCTCCAAGGGATTCTTCTGGCTTGCAACTCGTCCCCTCCAGTTTGGAGAATGGAGCCAGGCAGGGGGTATGTTAACAGTAAGCTGCGGTGGTCCGTGGTTTGCCGAAGTGCCCAGCGATGCCTGGCCGGAGGATGAAGACGTCCGCAAATCAATTGAAAACGACTTCAAAGGCCCTTGGGGTGACAGAAGACAGGAGCTGGTGTTCATCGGCGAGGGAATTGATATAGAGAAGATCACTGCTCTCCTAGACGATTGTCTGCTCGATGACAAGGAGATGGCTAGGTGGGAGCGTGTCATGGGGAACAAGGAGTTGTCTAGAGACGAGAAAGCAGAACTACTGGGGACTATGTGGGAAGATGGCTGGGAAGACTGGCCTTCTTTTGAAATCGAGGGAGAAGACGAGGACGAGGAGGATATCGAGGAGACGAAGCCAAAGCATTACATTAGTGATTATCTGGGCCCTGCTAAGAAGGACGGCCATAAGCACCATCATCACCACCACCACCATAAAAAGGGTGAGCACAAAAAGGGTGCAAAGGCTACCTGAAGGTTGAAAGCCATCGCATCCACTAGGTGGATTGAAAAAAAATATGTTTGTATTCATTGAAAGTATTGTTATTAATATCATATCTCTCTTTATCTATATCAGTCAGTCAGTATCAGGGGGTACTCTTTCTATGCTCAAGTATGCTGTAATATTTCGCCATCGATATATTCCATGAAAGTTATACCGCGATTGTAGAGCCCTCCGTGTAAGCAGCATCAAGTCCCAGAATTGAATTGAATTGGTATCGCAATACTTTGGACTTTGTACCAATTTTCTCCTTAACCTTGGCTTCGGGATGGGTGACCCATCACTTTTGCAACAGGCGCTTTGACCAATCATTTGTCTTTATTTGCTCGACAAAAAACTTCACGTCTTTTCCGCTGGAGAATCTAAACATCGTCAAAACATCAACTACCATCCAACAGAACAATCAATCGCTGTCCTGTGCCAGTCACTCCATACACCACTATCACAATGTTCTCGATACGCTCATTGACCCGATCGGTTCCTCGAACCCTCTCCAGATCCATCGCCACGTCTGCTGCGAGACCTTTGCAGCGATCTGCTTTCTTCCAACCAACATGGAAGCTCATGTCTCGCCCTTCATATGCTCCATTCTCTACCTCAAGACCTAGATTCGAGGCTGCTGGCCAAGGTGAGATGAACCTTGCCTTCTTTATAAATCTTTGGGATCAAGTGCTGGCTTGCTAACTGGTGCAATAGTTGATGTCGAGCTTGCGGCCAAGTTCCAGGAAGAGCTTGCTCTGGAGACCGAGAGCGGAGAAACCGAGGAACTCCCTGAGTCAGTCAAGTATTTCCTTGACAATGGCCCATTTGAGGTGAATATCCATAGTTTATTTGCTATAGAACTGGCACTGACAGGAAATCAGATCATTGACAAGGCCGGAGAAGAAGAGGTCGTCTTGACCCGGAAGTTTGGTGATGAAAAGTATGCCTACCGCCGAACACTCTAACCGGGCCTATATACACCGCAAATACTAACTATGTCTCTAGCATCCGCGTCTCTTTCACAATTGCCGACCTCCAGAACATCAACCCTGAAGAAGATTTCGCCGACAGCGCCCTCCAAGAAGAGCTCGAGATGGACCAATCCCGCTCCAACAAGGACGCTTCTCCCGAGGAGAACATTGATGAGCAGCCCTTGGAACCTGGCTACCTTGCCCGCGTCGATGTCACCATTGAGAAGCCAGGCAAGGGAGCCATGCACGTTGATGCTGTTGCCCGTGACGGTTTGATCCAGATTGAGAACGTTTCCTACTTCTCCAAGGCTGAGCTCGCTACCGCCGAGACTCCCGATAAGGAATGGGAGCGCCAGAGCTTGTATGCCGGCCCACCATTCGGCAACTTGGACGAGGAGCTACAGACCCTCATCGAGCGCTACCTTGATGAGCGAGGTATCGATACCGCTCTTGCTTCCTTCGTTCCTGACTACATTGACTTCAAGGAGCAGAGGGAATACGTTCGCTGGCTTGGAAGTATGTTTTATTTTACCTCTTACTATCATTCCTCTCTAATGGTATCCTATGCTAACGTTTCGTCGCAGACCTCAAGGGCTTCGTTGGAAACAACTAAGTCTTGATTTCCTCGTCCTAAATGTAATATTCTCCACATTCTTCGTTCTTCAGGTTGGTAGGCATAGGGCTGCTGGAGTTGAGGAGGCTGGAGCAGAGATATTGAAACACAAATTCACCTGTAACATACAACTAAATAATGCAATGTCAACTCCTGTATCATGATTCTCAAAAGCAACTCTATTCCCGCAATTTTATGAAGCATAATCACATATATTGATACGCGCAGATTTTATTCATCAATATCTAAGGGTAGTAATTCAATCATGTTCGAGATCATCAGGGTAAAAAAAAATTAAAACTCCATGGCGTTCGGGTTATCATCTGTTCGTTCTCTCTTAGCCGGCCGTTCGTCACTGTTTAGCTTTGCAACAAACGAGCGGAAATAATCAATATATGGTTTCAGGCTGGTTTTCTCATAATCCTGAATTTTCCTCGGCTTGGCAGCAGTATCAGTTTCATCCTGACCGCTGCCACTATCAGATCCAGGCATTTGATCCTGCTGGTTGGCCTGAGATGGGTTCCAAGAATTGATTTCGTCTAACAGTTGGAATAAAGTGGGTGTATCTAGAGGATTGAAATTGTCCACTTTTTTGATATCAATTGGTACACATACCCTTCCGGTTCCTGGGTGGACAACAAACGGACTCTTAAGCAAATGGATCAGTTTCTTACTGACTTCAGCGTCAAGTCGAGGGTATGTATATTCCAAAACGATGTCTTGCTTTGCTTCTAGTAGCGCTTTTGTATCGAGACCACGGGAATTTGCTTTTGCAACAGTGTCAATGTCAGCCCATTTGCTGCTGCTCGACCGCCCGGGCGCGGAATCCCATTTCTTCTGTAATGCTGCCCTTAGCGTTTTGTCAGGAAGCAATTCGATCAGTCGGGCGGCTTGGTCCGGCCTGCTGAATGGGTCCTGGTCTACGAGGACGGTAGAAGCGAAATATTCTCCCAGGGTGTTGAGGCTTCGAGTAATATGCGGATGTAGCGGCCGTCTCAGGTTGACACGTTTTCCGCTCTGACTGCCTCCGCGGACAACTTCCAGGTATCCAGCGATGGCTCTCCGTCTGTCGTCTGGGAGATTTCGTGCACTTTTATCACAGACCCATGCGTGGGCTCCTCTTCGACCAGAGTACACCCATAAAATATGTTGAAATCCAAAATCTTCTCGTAGAGCTGCGTCGATCACTTTGATGGACATTGTGACAAACGCCCAGCATTTGAGACATATATTGGCCTTACTACAACACGTTCTTATATCATCGTAATCAGTCAAGTCAATATCAAAGACAAGCTCTTTCGAAACAGGCTTGAAGGCGCCCGGTTTCCGTAGGGTTTTGCGATCTCGAGGGTTTGTACTATAAACAGGACCGATTTCAAAACGGGAAGGATTTAATCGCATAACGTCTTTGTGAAGGCTATGAAAGGAAGTCAGCTTGAAATCACTTTGCGGCAAAAAGGTGTAAACGTACGCATCTGCAGTCTGAAATGATTGGTATCGCAGATAGGCATCATTTGGAAGTGTAAAGGCAAACTCTCGATTGCCAAAGTCCGTCGAAGGTTTCACCCCGTGATTAAGCCATTGAAAGAGGTACTTGAATGGGAACAGGCGTTGATAAAAGGCGGACATGAACTCCGGGTCGGTTTGAGCTAGTGAAGGTGCGGGCTTGCTATCAGCAGAGTAAGTTGTTTGATATCAGCCATTGGTATTTCAAAGCTATCTCTCTTACTCTGCTATTTGAACAGCATCTGAGTCTGGGAACTCCTCGTCATCGTCATCGTCATCATCATCATCAAACATGTTCTCTAGTTGGAAACTCTTCTTTGCCAATGTATCTTCCTCTTTCTTCGGGCCATCGACTTCGGCGTCTTTCTCCTCCTTGTTATCCTTGGTGTCTGAATTTTGATCTTCGGTCTTTGGGATATCGTCTGACGGGGGAGCATCCGACAGCACTTCGTCGTCTTTTCCCTCCATGTCTGCGTCTTTTCAAGGTATCTGACCAGCAGTCAACGGCCGTTTATCCTCTGTTCTCCTGCATGGACGTTCGTTGATATTCGTCGAAGCCATCCAGCTAATTAAGCACACGCGCGCGACGCGTCAGGAGCGCGTAAATAGCTAGGGCTTAGGGCTTCTAGATTACATCATACTTTTCACGTGATCGGATAGCCCTAAAGTTCTAAAAAAAGAAAAGAAAAAAACTTCTTTCAACTTCCTTCCATCATTTTCTTTCTTTTTCCCCTTTAACGCCGTGCATTATATCAACCGGCATCAAGGGCCAGATAGTATAAAGAACGGGGGTCAATGTTCGCCCCTGACCTCATAGTTATATGAGTTTATGATGAGTCGTTCGGAGCTGGGACCCGAAATAAAGCCCTTTGCCATGCTTGATACCTGAACCGCCCATATAATCTGCTCTGAGAATCCAACAGTGGAGTCGCCATCAACGCCTTTTGGCAGCCGGGGATCGGGAAAAACAGAGCCGTGCCAACTCTAGGCCCGGCATTTTCGTTACTAGCGTCGGGCCTTTGCTCCCTCGCATTTCCTTATACTGTCTGGAGCTCCCGCCAATAAGTAGCCTTTTGTTTTACTTATTGACGGCCTCCACATATTTTGGCTCAACAGCACAAGATACATACCAATTTCCAAGGACTTTTCTCTAGGATTTAGGATTTCTCTTTTCGTTTTTACTATACAAAATCTTCTGCGTATAATTATTTCTTAGCAAGGGAACCAGTCCCACCGGCCACTGGTCCGTCCGGTCAGTATGTCTGTGACGTCTATAGAATTGGCATCTCCAGCGCGGGTCCACGCTACCACCAAGTCTTCGCAGCTGGTGTTAGAGGCCATAGGGAGCAGTGCGGAGAACGTTACCAGCCATGGTGTACATCGAGACCCAGATGATAGCAGTGACGAGGAGGTGGCCAGTACCTTTTCCGTCCCGCCTGTTTCGAGGACAAAAGCCGCGGTTATTATTGCTTCAGCGTCGAGCATGGTACTAATGAACTCCGTACTGACTGGTATACTTACCGTGGGACTGCCAGTCATTGCAGCTGATATTGGACTTGGGGACAGCTTACTTCTATGGTGCGTTACCTCCTTGCCTGTAGAGCATACCTGGATTCTTATTGACATTCTTTTAGGCCAGCATCGGTTTATGGGCTGACTTGTGGCTGCACGCTTCTTCTCTCGGGATCCCTTGCGGATGTAATTGGCAGCCGACCGATCTACCTTGCGGGATGTGGTATCCTATCTGCCTTTACCCTTGGATGCGGCCTTGTCAAGACTGGTATTCAGCTCATTATGTTCCGCGCTATGTCCGGAATCGCCATGTCTCTGTGTCTCCCTAGTGCCGTGAGTATTATCACTGCTGCCTTCGCGCCAGGTGGACGAAGGAATATCGCCTTTGCATGCTTGGGTGCGGCGCAGCCCGTCGGATTCTCGCTTGGTATAGTCCTTGGAGGTGTTCTGATTGCAAGCATTGGGTGGAGATATGGATATTACATCGTTGCAGGTGTCAACGTCCTGGTCCTTATTGTCGCCTTCTGGCAAATTCCTGCAGACCCCCGGAAAGTAGTCCCAGTAACCTGGAAGAGATTAACAACTGAGATTGACTGGGTTGGAACTCTCCTCATCAGTGCATCCCTTGGATTGTTTTCTTATGCTTTGTCGTACGTTGAGTCATGATTCCGCGATCCTCTCTTAGGTTTTGCATGGCCTTGCCACTAACGAGAACTTCTAGAACCATCAGTGTGTCGATCCGTGAGTTGGCCAAGCCAGGTAACGCTGTGGCCCTGGCTCTCTCGGCAGTTTGTCTTGCAGGGTTTGTCTTCTGGATTCATCGTCAAGAGCGACTTGGTCGGGTCGCCATGGTACCACCAAACTTGTTTCAGTCCACCACTAACGCTCCCCGACGAGCCCGAAACTTCACCTGCGTGTGCATCTCAGTCTTCTTTACCTGGGCGCTTTTCAATTCTTTCCAGTTCTTCACCACCCTCTACTTCCAGGAACTCCAGGGGAACTCGGCTCTTATGGCCTCCATCAAATATATCCCCATGGTTATATCGGGCCTTGTCATTAATATTGTCACCGGTTTTCTCGTAAAGCGAGTTTCTGCGGATATTCTCTGTACTTGTGCGGCCGTCGCGTCTTCAATCGCTCCATTACTCATGGCAATCGCCCGTCCAGAATGGAGTTACTGGACCGCTACATTCTTTGCAACTATTTTAATACCCGTCTCTGCTGATACGCTTTTCACAGTGTCAAACCTCGTGATTACTTCTGCGTTCCCTCCCAAGACCCATGGGCTAGCTGGTGGAGTGTTCAACACTATATCTCAAATTGGTATGTCCGTTGGCATCGCCATTACTGCAGTGGCCTCTAACTCTGTGATTGAACATGAGCTCCCTCACACAGACCGAAAAACAGCCTTGCTCAAGGGTTACAGAGCTACGTATTGGATCTCCTTTGGAGCTGCTGTGATGATGGTCGCATTAAGTCTATGGGGATTAAGGAGTATCGGAAAGATTGGACTAAAGAAGGAGTAAGTGGGCTTCCTTTTATCCCTCTTTAGGCAATTTAAAAAAGAATTATACAGGGAGCCTAGGTGTTATCTAAATTAATTCATCAAATTCAATATCGAATCGAAAGCACAAGTCTGAATAAATTGATCACACTTGAACTTTGAGCCCCTGAGGCGCTTCTGTTATCTGATTGTTCCTTGCCTGTTCGTCCCGAATCTGCTGTAGAAGTGCAGGATACTACAAGAGCCTGGTTAGAAGATATAGATCATTGAAGAGACATCACGGAGACTTACGAAGCGTTCGCCAACATCTGGATGGCTCTTTATGCGGTTCATCAGGGTGGCTTCACCAAGATGGCCCCAGCGGCCCTTGGAAAAGGTGAATTCAATATCGTCTTGACGGATCCCATTCCTCTCGATAACTTCCTGTCGAAGCTTCTTGACTTGTTCTGGCACATCCATACTTTCAAATGTGGCGTCATAGCTTACACCTTGGAAGAAGGGGACGCTGAATCGTGCACCAGCTCCACGGGCTGGACTTAGTACTCGGTGGGTTGTACTTGATGTGCATCAGTATGACTTCGTTCAACAGGTGAAATGTAAGCACTACGATACTTACCTCTGACAAACTCCTTGGGTAATAGCCTCTAGCCCCTGGCCCATAGCTACAACCAAAGTGCCATCTATTGGGGGGCAATCGATCCATTCGCCTCGGTGGTTCTGAACCTGCAGACCGCGATGCTTCGTTGCTTGAAGGAGATAACTCGTGAGCATGCTATCTTTATGCGGACCAACGCCCTGGGCTTCCCCATCGACTCCCAACTCTTCTAAATCAGGGTATTTGACTATCTTCAACTTGTGTTGCTGGTCTTTGTCAAAGAATCGATCAAAGGCATTAGCTGGTAGGCCGATTGCTTCTGCAACCAGGGAGATGAATTCCATGCTGATAGCGCCCATCCTCTCCATGTACTCCTCATACACAGGACGAAAACGAGGAATAGACGACTCGTCTGGCCACTGATTCGGTGCTAGTAGATTGTGATAGAGCGGATCAGAAGGACCAGGAACAGGATGGTTTGTAGAGAGATCAATCTGCTCTCTCCAGTCGGTCTTAAAACGGGTGATCTCACCACCCAATCTGCTGTATCCTAAAACCCTCGGTCAGCTAGGTACATTTCTGGGTGTATTAAGGGGTGCTTGGTGATGATGGGTGCTCTATTAGCACTATGAGAAGCAAAGGGCATACCAAGAAAACTGGGGGCATTCTTCATCTCAATTTCCAGCTTCTTCTCCACCGGAAGGTCAAAGAATTTCTTCCCTTCAACGATGACATCTTCTATCAACTTGCCATCGATCCCGGTGTTCTTGATATAGAGGAAGCCGACTTCTAGCAGTGCATGGCGCAGCTCATTGAGGAAGCCGGGTTTCTTCGCAGCATCTCGGGCCGCCGAAAGATCAAGGATCGGAATCGAATCGAAAGACATGCCGTATATATTATGGAAATAACACCTATATCTACTTACGAACACCTCGTCAGTGCCAGGAGTGCTGTATATATAGATGACCGGCTTCTTCGGTCTTTACTATACGGGCTTGGTGATGATGTTATGTGGGGTAAGAAGTGCGAAATGCCGAAGAGATGCCGAGCGAAGCTACAGGTAGCTAAATACGACTTCAGGGGCAACGATTCAGTTATATTGAAGATATCCAATTGAAATTTTTTAGTAGCTGGTCTTTTGGTCTATCCGCATAACAACTATGCTAACTTGATATCATGACAAAAGAAAAAAAACATTTTCCAATTTAACTGGGAAGAGCATGCTGGCTCAATTCAATACCAGAAAAACTGTCCGGGGAATCATCACAGAAAGGCTGACTTTTTTGATAGCTGGCTCAAAGATACATCATCAATACCTCCGTCCTCCACCAGGGATAGACCAAGAGATGAAGTTCCCAATCATCAATCATCACACTGTTCCTCTTTACTGTTCAAAATCACTCTCCTTCTCGTTGACTGGAGATGCGGTCTCAGAGGCCTTTCCATGGCCGTACTCAGCATCCATTCGGCTGATCTCCTCCTCGGTAAGGTATGGAAGTTCCCTAGCGGCCTGGACATAGCTCTTGTTCTCGCAATATCCTTTCGCGAAGATGATATCAATCTCCTCAAGACTTCGTTTGGCGGTTTCGGGATAGAAAAAGTAAATTATTGGAAGGAAGCAGATGTTAATGATGGCGAAGAAGAGATAGGTTCCCCAGCCAATACCTGCGAGCATAACGGGAGTGATCATGACAATGAAGAAGTTGAACAACCAGTTGGAGCAGGTCGAAAGGGCGTTGGCCTTTGCACGGGTCTTAATAGGAGAGATCTCTGCAGCGTACAGCCATGGCAGTGGGAGCCAGGTGGCGCCGAAACTGGCGATGTATGTGAACAGACCGACGGCAGCACCCTTAGCGGTAGCAGGAGTATTCGGGATCAAACATGCGAAAGTGATCGTCATGGAGATGGCTTGGCCGGCCGCTCCGTACAGGAAGAGCTTGCGACGTCCAGCTCGCTCGATCAAGAACCAAGATGTCGTGGCGAAGATGGAATACACGATCATGTTGACACCACCAAGCAAAGTTGCCATGTTATGATCCACACCAATGGACTTCTCGAAGAGAACTGGGAAGAAATAGATAATAGCGTTGCACCCAGATAGCTGCTGGGCAAACTGGCCGAAGACACCCAGGAACATACGGCGACGGTGCTGAGTCTTTCCACCAGTGAAAACAACGGATAACGGGGTAGGCTTTCCAACTTCACCAGAAGCTCGGATAGATTCCATAACCGCGTTCTTTTCAGCCTGGACCAGGGGATCGGTAATTGGGACACCGTGGAGAGCAGCTATGACCTTTTCACCCTCGTCTGAGCGGTCTCTCATACACAGCCATCGTGGGGACTCAGGGAGCCAAATCATACCCGTGACCATGACGATTGAAAATGCAATCTGGAAAGCGATAGGGAACCTCCAGGAGAAGCTATCGGCGCCATAGGAAGCTCCATAATCAATCCAGTAGGCAATCAAAGTACCAAATGCGATCGTTGCTCCTTCAATACAGATCAGGAGGCCTCGGTTTGAAGTATGAGAACATTCTGCCTGATATGTTGGAATGGTGGAGGTGTTAATTCCATTTCCAACTCCGGTTATGATTCGACCAATAATGAACTGAGCGTATGGCTGATGACCAACGAAGCTGGTGACCTGGATGATAGCACCGATGGCCATGATAATAGCTCCCGTAATGATGGATTTGCGGCGTCCGAGCATATCGCCACCCCATATTATACTGACAGCACCCAGAAGACAGCCTGTTAAAGATGTTGTTAGCAAATTCTCACCTTAAGGGACGAAAGGCCAACTTGATATCAGACATACCTATTTCATATATAGCAGTGACAAACCCTTGATTTGTTGGGTTGTCTTTGGTTTCCGGGAAGACTGTGTTGAATGGCATAGCGCTAATGATACCAGCCATCACGCCCTCTGTTTGCATACATTGTTAGTTTGATACTGCTAACAATATACCAAAGTTGGACATTCACTTACGATCATACCCAAATAGCAAGAAGCCACATGTCGCGATGGTAGAAACACATCGCGACAGCTTCTTGCCTGACATTCCTCCATAAGTTGGTATCTCTGCCATGTTGGGCAGATTTAGATGCTGCAATGACTTCTGTCGATCATAAGATGAAAAGGTCACAGACCGGAATCGTTCACTCGGGACACCAGAGCGGGAGGATATATGAATGTCAGGAATGTCAACCCGGAGATCACAGGGGCAGGAACCTGTCTGTTATATAAGTATAGACCTTGAAGTCAACTCTGCATCTTTGTCAGCGGGGGCACCACAACTATGGGATACTCCCCTTTCTTCTCCACAGAAAGCTATAGGTACACTGATGGAACCATGGATTCCACGGCTACATCCTACCTGCGTGCGGTTCACCGGGTCCCCCATGTAACCATATCGCCAAGAGCTGCCAGATGGTGTGGCGAGTAGTTACTCTGTAACTAAAAGCAATGAGCCGGTGGTTTATGGAAGGCCTCTCAACTCGTTCATGATAAACTGGTTAACTGCTTCTTGTGCAGTTAACCAGACTATCAATACGGATATGACTTGCCGAATTATATGCCATCCGCGAACTAAAGAACGTGCGAGCGAAGCCAAGCAAATAAGCAGGCGGCACGGCGGCATCTCTAACAATCGATCAGCACTGCAAGTTCCGAGTTTGATTTGTACCGAACCCACCACAGCCAGCAGGAAGAGTCCTCTGGTTGATCGGTGACCGTAACCTCGACCAGACCCGGCCGTTCTCCGACTTCATGGGCAGAGCAGAAACCTCGGTCGAAAAGCAAACTCTCTCAGCATCCCATCCATATTATCGATTTTGTTGCATCCATAATCTAAAATGTGGTCCTGGATGTTCGGTTGTGGGGAAGCATGACGTTGCAGTGTGCCTGTCATATGCTGGAGAAGCCCGGTAGTACCAACTCCAGTGACAAGCATAAATTTCTCCCTCCTGTCAATTTGGAATCTGCCCAGTGAGATTAAGTGGAAGTAAGGATGAGACTTACCAGCGAAAAATCAGAGATTTTCTAGACGAACCAAAAGGCGAAACAAAACCCATGATGACATCATAGTATCAAGCTTTTTAAGGTCTTTGCTCCTTTTTTCAGCCCCAAGCCGAAAGTCAAAAATTTGTTTAGTTATCTGATCCTCTCTGAGATTCGATTAAGGGCGATGAAGTTGATATTGATCTCAACTTTGACGGATAGTCAGAAATAATAATGATAATAGTAGTTAATCTAAGATGCCCCAGAAGATGCGGTCAGTAAAAAAAACAGTTCGACTTGAGGCCACATACGAAGTAGACGCCAACTACTCCGTACCAAGACAGTGGACCTGAAGCAGTGGATGCAAGCTGAATCAGCCGGGCTGATTTTTCTTTTGCATATGCAGATAAAACATATACAAAGGATTCCACAATGGAGCTCAGGTGGACTGCTGTATGCACGCAGGAGTGCACGGTGGAGTGTGGAAAGGAAGCGGAGGGAAGCGGAAAACAGTGGGATAGGGGAAATTTGATGCGGAGCTCGTTAGAGTACATATTTGATTCCTATCTCCAGTTATCGAGTTGCATTGTGGGTTGAAACGGTAGTAGAGATTGAAGCTGCAGAAAATGAGTAGATGAGAGAACGGCATGAACCAATAGAAATATATATACTCCGTGTAAAAAGGGTATTAAAGCAAGTAACCAAAAAAGTAGGTGGGCGGAATATATAGCAAGCCAAAAAAAAAAAAAAAAAAAAAAAAAAAAGGCCAAAGGATAACGCTCCAACTTAACAAGACAGACCAAGAACCCAGCATGAACAGATGAATGGATATTAAGACAAGGAACACGGCAGGAGAAAAAAAGCAACGTGAATGAGGAAGAGGGAGGATCATGATTGAATGACCATCCCGGTTGCATTGACTGCGTCGTCGGTATAAAAGCCAAAGACGAGACGGTAGAGATCCAGCAACCATTCATACTGACTGTTGTATTGGACCATGGCCTGCACTGCTCGAGCAACATCAATTGCACTCGCCCGGGTCGGCGGCGGGACGGACCTGAAGGCCGGGTCAGCCGTGATGAGCTTCTTATAATTGACCAGCAATGACATTTGCCAAGGCAGGGAACCAAAGGCATCTGAGGACAACGTCTTAGCGAAAATGGGTAGGCTTTCAGAACCGCCGCGCTGGAAGCCGCTGTTCATGGCTGCTCGGACAAGGAGGAGTTTCAGAGCTGTCAGGTTTTGATCTTCGCCGGGAGATTTGACTGTGTGCGTGGACGAGGCTGTCTGGCTGGATGTGCGTGAGTAGCCGGATAGAGTCGAGGAATTGCTTGACCAACGAGGGTGGTGTGGTGGGTTATCGAAGCCTAGGACCATGATATTCGGGATGGGAGCTTGGTCTGGCGAGACGGTGGTGGCAGTGTCGTCAAAGATGGTCGTTGGAGTCTCTGGATTTTGCAGGCCGAGTAGACTGTCTGTGTCTGTATCTGTGTCTTCAGATGGGTACTCCGCTCGCTTGGCCTGGTAAAAGGCCTGTGTGAAGGTAGTCTGGCTAGGACGAGGGGTGCCACGGTCAGGACGGACCTGAGTCCAGCCTTCGCGGAAGAGATCACAGAGCTCCCAGCAGGCCTGGACCGCAGAACCCAGCAACTCTTCGTCAGGAGCTTTTCCTTCGCGTTTCCCTTGCCGCAGGCTAAAGAGCATTTCGGCGAGAGACCAGCACGCTCGAAGTAGAGAGTCAGTTTCCTCGGTGAGTCGTGTCCGCTGTTTCATCAGGCGGTGGCAGAGGGTGATGTAGAAGTCTAGAGTGCGCTCACGGAAGGCTTCGGGGAGGTTGCGGTCATGGGTGTTGTACAGATGGTTGTTCAGCTCGAAGCTGACTCTGAGGACAGAGTCGGCAATCTCGTTCTCCTTGAGCCGTACCTCGAACAAGGCCTGGCAGAAATCCCGACACATGTCGAGCGTAGGCCGGACCTGGGCTGAATGATCGTCATCACGGGTTTCATACAGGTTCTGGCACAGCTTCCAGCATGTCTTCCAGGCCTGTTCCTGCATGTCGTCCTTCCCGCCGAAATTGAATAGCCGTTCCCGGTGATTGTAACTTAGGTTGGCGAGCGTATTGCAGAGTGTCCAGCATTCTGACAGGGCAGTCCGAAGTGCTCTAATTTCTACGTCGTTATCAGGGACATTGGACCTGGTCTTGGTCCAGACAGATCGCTGTTCACCGTCATCATAGTGGCCATCCTGGCTCTGCTCTGTATCCGAGCTTTCCGGTATATCTGCGGTAATGTTAGCCGACATATGGCTTTGGGTAAACATTAAAAGTTAAGCCTGACCATCTAGATTTGCCTGGTGAGGCGTTCTTTTGAAGTTTTCTATCTCCTGTAGCGTTTGTGCTCTGGGAGTGTTTAGTTCATAGTGACCAGTTGGAGCCACGGATGTGGTTATTGGAGGAGGCGAGATGGGACTTGCCCCGGATTTCTATATACAGCCTATTAGTTTATGTCAACCACGACCAAAGTAAACAGACGTACCCTTGACTCTGCTCGGGGAACAGTGATGGTGACGTCTGATCTCTGAGTCGACGATGTTGTCGACGGAGCGGGAGATTCCACAGTCTATCTGGTTAGCATGATTGACCTCTTGGACAGACGAGTTTGATGGATATACATACAAATCCATCGAAGCCAACTGGAGCATGGATAACCGACTGTGGTTCAGGTTCGTCGTCTTCCAAGTCATCCCTCCGCAAGTCCTCCTCCCTTGTTTGAAGCTATGTCGGCCAGTCAGTATGTATACTCCCGCAGGAAACAAAAAAAATAAAAATAAAAATAGCAATGCGTACGCTCAAGTCTCTGGTCTCCTCTGGGCGGGGAGAGGCCTTCTTCAGGCTCGACGGGCTGCCACTGAGACTCCGTCTGCCATTCCCGTTGGTGAGATTGAGGCTGCTGGGTGTATTTGATCGTGATTTTGGCTTGGTCTTGGGCTGCTCTTCGACGGACTGGGGGACGTCTTCCGCCTGAGACGGGTCGTGGGAAGGGGGATTAGAGACAGGCCTAGCACCCAGGACAGCACAACGACAGTCAGTCAGCAAGTTTCAACAGGCAATGCGCAGTAGAGTCTCTTCTTTTCCATCTGGACAGACGCACATGAGAGGGGATCGCTGGTTAGATCTCAGGGAAGATGGGGCATCGGCGGACGAGTAGATGGCGGTGGATCGAGGCGACACAGAGGCCTGGCTTTGGACTGCAATCATAGCAAGTCGACTCGGCACTCAATTCGTGTTTATATCAGGTTCGAGAGGGGCTTAGATGCGAGGATGTATCGGCGGTATTCGAGGCTGTCGAGTAGGAGATCGTTAGACAGGCAGACAGAGAGAGAAAGACAGGAGAGAGACTCACAGCAAGACAGCGGTCAACCGCTCGGCCAGACAGCAGACAGTCGACTAGATTAATAGAACCGACGGCCAGCGAGCCAGCCTATCCGATGCTCTTGCTATGAGCCGCGACGACCTGACGGCTTTTTTTCTATTATTATTGAGGGTCGACTTTTATGGGGTTTCTTTGCCGTGGGGGCCGACAGTTCAACTATCAGCGATGCGACGGCCAGGTAGATGTCTCCCGGTCTAGCTGTATCGCCGTGTCTATCGCAGTCTATACCAACGTCTTTGGCCTCTGCTTCTCCTGCTCTGCTATCGCTGCGTGTGTCTTCCGCATCAGCATCAGCATCTCCTCTCGTCGACTCAAGGTCAGCACCGTCGACTTCGCAACTCCCGCCGCCGTCAGGTTGGGCTAGGCGCTGGGCAGAAGAGCAGGCCCGCGGCCGCTGCATCAATAGGGCCGCCAGCTGACTGGCTGCGCGCGCTGCTCAAGGTCGCTATTCTTTGCTTTTTCGCTCTTTGCTTCTTCCGCGCGTTAGTACGAATGTGTATATCAATCGGGGACTTCCTGCGGCCCTGGTTGGGCTTCTGCGAGGATGAGGATGCTCAGTAATAAGCAGCTACAGGGATGCGGTGGAAGGGCTGGCTGGCATATAGAAAGCATACTGGTTTGCTTTGCTGCTGCTGCTGATTGCTGATTGCTGATGATTGCTGTGCTATGTATATTTCTGGTGACGGTGAAGGTGATGGTAAGCGCCTGTCCCATCTGCAGTTATGCTGCTGGCTGTCTGCAATTATGCTGGCTGGCCAGCTCATGGGCCGGTCCTTGATCTCTCTCGACTGACTCCCTGACTCCCTTGTCTTCTGGCTCCTGGTTCATGACCTTGATCAACAGCTCCTGCTTGACTTGCCCGTTATGGGTTGCCCGACTGTTGTGTCTCCGGACCCGCGCATGTCCTCACACGTACATAGCCGCCCTTCTAACTCCGATCTCTTACTCTCCTCCCCAGTTGTCTCCTCGCGAGGGTCTTCTCGTTCAATTCGTTTTGTCGTTCGTGTTTTTATTTTTTATTTTTATCTGTCTACAGGTTGATCTTAGCTCGGTCGCGCTCCGCTGGGTTGTATCTATCCCTCTGTTAGCATCCAGTCGTCCTCACAGTCCAACAGTGGCACGATCTCCCATACCGCAGAAGCTTCTCGATTAGGTCGACGTGCGTCATTAGCATTCTCCTGCAGCAGTATCGCTTGCAGCCCAGCTGGTCCATCGCATCACTACCACTATTAGCACACCATGTTCTACTCAATAGAGTATAGTGAACGCATAGCATACCCATCGGGAACACCCTCGTCCAGCAGCCGCAGATACCGCTCCCACAGATCTCCAACGACCTAGAGTAACAAGCTCGCTGTCAATTAAAGCTCCTCCGCGTTGATATCATGGATGTCTTTGCGCGCCTCCTACCTTTCCACATGAGAAACACCGCACGGGAATAATCATGGTGACTGTTTTAACAGAAAAACCCTTTCGTAGACTGTAAATTTGCGTCTCTTGCTGTGTCTGATCAACCGCTTCTTCGTCCTCTTCGTCCTCTTATCGTCGTCGTCGTCGTCGTCTTTTTATTCTTTTTTATTCTTTATTTTTTTTGTCGAAAAATCAAGGTCACGAGACCACGCGTTTCCCTTTTGGGAGCTCTTGCTTAAAAATCGGATAAATATATCTCCATTGATTATGTAATGAAGATAAAGTTTAAGCTTTCTATTTTTTAATTTAATTTTATTTTTTTCTATAGAGAAAAAAAGAAGAAAAGACCAAGAGAAGGAGACGATACTAAACGGTCGGGATACTATACCCAATTGCTGGACTGAAGATGACGGAGAAGAGGGCTAGACGGCCGGATGAGGCACAGAGTGAGAAACCAGCCCGAGAGCGACACCGTGTGAAACGCCGCCGAGTCGACGAGGCCGCAGACAAGCAGGAGGAAGCTATACAGGCCACACCAGAGAAGAGGCCCAAAGAGAAGAGCAATGAGAAGTCTTTAGGGAAAGCTGAAGAGAAGCCGATAGAGGGCACTCCAGAGACAAGTACGCCGTCAAAATCTCACAAGAAGAAAAAGAAGGACAAGGAGAAGAATGCAGTCGCAAAGACAGAGAAGTCAGCTATCAAATTGAACGATGAGAAAGCAATCGCGCGGCAAAAGGAACCAAATGGCTGGCGAATGTCTCCTACTACTGGTGGCCGTCTCCTGAATTTGGATCCTGTCTTTTCCAAGGACGAGGAGTAAGTCTGATGTGTATAACTCTTTGTCTTTTTCTTTTCAATCTACTAACTTGACTAGCCATATAATTCTATGTCTTGAGTCCGCCGTCCAGGTCTACTCGATTTCGACTTCGCATGCCGTCCGTGGCCTTCGGTCTTGCGATAACACACGTATCTCTGGCTGTGTACTCTCTCCGATCGACGATGAGATAGCATACGTCTCTACCTCAGGCGGTGCAATTGCCGAATGGAACTGGACAACCGGAGACACCCAACGAACCATGCAACTTGAGGGCTCATATTTGCTATCCCTCAAGGTGGTACAATGCCCTCACACTAATGGCAATGAAGAAGAGGATACGAAGGATGTTACTATTTTTGCACTGGTCATGCGAAATGGGAAGCGTGAAATATCCATCAACTCCTTTGATAAGCCGGGAGATCAACCTCAGAATAATGGCCCGAAACATCATTCTGTTATCCTGGAGACCTCTACGCAGATAAACGATTTCAGGCTCGCTGCTGGCGGATCAGTGATTATTGCTATAGCCGGCAGTTCTCTTATCATTGGACATCGGGCTAGAGGTCCAGAGCGCGAACCGGAATACACATGGCGTGAAGTACAGTTACCCTTCACTACGACTAGCTTCGACATACGTGAGCCCGATTGGGAGTCTAGCACGAAAAAGGGCAACAAGAAACCCGTTGTTGATCTTGCAGTGGGACAAAATGAGGGAGCCATCATTGTGTACAGTGATGTATTGAATACTCTCAAGGGGCTTGAGAACCGTCGGATAGCGGAGCCAGGTGCATCATCACTGAAGCTCCATTGGCATCGCGGACCTGTCAAGACTGTTCGATGGTCAAAAGATGGTATTTTCCCCTCTCGTCATGTCACTTTGAAGTGCTTGTGTATCATAGAACTAACAACTGCACAGGAAATTATCTCATATCTGGTGGCCTCGAAACCGTCATGGTCCTCTGGCAGCTTGATACTGGGCGAAAACAATTCTTGCCCCATCTCACTTCCGCGATATGCAACATCGTTGTCTCCCCTAAGGGCAGCAGCTATGCCATTAAGCTTCAGGATAACTCTGCCATGGTCTTGACTACTTCTGAGCTTAAGCCGACTGCAAGCATTAGCGGGCTGCAGGTGCTCGAGGACTCCAGAGAACGCCATCGTAAACTGCCCTGCAGGCTTCCGGCGCTCGTACATCCTATACACAGTAACCATCTCCTTATCGCCGCGTCGACAGCAATGGGACGAGACGCAGCCAACTCGTCTTATATCCAAACATTCGACATGCGCTCCAACCAACAAGTCTACCGTCAAGCTCTGACCCGTACCAACGTCTCTGTCCTCAATGTTGGTCCACAGGGAACCCAGCTAACCACCCCGGACATCACGTTTGTTCAGGTATCCCATGATGGCTCCTGGCTTGCCTCCATCGATGAATGGCAGCAATACCCTGATGATGTTAAGGCCTTATACCCCGGTATTGAGCATCAGAGCCGTGAGCCGAAGCGAGAGGTGTGTCTTAAGTTCTGGCGCTGGAACGAAACCACTATGGAATGGGAGCTCGTGTCTCGCGTCAACTCACCGCATACTTCGACTACTGGCGAAGCTCTGACCGTCCTTGACCTTGCTGTGCATCCGCAGGGCTATATGTTTGCCACCGTAGCTTCGGATGGCATGCTCAGAATCTGGACACCCGATAGCAAAAGCACGAGGAAAATGAACAGTCGTGGCGGAGGTACTAATCAGGTGAAGTCCTGGCGATGCTCGCATGTTATTCCTCTAGAGGCACCGAACGATCAACCATCTGCCTCACTATGCTTTTCTGAGGACGGTTCTGCGTTGGCTGTGTGCTGGTCCACTGTCTCTCGTTGTGGGTTGGTTTCCCTCATTGACCCGGAAACAGGCCGCATTCACCTCTCACGTCAGGGCCTCTACACGGACCCTGCTCAGGGTTGTGGATTCATCGACCGATACTTGATAATTGTCTCTGACTCCGCCTTTGTCTGGGATACCGTATCCGACCGAGTTATCTCCCGCATCCCCTTGCGAACCAAGAAAGCAAAGAACAACTTCCAATCATATCTAGCAATCAACCCTCGCAGCCGGACCTTTGCAACCTGCTTCTCTCGCCCTCCCGTAGATCACTCCAATCCAGTGTCGAAAAAGGGGAAGTCAGCTAGAAACCAACTCTGTGTCTTTAGCGTTGAATCATCTTCTCCGATCTTCCAGTCTTCAATAGACAGCACCCCGCTTGCCTTGTTACCCGATACAAAGACAGGTGAATACATAATCATCGATTCATCTGCATCTATCACCCGAATGACATCAGGCGTTGCATCAGTTCTACCGGATTCTGCATTCGCTGAGTCCACTCTCCCCCTTAAGAGCGGGCTGGAGGATATCTTTGGTTCATACCGGAGGCTCCCCAAGGCTTCTTCAACTGAGAAGCCATCTGAGGAGCAGGAAACGGCTGGTGCAATTGAGAAGAAGAGCCTGGCTGACGTATTTGATATCGCCCCGTCGTTTGCTCTGCCTAGTGTCGATACTCTGTTTAAAAGTGTTGTTAATGTTTTTGCAAAGGGATAAATCCCAGGCATGGCTATAGAAAAGCGATATAGATACGAGCAATTGAGTTTACTAACAACCACTTTTCTTTTGTACCTGTTTTCATTCGTCTTTCCATAGTATCCACCTGCATGGCTATAAAACCGAAGTGAGTCACCGTTGCATATATAACAGAGTCCAGTTGATATCAGGTATCCGACCAGCTCTCTGTATCTCGAATATCAACAGTCAACAAGGAGGAAACATGGAATCTCAACAAGCATCAGGGACGGTCTCGAAGCCGTCTCCCACCAGCCAAAAGACCTTCTACAAGACACCGTCTCACTTCGAGCAAATAATCGGCTACTATCGAGGCGTCCGCCATGGCCAACGCATCTTCATCTCAGGCACCACGGCCGTCAATCCCAACAAGGCCTCATCTGCTGCCGAGCCGCCACAAGTTCTTTTCCCCGGAGACGCAAAGAAACAGACCATCGCTGCCTTTGAAGAATGTCTACGTGCTGTCACCAGCCTGGGAGGTAACGGGGTGCAGAGTGTAGTGAGAGTACGCATGTTTGTTGGAAGACATGAAGACTGTGGTGCAGTTGGCGAAGCATTCACAGAGATATTCGGAGACCAGAAGAGCAATGCGAACAATACCAACGCTGAGATTGGGACTGCGGCGACGATGTTGGTGGTTCAGAACGGTTTCATCAATCGTGATATGATGGTTGAAGTAGAGGTCGATGCCATGGCGGCTGAATAAAGTGTTGTTCATTGCTGAATCTTCTATACATCATTATATATATAGGGTGTCACCAGCTGGTCAAGCCCTTCTTTCTGTCAAATCCACCTCTAAGTTGAGCTTCTGGATGAATCACTTTGCCATTGATTATTGTATGATTGACGATACCCTCGCAGTGCTCTGGCCGTATCCTCGCCAGCCATATCATCTGCTCATCTTCCTTTCTATATATCAGCATGTTGGCTGCAAATTTATGACCACCCACATGCGAGACAAAGAAGATACCAACGCCGCCAGGCCGCTCATCATCGTCGTCTCGCAGTAGGCCGAGAGGACGGAGGTGTCGTTCAAGTTCTTTCTTGATCAACGGCGCTGATATACCACATCGGGCATCGCGGGTCTTGTGTGAGCATAGCAAGACAACGTAATCTCGTGGACAGGGACGAGATTGCAGACTACTCTTGACACTGGGTGCTTGACCTTGGCCTGAGCTGTCCTTGCTGATGAAACGAGCATTAAGCTCCGGTATATCTGCCGTTGATACATGATCGACGTAGGTGAATGCTGGTAGGAGGAGCACCGTTGAAGATGCATTATCACTCATCGGATCAACTGGTATATTGGATGCCAGAACTACAGTGCTCTGAAGAGACCTATCAGTATCTATACTGTACAATATGGACATGGAACACTTACCTCTCCCTCGGGCTGAGTTGAACCGCTGAAGGCTTCCATCAGAGACCCCTTCTCATTCTCCACCTTCGCTATCCAGTCCGACTTGCCCGTAGCAACAAGGACATGGTTCGTGACTGGCTTGACCGTCCCGTAGAGCTTCCTGCCTTCATCTACCTTGAATCTTGACGGGTATCGAATGGTGCAGCTGGCACAGTCGTTGTCACATCCGTCTCCGTCTGCTTCGGGGTCAACCGTAGGGAATAGATATCGGTCCGTAGAGCCGCCATCCCTTCTCTCAGGCACTACAAGGGCCTCCCTTGCACGAGAGAAGATCGAACCCAACATCTTGTATATATTTGACTATCATCAACCATCTTCAACCAGGGGGGTTATCCAGCTCATTTAAATGCTGCGAAATAGTGCTGCCTGCCAGTTTATCTCCGGTGTCCTGCATTAATCCCTTGACTGACGATCAAGGTCCCCCGGACAGAGCATCATCCGTCCTATCACCGTCGTCGCCGTCGCATATCAAATATCAAACCTGCGAATCGAATGACATCAAAGTCAAGAAGAATAAACAATCGAAAAAAGAAAAAAAGGGGCTGACTTCGGCCTTTTCGGCTCAGCCGCAGGGGGTTGCACGGCTTATCGCCGAAAAACTCCGGCGTGCTTCTTTTCTTAGTATCAAAAAAAAAAAAAAAAAAAAAGTCGACGATGCAAGGAAAAGATAAACAAGAAGACAAGAACGAAAGACGGCGAGACGAAGACGAAGACGAAGTGAAAGACGTGATACTCCAGCATGGCCGAAGGCGCGCAGGCTTCGGGAGCTGCGGAGGACACTGAGAAAGCGCAGCAGCAGGAAGACCAAGAACCACGTCCACAACCACAACCACAACCACAGCCACAGCAGCAGCAACAACAACAGCAACGTGAGCATGAAGAGGAGCCCGAAGCAGAGCAGCAGCATGAAAGAGAGCCAAAGAAGAAGCGAAAGAGAAGAACGATTGCATGTCTCCAGTGTCGGACCCGAAAAGTGAGATGCGACTTGGAATTCCCGTCCTGTGGACGCTGCGCAAAGGGACCATGGCCGGGTGCCTGTGTCTATGAGAACGCTGGACCGCCTACGTGGAGCTCGACCGGCACGCTGCCAGCTACACGGTCTCTATCAAACGAGCAGTCGAGGTCTCGTGCAGACGCGGATGGCCGTGATGTCCGGGGCGATGCTTCGAGCTCGCGGCTGAGCGAAGAACAGCGGATACGGGAGCTCGAGCGGGTGGTGCTCAGCTTTGCTCAATCGCAGGCCTACGCAAAGCAAGGGATGGCAATGGGTAGATTGCCTTCAAGAGCTGCTGCGGACAGCGAGATACAGCATACCCCTTCGCCGCGTTCTACGCAGTATTCTCGAGACGAGGCTGGATCTATAACTACCACCACCACCAGCAGGCCGGATGCACACAGCAGGCCACTGTTGGGAGTCAAGGGGAACAGAACTCGCTTCTACGGACTGAGTAATGTAGCTAGTCTGGTCACCGAGGTCGGTTGATTTTATTTCTGTACTTCTTCTTCTTTCCCTTCGAAATCCTTCACCTGGCTTATACGCATGTATAGTTTGGGGATCTCCGTGCCTATACCAAAGACTTGAAGAGCAGGTTTCCTGCCTTGGCCAATATCCGAAACCTTAAGGCGCTCAAAAAGGACCAGGACCAGGTAAAGAGGCCGCTCTCGGGGGAATCGGCTCTTGATGCTGTCTTTCTCACCGGATTGCTACCTGCGCGGCCTGTGACATACAATCTGGTCCAGTACTACTTTGCCTTCTCAAGCAGCACATACCATGTCCTGCATAAGCAAACATTCTACGAACGCCTGAAAGACCTCTATCAGCATCCCCAGCAGGCCGCTGCGTCATTTGTCATACAGCTGCTTCTCGTCCTGTCAATAGTATGGAGCGTGGATGCGCCGGAGCCTGTGGCTCCCTCATGCGACAAGGGAGTCACCGTGACCCGCAACATGGCAATGGAATGGATATACTGGGGTGACACCTGGCTTTTCCATTCGGGAATAAAACGGCCGAACATGGTCCTTTTACAGACTCGCTGTCTGCTTGTCCTTGCAAAGGATGCCAACTATACCCAAAAGAACCAGGCCTGGGCTGCTACGGGAACTATTGTGAAACTAGCAATGTCGGCAGGCTACCATAGAGAACTCGGGCCAGATGCGAAAGTATCCCATTATGACAGAGAGATGCGACGGCGGATATGGTCTACTATTGTGGAACTGGACCTCAATGCTTCCTTTGACAGAGGGATGCCGCCTACTATTCAAGCGGTGGACTATGATGCCCTTCCTCCCATAAACATCAACGACGAAGATATATCTGAGTCTTCTACCCAATACCCTGAACCAAAGCACTGGCAGATACCCACCGACTCCTCCTTTCAAGTCACGCTGGCTAGGTCGGTTGACTTACGATTACGCATATGTGCCCTTGTTAATGCGCCCCGAATTGCTATATCTGCGGCTCAACTGTCGGAACTGGATGATGAGTTGACACGGCATCTCTCTGAAGTCCCTCGGACCTGGGAGAGTTTTGAGTCCACAGACTTGCGACAGCGGCAGCGAGTTATGCTCTGGAGGGCATTGATAGACACACAGCTAAGACGCAGCCAGCTATGCTTGCATTCATGCTGCGCCTTGAGTGATCTTCCGCCCTCCGTATCCAACTACTCCTGGAGAGCCAGACTTGAGGTCGCGATGGAACTGCTCTGCCAGCAGCATCAGGTAGTAGAACAGCTGGGCCGGCTGGCATGGCCTCTACTTACAAATACCACCTTTCAAGCTGCGCTCACCTTATGTCATTACATGTACAGATCTGATCGTGGCTTTGGTGAGTTATCCTTTCTACATCCACTGTAACCACACCAAGCGTTAATGCTAACCCGCATCTACGTCTCCAGCTTCATATCTTATCCAAGCAACTTTGCCAGCAATGACAGAATCTCTTATTGCCTTGGTCGAGAAGACATTACCTCACCTAGAAAGCAAATTTCTGATTTTGGAAAAGGGAATGAGAGAGTATTGCTATTTTTGTTTTATTATCTCAATGGTGAAAACGAAGCGGTGGCCTGAATCGGCCTTATCACACCAAAGGCTCGCTGTTGATCGCATTAGCAGCATGTGCTACAGCATCTTATCCCGAGGCAATGGTAGCAGAAGCCAGGACGGCGATACCGCCAAGGCAAGTGCTCCCAGTGTTTCTTCTATTGAGCGTGAATTGTAATAACCGAGGGACGTACAGGTGGCTGCTGGCACAGATGCTTCTGCGAGTATGGCGGCAATGCCTATACCAGCGCCTTCTCTACGCAGTGGCCAATTATCCTCAAACTCCACTGAGATAGCAGATTTCGGGGTGAGCACCTGACATTATTCATTTTCAGACTGCAAAGCTACCTGCTGACACTTATGTTGTTTGATTTAGATCTTTGGGGAGTGGGATTTCCTTTTTGGTGACTTCACCGCGGACTTCCCTGGATTTGGAGAGATATAGACTGATTGGAATAACTACCCAAAGAAGATGCTTTGCGTATGGTTAGGCCTCTACCGTACCATTTGGGAACATATGATGTGCCTGTACATGATTTACATGCACTGACTATACCACCAACTGACACAGCCGGCAAGTTGCCTACTGTGAAGAGCATATATACAGGCGACTGCCCTATCTATATCTACTTCCGGGTCTCATATATATTCAAGCAAAAGGAGTTCTGCAACTGTTGACCATTCGATGGCTCCGAACTTGAAACTCCATGTTCCATGACGCTTTCTGTGGTAGAAGAAAGAAACTGTGATATATATTCATCCATGAATCGTGAGGCCGGACAGATCAACATTAGACGTCGCTCGTTTATATATCATCACCAAGCCTCCCCTGATATGCCAACCCATATAACAAGAACAAGCACCGCATACCCATAACCAAAAAGATGCCCCCATGCTCAAGGAACCATACACGAAGAAAAGAACGAAGAGAAAACAGGGCGCGAATACTATGAATCAACTTCTTCCTTCGATGTAATCTCTGTTCTCAATCGTGACACTTTTTGTCATATGGTTCACTTTATAGACACCCACAAGGCGAGACGCAAGTTCGAACTGAAGAAAGGATACGACTTAGCATTTGTCAAGCCAGAGACAGCATCAGAGCGGAGACATACCATGTTATTTCGCAGAGATATGACGATGAATTGAGCGTTCTTTGTTCTCTCCTTGATATAGGATGCGACGATAGAGACCTGCTCATCAACGGTTAACAATCACAATAATCGTTTCCAAAGGAGGGTATCCCCAACTTACGTTTCTGAAATCCAACGCTGCATCGATCTCGTCCATGACATACAGCGGCGTTGGGCGGTAATGGTGCAAGGCAAAGACCAGAGCCAAACTTGACAGCGTCTTTTCTCCTCCAGACAAGTTGCTAATGTTCTTCCAGCTCTTCTTTGGAGGCATGACTGAGAACAAGATACCTTCAGAGAAAGGGTCCAGGGAATCAACGAGTTCCAGCTCCGCGTTACCGCCCATTGTAATCATTTGATACATTTCCTTCAGCCGAAGAGATATGGTGCTGAACCCTTCCATGAAGCCAGTGAGACGGAGAGAACGTAGAGTATCAAGACGTGATTTAGCAGCATCACGACTGGCGAGCGCCGTTGCCAGGTCTGCGGAGCGAGATTCATGTTCCGCAACACGGCGACGGTACTCCCCTAGAACTGACAAATCGACAGACGCGTTCTGCGTTTTCTCCTCGAGCGTAGCGATCATTGCTTTTAGAGATTCCTTGTCCATCTCTGCAAGTTCATCCTTGGTGTAGATCTGCAATGATTCAGCTGCCTCCTCCTCCTCACCAAGGTCGCTGATACTTTGGAGGGAAAGCTTCGAAAACTTTTCATGCCAGTATTTCGCTCGTTTTTGGTTCTCAACCAATGCCTTCTGACTCTCTTCAAGCTTATTTCGCATTTCAATCTCAACTGCTCGGGTTTCATTGAGCTCCGCGGTCTTTCCATCCAGCTCTGTCTTTAATGCTGTCAACTCCTCCTGTTTGGTTTGCAAGGCCTAAATTAATGTTAGTACAAGGGCATGGCTATTTATTGAGTTAATGCCCATAACTTACCTCTTCCGCTTCCTCTGTTTTCTGCTTAATTCCAGAAACTGCCTTGGCCTGATTTTTGGCTTCTTCATTCAGCTTTTCGATATCCTCCTGGACACTTTCAAGCTCAGCCTCCGCGTCTGCACGGGCTTTCTCATGTTTAACCCGCAGTTTCTCATTCTTAGACTTGGACACCTCAGCGTTGGACACCTCATCCGTCAGAAGTGAAATCTGTTCCTTGAGACCATCCACTTTGGCCTTTTGGCCCCTGAGCCTTACTCCACCGACTTCCATGATTTTGTCTTGGAGGGCCTGGATCTCCTCTTCAACTCCAGTCATTTCGGACCGTAGCTTCTCGATCTCCTTCTCCAAAGCCTTAATAGTCTTTTCAAGGCTGCCCTCTCGCTTTTCATCAGCCGCAGATGGTTTGTGTTCTTCGGAGAGTTCTTTCACTCTGCGCTGTGTATCTGCGAGATTCCGCTTGGCGCTATCAATCTCTAGCTGGAGTTTTTGAATGGTCGTTTCAACTTTGGGGATTGCATCTTTGGTTGTTTTTAACTCGGTTTCTAGCTCCCTTTGCCTTTCTTGGAATGCCTGGAACTTTTTCTCCATTGCATCTCTATCGGCATCAAGCTTAGCAACTTGCTCTCTAGAGACCTCTGCCACTTGTTTAGAAGACATTCCACCTCTAGCAACTCGAGTCCCTCCACCGCTCATAGTACCGGAAACATCAATGAGTTGTCCATCCAGCGTCACTACCCTCCATCTTCGTGCACCGTATGCGATTTTGTTGGCTTGCTGCAAATCCTTTGCTACGAGGGTATTTTGGAGCACACTATAAAAAGCGGCCTTGAATTTGTCGTCCACAGGTTTAACGAGATCAAATAGCCGCGGAACGCTGTCGGGCGTGAAAACAGAGGACATATCCCTCCGAGGTAGCCTGTCTAGCAGAATGAAGTTCGCCCGGCCCAAGTTATTCTTGCGGAGATAGTCAATGCATTGTTGACCAACTTCAACAGTATCAACCACCAAATTGTCAAGTGCCGGACAAGCCGTGGATATGGCCACGTCGTATTTCTCGTCAATTGTTCCAAGATTTCCGAGGCGACCATGAAATCCTTCAATACGTCCGGACTCCTTGAGTCTCATCAACCCCGAGAGGACGTTGCCCTGGGTTTGTGTGCTTGATAAACTGGCACGCGCCTCATCAGCCTTCTGGCGCAGATGAGAGAGCCTGGAACGGTATTCTGGTTCTTTATCGGCAAATTTTTGCACATTCGCGGAGCAGGTAGCGACTTCATGTTCGAGATTGGCCTTTTCTGCCCGGCACTGTTCAAGCTCAGCTGCCTTTGCACTCATGTCTTCCTTGATAGAAACAATTTTCGCTTGTGCTTCTTCCAAAGCAACAGCGCCGGCATTGCCCTTTTCACGAAGAATATCTAGTTCACTTTGGGCAACAGCGGCAGCGGATTGTTTCTCGTTGATTTTCTCTTTCCATGGTTCGAGAGATGTCTGTTTAGCAGCAATTTGTTCTGAAAGGCCCTGCGTTTTTCCTTTGAGGCTTTCACGAATTTCTGCAAGCTCCTTTTCTTCTACCTTCATTTCCTTTTCAAGAGCTGCAATCTCGGCTGATTTCTTCTCAAAGTCATCGCTGTGTTTTTCAACAAGCCCGGCACATTCAGAGGCAGCAAGACGGCTCGCGTTCATGGACTTTTCGAGCTTCTTTTGCTTATTGTTCAAGAATTTCCGTTTCTCTTCAAGCTTGACTGATTCTTTATCGTACTTCGCCATCTCTTTCATGATGCCTTGGGTTTCCTTTTCCATGGCCTCGTACTCTTTCGCAGCCTTTTTATATGTACGTTGAAGCTGCTTGATCTCATCTTCATTGCCCTGATGCTTTTCGAGTTCCAGGTTGAGTAACTCTTGGTTCTGTAAGATGGCCTCTTGCGTGACATTTGTGTTATCGTTGCATTCATCAATGTATATTTGATAGAGTGCGGATTGCTTCTCGACCAACTCATTCTCGTCCTTGATGTAGGCAAGAGCTTTATTTTTCTTATCTTCAAGGCTGGCTTTCTCTTTCTCAACATGCTGAACTCGATTGTTCTTTTCGTTGCAGGTTTCGTTCAAAACCTCAACTTCAGCAGCCGCCTCGTCGATGGGAGTTTTGTATTTTGACGTTCCAATGATATCCTCGAGGTATTCAAGTAAACCATCGTCGTGTTCATTGGCAGCCTTTGCTTTCATCTGAGAGATGGATTCGACTTCACCTTGCAAGATAAGGAAACGCTTATGATCCAAGTCGATCCCACGGCTCTTCAGAAATTCGGTGACAGTTGTAAAATTCGTTTCCCTTTTATTCATATAGTATTTGCTGCTATTATTTCTGAAGGCTCGCCGGGAAACGACTAGCTGCGAATCTGGGACAACTTCGTGGCCCCCATCCGGTAAATCTATAATCTCCTGAAAATGAACCTCAACCTCGCAAAACGGTAAATTGGGGAAGTTGGCGGAGTTATGGATAAGGGCTGATATTTTCCCCTGGCGCATCTTACTAGCCCTGAAGCCAAAAACAAATAGAAGAGAGTCAATGACATTGGATTTGCCCGAGCCGTTAGGGCCGACAACGGAGGAGAAGGAAGCGTGGAACGGGCCAACAAATTGCTGCCCAGCGTAGCTCTTAAAGTTTGTAAGGACGAGGTGAGTTATGACCATTCTCTGCTTAGGTCCCGATGGTTCTTCCTCTGCAATTTGGGGCGCTGATCGTGACTTGAGCATTATGTCCATCGGCCGCTCAAGCACGCTAGAGCTCGGGTCAACTCTGTCAATGACGGATTTTTCAGCATCGGGAGCGTTCGGGGGAGTCTGGTTAACGGCATTTTCTGTAATATCTGCAAGCGGTGTTCCGCTAAGTCTTCTTGACTGCGCTCGATCAGCTTCTGGAGATTGTGACGGTGCGGGGGTTGGAAGTGAGGAAACCTCTATAGATGAGTGTCGGCTGCTTTGGCTCCTAGGAATGCTCTGTCTCGCTTTTGAGGTGCGCCTTGACCGCAGTTCAGGTTCCTCTTCTACCGAGACGATACTCTCGTCCGTTGTTGATACTGTGGACTCTCTCCCACTCATCCTAGAGCGGCGTCGGTTTGAGCGCCCCATTGCGGGAGTCGGCGTAGTCGGCTCTTCCACCGGTGCCTTCGAGACCCTCCGAGATACCCTGCGCTTTGGGACGGGTGTATACTCCTCCTCTTCGTCCTCCTCATCCTCGTCTTCGTCATTGCTTGGGATACTGGGGGTAACGCGCCCCGAGGCAGGCTCATCGTCGGAGCTTTCTTCGAGAACAAAACTTTTGCGGGAAACCGACCGCCGCGGTCGCGATGATGTCGATGCCATTTTGCCAGACGCTGCTAGTCCTCGCGGCAACACAGGGTGTAGGATATCAAATAGCAGCGAACCGTCTTCTTTCCGTTCGTCTGTTGCTTCGCGATGTTGATGTGTTTATGTTTTGCCTAAAGAAGACGAACATTGAAGATTATGTAATACAGATATCAAGAGTCTTGGCAGCGTCGCGACGTTTTTCTTTTGCTTGCAAGTTGATAAACTGAGAACGACGACGATGAGAGCCATAGAAAACTAAACGGCACGGGAAACACTTGAACGGCGGGCCGGGGATAGACTGCAATATGGCGCCTTGGGAAGAGTTCGATATTGCGTTTGCCTTCAAGCGGGATATTTCTTACGATCACAAGCTCGTTGACCAAATAATCTCTAATCGACGGGTGCTTGATCACGTCCTATTCGTCGACCGGCTTTTGAAAATACTCGGGATTGAAGCGGGTAAGATATTTTTGAGGCCTAAACTGGAATCTATGAGCAAGGCTAATGTGTATGATGTAGCATCAAAGATATACCCCCCGAGATCTAACCAAAGCTTGCGGTCCCTCTTCCAGCAAATTGTCTCGTCGTCTTCGCCCAATCACCACAAACAATCCTTGATCTACTACATTTTGAAAGACTGCCGAGGAGCTACCGATAAGTCAGGCGCTTTGCAGTTTGCTAGGACATGTTATCTACCGGATAAGTACAGACTATTTATTGACGGGCTATGGTACCTCGATAAGCTAGAGTTTCGAGTAAGTATCCAGCTAGCACTGAAAATGGCCGCGGAAGCTAACCCAGATTTATAGCGCGCCCTGGAGTATATTACAGAGCCGTCTCTAATACCCACCTTCTCCGATGAGATTCTCTATGTCCTCTCAGCCTCATCGAAGCAAGACGATGGTCTTGCTATAGCCTACTATGTAACCGTTCAGCCCCCGCTAGCTTCCCAGAAAGCTCTCAATGCGTATTTCGGATCGCTATGTCGAACTGGTGTCCCGGAAGCGTTTTATTTCTTAAGACAACAGCCCGAAGAGAATAGTTCGTCGCTATTAGAACAACTCATAACCTTTGTTCTTTCCACAAAAGCCGGAGAGTTAAGGGCAAAACGTGCCATGGATCTCATAAACTTGCCGTTCAGCGAGACCGAAGAAGAGTGCTTCAATGACTTACTTTTACGCGGTAATGCAAAAAACCTGCACGGTGCTCGGGACACGGTCATGATGAGACGGGTTGCTACTGGGCGAGTGGAAAATTTGGACAGTGAACTGGAGTCACTTGGAGGGCGCAGGCTGGAGGGCCTTAACTGGGATGATCTGAAGAGAAACCTCAAGTCTACCAATTCTGTGGAAGCTTGATACAACAGCTATGATCTATGATACCAGGACACAACACTTCGGTATTTGGCGTTTAGGTTGCAATTCAGGCGTTCAACCGGCTTCATAGCTTCAGAGGGTCATATGTTTAGTTAGCTCAAGTGCTCACATTTACCACTTCTAGAACACAATAATCACCGTACTTTATAGATCAAGCGTCATCCTGTCCTCAGCCCTACGTAGCTCTTTGATTACGTAATCAGACCCCCAGCCTCAACCGCGGCCTTAAATTGAAAACCAAAAGCTTGACAATTTGAACAAACGAAAGCATTTTGTGAATCTAACATCTTTCGAAAGGAGCTGAATCAACACCCATAAATATTATCAACAGCGCAAATACTGCTTAAATCATTTTATACCCTATTAGAGCTTGGTCTAACACCCTGGCACCCTAAACGAAATAGCAACCGGTAGCTCCAGCAAAGGTGAAGACGCGATTCCCTACCGGGTCAGCATTTGCTCACACCACCGGTGGTGGGAGGGCTAGCACTGGGGCTCCTTGAATATGGCTATTTGCACGTATTATCAGCAGGGAAGATGCAAATTTGGGGGTTCGTTGGTGCAATGCGTTTTCATGCAACAGTCCTCTGCTTATTTCGCTGACTTACCATGTAGATCGATGCGCTTATGAGCACCCAAAGAACCAAGGCCAATTTGGATTCACTTCCGGAAACAGATTCGGGGTACTGCAGTCCGGTGGGAGCAAGCCGAGTGGCGGCTTTGGAGGTGGGTAGCTCCCTTTTGGTGTTGGTGTTCTCCATGAATTTCCTATTGTTGTATTAAGAGTGAATCAAACCCGAGCTTCCAGCCGGCATATAAAAAATTTATCCACTTTTTCGAATCAATTTACTGACTACAGAATTTATTTGGACGATTGATGAAACAGGCGACAAGCAAGACCCAAGGGAAAAGTATGTGTACACCTCGTAACCTGCTCCCTGGAACATCAAACGCTAATCATTAACTAGGTATTCTTTAACTGCTGCGGATATAAAAAATGACCTGACGGACGGTCAAGGTCGGCCCCAATGGATCTTCTCGGCTTATGGGCCCGGAAGGAATGCACCGGTACAGCTCTTCGGCGGGCCTGAAAGAGAGCAAAGCTTTGAAGAAATGCGAGCATTGCATTACGCTGCTGTTGCTGAAGGGAAGCCGCAGGAGGCCATTCAAAATGCGAATAATCTGTTTGCCGCCACAGAAGCTCAGATGAAGAACATCATCAACAATTTGGATGCTGCGATTCAGTATGTGATTGATGGAGAAAATCAGCACCCAAACCGGCATGACATAGTAAATGGGAAGATTACAGCAATTTCCTCATCTAATACCCAGCCGAACCCATTTTCCCAGCAGTCTCAGTCCCAAAACCCTGTTCAGCCTTCGCCATTTGGCGGTTCGAATTCAACTCAACAACCAGGAGGACTCGGTAGCACTTTTGGGAAGCCGACAATGCTAGGCCAGCAGCAACCACAACAACCTGCTTTTGGTACGCCATCCTTCGGTACACCATCCCTTGGTGCACCAGCATTTGGCACTCCCTCCTTTGGACAGCCATCTACCATGGGAAGCTCTCCTTTTGGCCAAGTTGCTGCTTCTGCAAACCAACAACAGTCAAACCCCTTTGGAAAGCCCACCGCCTCTCCATTCTCCCAAGCTGCTCAGGCCACCAATCCGTTTGGCCAGCCACAAGCACTAGCTGCCCAAGCTCAACAAAGCTCCCCATTCGCTCAGCTTCAAAGCTCGACTCAGTCACAACCAGGCTTTGGGACAAATCCATTTGGCTCAGGCACTTCTCTAAACCAACAGCAATCAACCCCAGCGCCATTTGGACAGCCTTCTCCCTTTAAAGGTCCAGCGACTTCCGTTCAACCTCAGGCCAGCACAGTCAACGTACCACCTCCCAGTGGTCCTATTCTTCCTGTGAAAAATGCTAACCCCAACCTGAATCCTCTACCTAAAACGTCTGGACAGACAGTGCAGGACCCTATGACCAAAAAGCTCACAGTGTGGAAAGGTCTTCGGGTCCAGTATATTGATGACGAGCCATGCTACCAGCATCCAGATGATCCGCAATTTTATGCTCACATATTTTTTCCCGATGGCCCGCCAAAGGCTGATACATTCAAGTACTCAGTGGCGTCTCCAGGGGAGTATACTTCAGCTGTGGAAGAAGCTTATAAGTTCGCTCATGAAAACGGAGCATTCAAAGATGGAGTAATGCCTTCGGTACCACCTAAACCCGAATGGTCAAGATACGATATCTGAAATTTCACATGGACGAGACGGCGACATGATTGGAGTTTGGCGAAGCGGCATTTATTTACCTCATCTGTTTTGGGAGGGCCATCTATACCACATTTTCTCTATTGATTGGCGGTATAATATTGCATTGAAATACTCCTAGTCACTTTAACTCGCATACTTGCATCCGATTCAGTGAATATGGCTACGTCGGAACAAATTATGAATGTATCATATGATGTCTTTTTTGATATTCTATAACCAGGCCGACAAAGCAACGCTAGATGAGAATATATAGAATCCTCACTCTCTGCATCACGATAACAGTCGACCAAGCCTAGACTACTCAAAGTATTGACCTTCCCGACTCATTTATTGAGCAATGGTGACTTCGACCTCAACACCAGCCTCAATGTTGATAATGATCTGCTTGACGGTCTCAGTTGGAGCGTGGAGACTAGATTAACGGTTAGCGTTGAAAAAATATACGAAAAAGACACAAGGACAGTGCATACTCAATCAAACGCTTGTGGATTCTCATCTCATACTGATCCCAGGTCTTGGAACCCTCACCGTTAGGAGTCTTACGGGTAGAGATGCGAAGAGTCTTGGTTGGCAGGCGGACGGGTCCCTTGACAAAGAGAGACTTGGAGCGAGCACGGTCAATGAGCTCCTGGCAGACCTTCTCCAAAGAGGCGACCTTGCGCGAGGTCAAGGTGATACGAATCTTGTGGATTTTCTATAATGCACGCATGTATATTAGCCGATCGCGCCCTCCCATGACAGACAAGTTACGTGGTCTGCTGCCGATGCGCAACCACGGAGGATAGGAATAACGTACTGGGCCTTCGCCAAACTCCTTCTCAGGCTTCTGGTAAGACATCTTTGCTGGGGTTGAGGAGCTAAGAGTAGCTAATCTGGTTGGTTCTGCATTGCGACAATAACTCGTACGTTAGATAACAGGATTCAATTCAGTAAGAGACATGGAATCAGCACTTACAAGAATATGCTGAGGGCAAGAGCCAATCAAGACCTGAACTGTTCGAGTTCGGTAATGTGATGAAAGGCGTGTGTTTTGGTGGTGGTTGGAGTTATTTTCCTTTCCTTCCTTGACTATCGCGATCTTTTTTCTTTTTGATGTTAAAAATAATTTGTGGGTGAAGTCTTGGCATGTCGGTTAGTTGATCTAACTCCTTTAGGTCTAGCGGTTAGTGACTCATCATGACTAATACGAAGCTGAGTCATCATTTCGATGTCCCGCAGTTTTTCTAATATCAAAAAGCTGAAATCAAAGCAACAACAACACAGCAACAGCAAACTGCTGATTTGATATTTTTTGCCCTTAAAAGTAGCTGCTATCTTCTTATTAGCGGCTCTGCGGATTTTGAAGCTCAACCTGCATGATTTCTCTGGAATGGTGGAAACAACTCTACTGCCCCTGGCGCCTGTACCACCGCAGTCAGTGCACAAATTAATACCAGATGACGAATGGAGAGCATGTTCAGATGCCTGGATCAGATCAGTTGAAGCTCGCTTAAGGCTGAATGACCGGGAATTTGAACTGTCTGCTTCAAAGGATGAAGCTGCATACCTGTTCCTTACGTCATACTTCTCAGGGGGGTTGCCACGTTCACATGGACCAACATCAAAGGCAGCCAGTTTATTACAACGTCTTTGTTTCCTCTTAAGTCGGAGGATACTACTGGCCGGATCTCATGGTCCTTCACAGCTTGTGAATGTTGACTTTCTAGGGAGCCTGTGCTATTTCTATACTACTACTTTACCCCTCCGGAATTTGATGTTGGAGGTGTGGGAGAGGGATTCAGAAGTCCTGGTCACCAGCACGCATAAGGTGAAGGCAGATATAATAAGAGAGTTAACCTCGAAGGATGGGCCATATACGAAAATTGAGAGAAGATTACGACCCTTGACGCTTCTTTCATCGAATCTATGTGAGGTGGGAAGAGTTCTTATGGCTGGGGATGATTACATAGATGCAATTTTCGAGGCATTCAACAGGTCGAAGGATGAACATCTACAAAAAGCTCTAGTAGCTCATATATATGTTGGGCTTATATCATTGATGAAGGTGAATCCTCCTGCGACTTCAGCACTCCTAGATCAACTCTACGGACTAAAGAGCTCCGCAAATGTCGAGTCAAAGGGCCCTAGAACTCAGCCAACGTTACTCTCCGCCCTTCTTTGCAGTACCAACTTCATTAAACGCCTCGAGAATGTGTTAGTTGGGGACCAGCAGCAAAAGCGAGGTGATTCCCTAGTTTCTTCCCTCAAAACATACCGCTCTGAATGCCAGGCATTACACAAGTCGTATCAGCGTCCAAGGAAAGTGGATAAGGGCAAAGGGCGAGATATCTCCGCCGGCATCGAGGAGGATGTTCACGTCCATCGAATGTCACTTATCACCCAGGTCCAGGATCTATTCCCCGATCTCGGCTCAGGATACATTGTGCAACTCCTTGACTTTTACAACGATGATCTCGAAGCGACGATCTCGAACCTCATAGAGGGGACCCTTCCTGAACATCTTAAATCCCTTGATCAAGGAGCCCAACTCTCAGAACAGCAAGATATGGTTGATCTCGCGCCACGGCCTACTCCACCCCGTTCTGAGTCACCTGTTCCTGGCATTGAGCGTAAAAATGTCTTCGATAACGATGAATTTGACCGGCTGGAGATATCACCTTCGAAGCTGCATATAGGTCGTGCAAATGCCGGTCTTACTGCAGATGACCTGCTCGCTAATAAGTCTGGCTCAACAAACAAGGCCGCAATACTGGCTGCTCTTGCGGCATTTGATTCGGACGATGACGAGCGTGATGACACCTATGACTTTGCCGATGTTGGCGGAACAGTAGACACCTACCCAACAGCAACAGATGGCGATGCAGCCGAGTCCCGAGAAGGTGGTGGCATGGCAACTGAGCTGAAGCTATATGACCTTTATAAGTCCAATCCCGGAGCATTTGCACGCGACCAAAACACTCGTCGGTCTCAGCACAGAATAAGTTTGCGTAAAGAGACAGGAATGACGGACGAAGCAATTGAGGGTTGGGCATTGATGCTCTCCCGCGATCCAAAGCGAGTTACGAGGCTAGAGCGGAATGTGGCCTTGTCGGGGCTACGCGCGCACCAACAGCCCGAACTTCAACCTACGGCGTATAGGAGACCTGCCAATGAAGATGGTTCTGGAGAAGAGTCTGGAGGCCATGGCGGAGGTCGAGGACAGAGCCGTGGTCGCGGCCGGGGTGGTAGAGGAGGCGGTAGAGGCGCCAGCCGAGGGGGAGCATCGACTGCACCCGAGTCAGCGATTGAAAGACGACGGAAGGATGAAAATAAGGGCTCGAGGGCGAATCATAATAGGCGCAACCAAAGGGCGAAGAAAATGGCGAGAGGCGGTCTGTGATTCTGTGCGATTCAGCCTCCTATGTGCTCAGAGTATGACTGCTTTTATTAGAAGCATGCAGATGAAAAAGCTCTCAACCGGGGAGATGCTACGAAAATACGACTTTATGACTGCATCGAGAATAGACATAATCATAATTCATTCGCGGTGCATTTTGTTCTATAAGACGAGCAGCTATTCCATTAACATCCATTGCTGGTCTCTAAAGTGAAGCGTAAGTGAAAGACGGCATTAATATATATATAGGTATCTCCTCTCCTTCTTCATACCTAAAAAGGTTAATCCAACAAAATCTATCAACATTAAGAGTTTTCTATCCATTACTATTCATCAATCAATGGTGGTGATCCGGAAATACACCCTTTTCAGCGATTGACTTCTGGCACTCAGCTAACATTCGCGCTTGCTTAGCAATATCACCCAAATGCCCGATGACCTCTTTGTTGCCGTCGACGAATGAGAAGATGGCATATGGAATCTTGGTTTCTTCGCAGAACTCGATGACCAATTTCTGCGCACGGCGAAGGTTGTGTCTAGGGAGTCGTGGGAAGAGATGGTGTACTGCTTGAAACTGAAGGCCACCGTGGAAGAAGTCAAGCCATTGCGGGCAGTCAACATCCATAGTGGTCCTGAGCATCTTCTGTGGGAATGACTCATGGACGCCCATGTCAGAAGTAGACATGGCAAAATGCGACAGAGTGATTTGAACATGTAGCGGCGCAGTGATCATATGGCTGACCATGACGAAAAGAACCCGGCTTTGCCAGTCGGGGATGCATCTGTATAAAACCCCGTAGCCGAACCAAGCCCAGAAGAAAACGTGGCCTGCGATCTCAAGCCAACGGTGCCACCAGGCGGCACCTTTACGAGGGCCCTGGCCACGAATCAGGTGCTCCCAGCTAAGGCGGTACAAGTTAAAGCGGCCGAAACATAGAAGGGGATAATATAGGAAATGCTGGAAACGAATAAGAAACTTTGCGGCAAAGTCGTACTCCATAACACGTTCGTAGTAAGTACTCCGAAGACTATCGAACAGTCGATGTGAAACAGCAAAGAATGGCATATGCTCGATATCCGGATCGTGTTCTGGAGAATTGGTGACGATGTGATGCACGTTGTGGTTTCTCTTCCACCAGCCGATACTTAGTCCACCAATAAAATCTGCGATAAGAATTCCAATCACGGTATCAGTGTGGAAGTCGTGTGTGATCCCAAGATGGCCAGCATCATGGACGGTGAAAACTAGCTGGTGCCATGTGCATCCAAGGAAGAAACCAGAGGTACCGTACCAGCCGCAATGCAAGAAGTACAGGAACAATCCAAAGAGCAGTAGATAGCGAGATGTTTCAACAAGGTACGCTGAATAATTGCAGTTAAACAGGCCTTCATCTAGGAGGCGCTTGTATAGCTGACGGTACTTCTGCACGATACGCTCTTGCTCTGCAGCAGTAACTGGCGGGTATTTTGCCGTGTCAAAGGCAATCTCTTCCTGCGTTCGGGCATCAAGGAAGAAAGGTCTTGTTCCAGAGTCTTTCTTTTCTGGGGAAGCAGTTCCAACAGAGGATATGGATGTAGATACGGAACCTCGCCGTCTCAGGCCTGAATCTTTTTTATCGGCAGGCTCGAAAAGAGGCGAAGGGGGGATTGACTGCCCGTTACCTGATGAGTTATCATCAGATTCAATGGCGGCAGATAAATCCTGTGAGTTGTACATGGAGAAATCCCCCCCCTGGATTGGCGGTAGGAAGTTGACCCAGGCACCCTCGATTGTTCCAATCTGAAAGGACTTCATCCGTTCTTTTGCAGCCGCAGAGTGAAGCCTATATTGACGAGTTAGCCTATTGTCATTCTCCCACAATGGCTCGCCTGCGGTGCCAAAAAATGATAAAGGCTTAGACATACGCATTCATCTCATCGGTAGCATCCCTGCCAACCATATGCTGGATAGCTTTGTCACCACCAGGGTGGAATGGCAACCATGCATCCAGCTTCAGCACCCTGCCCTCGAAGATGACGATATGCCTTCCATCCGCGATCTGTTTCCCTATCTCATGTCTTGTCAAGACGGTGCTTTTGCGTGAAGTAGCCATGGCGTCGTCAGGCAGAAGCTTTCGGCGGTCTGTGAACCACAGGAGCAAAGGTTCTAAGCTTCAAAGGAGTCGTATCGAATACCTCACAGCATGCTCGACACGGAGGGAAACAAAGCTCGTAGATGAGACAGCTGAAGACCTGACACGCCACGGTCCAGAGTGGCGTGAGATGCCGCAGGAAAGGAGATGAAGTCGAGGTTCGTCTTATTTTTTTTGCGGGCGTCCCTTTTCAGCATCTCCAGTGCCAAGACATTCCCCGACCTGTGGCTTTATTTTTGCTTTTGAAACTCCAACCTCGACGTCCTTCATCTTGGATTCTACACAGAGTATTTGGATAACTAGTGGTTTTGTTTGTTTATTCGTAAGGGACCGTTTATATTAGACAGACAGTTACGTTGTCAGCCTGGAATAATAGCTGTCTGCGGTAGACTGATCATGGTGGGTTGCTTTCTCCCTTTCATGTGCGGGACATCGAAATACGAATTACCATCTACTTGCACGCTATTGGTACAAGACGGGACAACGGCTGACATGTTTGTAGGAACCACTTGATACCCTCATCCAGCGGTGGTTAGAATGGGACCAGGACCCTTCCACTCGCAGGGAGATCGAGAAGCTCCAGGCGGACAAAGATGATGCCGGCCTAGAGAAGCGCCTACGAGAGCGTGGGTGGAAGCCTTGCTAGATCAAAATATGGAGTTCCTAACAGATCTACAGGCATTCAGTTTGGGACTGCTGGCCTACGGGGTAGGATGCAAGCCGGTTTCTCATGCATGAATTCTCTTACCGTCATCCAGGCATCCCAGGGACTGGCCAAGTTTATCAAAGCAACCCACAGGGGCACAGAACAGCCGTCGGTAGTGATTGGCCGTGATGCTCGACACAACTCTGAGAAGTTCGCTTTCCTTGCAGCAAACTCCTTTGAAGCTGAAGGTATACATGTGTGGTGGTATGATGATGTTAATCCAACTCCGTTTGTGCCCTTTGCTGTTCTGCTGAAGAAGGCAGATGCCGGAGTCATGGTTACAGCTAGCCATGTAAGTTCTGCGTCTCTAATGCCGGAAGTACGAGATTTAGCTAATTGATGAATAGAACCCGGCACAAGATAATGGTATTGCCAGCTACACCCACTGATTTCTACTATCTGTTCGATTTGCTGACCTATTAAATCTAGGATACAAAGTGTTAGCAAATACCTCCTAGTAAGTGTTTTGGGTGATTATACTAACTCATCAGTTAAAGATACTTCGCAAACGGGGCCCAGATCAATTCCCCGATTGATGGCCAGATTGCAGAATCAATCAGGACCAACTTGGTTCCTTGGCCCAATGCGTGGCGCGGAATAGATGGTCCACAGACCAGAGAATCAGATTTACATGATGAAGTCTCAGCCCTTTATTGTGAAACTGTCAATCGATTCGCTGTTAGTTGCTACACAGCCCTGTCATACCTCGAGAACTTCGTTTGTACACTGACTGCCTGCAGAAATCAACCGTTGATAATTGGCGACAGCCCAGTAAATTTGTTTATACACCAATGCATGGCGTTGGTCACGCTACTATGTCTAAACTTTGCGCTTCCTTGGGCATTGACGGAATCATAACGGTTCTTGAACAGGAGCAGCCTGACCCTGACTTTTCGACAGTTAAATTCCCAAACCCAGAAGAAAATGGCGCTTTAGATCTAGCCATGAAAACGGCAGATAATTCCGGTGTAACTTTAATAGTCGCCAACGATCCAGATGCGGATCGGTTCGCTGCTGCTGAGAAGGTCAAGTACGTATTTTTCAACTTCTTCTTTTCGATGGCCCCGATTAACAGCTTTGAAGTGGTTCCTGGTTTAGGTTCACTGGAGATCATATAGGGGTTCTATTGGCATCGCATCTCCTAGATTTATGGAAGAATAAGAAGTCAGAAAAACCTATGGCTATGCTAAACTCTGCAGTGTCGTCAAACATGCTATCAAAAATGGCCGAGAAAGAAGGCTTCCATTTCGAGGAGACTTTAACTGGATTTAAGTGGATGGGGAATGTTGCCCGACAGCTTGAAGCCCGAGGCTACGAAGTACCGTTTGCGTTTGAAGAAGCTCTTGGGTACATGTTCACGAAAGTTTGCTATGACAAGGATGGACTCACCGCTGCTATGGTGTTTTTGGCAGCTGAGGCGAAATGGAAAGAACAGGGCCTGACTCCACTCGGGAAGCTTGAACAGCTCTACGAAACGTATGGTTACCATGAAAATCTCAACACTTATTTCATCTCGCCAGACACGAAAAGCACTACTTCTCTATTTGAGAGTATCCGAAAGAATACCCTTGATGCTCAGGGTACTATCGGATCATTCCCAATCCATAGATGGAGAGATATGACCAGAGGTTACGACTCAGATACTGCGGATAAACGACCAGTGCTTCCTGTAGATCCCGCGAGTCAGATGCTCACTATATGGTCACATCGAGGCATACGGTTTACAATTCGAGGCTCAGGCACGGAGCCGAAAGTTAAGAGTAAGTTATAACTAGTTAACAATTTAACCTGACCCTATAATGAAAATCACGTTGGCTAACGCATTCGACTCTTAGTTTATATCGAGAGCTGCGGTGCTTCACGCAACGACGCCGTTGAAGCAGTTTGTGACTTGCTGACGGCCGTCGTAGAAAACTGGATTAAACCATATGCTCCAGCTATGACCTATTTCAACAGTATGACAACTTCATCTGGACATATTTTGAAGCTTGCGTAAAGAAGGCAAATATCCCTCCATTTCAAAGAGTGCTAAATGCCGACGTACATAGATGTTGGCGAGGTATAACAATCGAGTGAGAAATTGTTTATTAGCTCTGTCCTACCAAATGCTAACCCGGTGGTCCCCTATACGCGAGAATAACTCTCCTCAGGCTAGAATCCCGAGGCGTACATGTGTTTTGGGGTTGTACAGGGCAAAAGTTTGCCCCAGTCTCCAAGGTGTCCTCCCTTCTTGCATACCACCTTGCACTTATTACTTAACGAAACATACTTCAGGCTTTCATCACGCTCTTTAAGCATATTGTTTTTTTAATACTTATGTTTTTATGCCCAAGCTGACTGACCACCTCAGACATGAAAGCAAACTGACCGGCATACGGGTATCTGCGCCAGATCAACCTCCTGATTACCTGATTCCGCCTACGCCTTATAAACCTCTTAAAATTGGAGTAATGAATAACTACGGTCTCACATGCCTTCTCTCCATGCATTTACGAAGAGCCTGTTTGATGTTTTAGAGCATTTAAGCCTTGGATTCCCCATTATCAATCGCAGTATCCCTACAACATTTTTTGTTAGAGCACCGAACTGTTATCGTCTAATCATCGCAATACCTCGCACCATGTCCACGTACTACGATGATGATTTCGATGACTATTACCATGAAGGAATAGATAATATCCCACATATGATGGACCAAGGTTTCTACGTTGATGTATCTGACGATGACTATACCATGGTTCTGCCTCGTCCAAAACAAAAGGTTCCTAGACAGCGATTCCAACGCCCAAGATGTAGAGTGCCTAGGTGAGTACTCAACTAAGTCTCTCCGCTTAGCTGTGAAAAATAAAAAGCTAACGTGAAATTATAGACATGAAGAGAGTTACACATATGTCTCGGACTCCGACGAAACTAATTACCGGGCAGGCGATGGCCACCATGCCATCAGGCGGTCCCGACACAGAGATCACTATCGTGGCCGACGATCAGGTCACAGTCGGAGCAGAGGTTCTAGCCGTTACGAAATTCACCACCATCACCATTACTACTGTTCCCAACACGAGAGCTCTGGGTCCAATGGTCATTTGACACAGTCAAACAATGTTCTTCAAATAGAGACCCAACCGTATCAAGGCCAGATAACTGCAGGGGTAGGAGGAGGAGCTCTCATGGCACTTAATCGACCGGCAATTGCTGCACCTGCTCGGGTTTTACCTTCAGCCATCATCCCGACTACAGCTGGACCCCAATGCGCGTGTGAGTGTTGCCATACATCTCGTGCCCATCAGGTAGATGCGTTGAATACGGTAAGGGGGCCGCAGCTCTTGGGCCAGGGAACTGTGTTGCCAGCTGGACAGCTATCGGGGCCTTTTACCCGCCCAGTCCAGATTCCTAGGCTGTTGCAGTAATGGTATCAGTCTTTATTTGTCTCTCCTTTCTCATTTCCTAGACATCTAAAACAGCCCAAAGGAATGATTGTGACACTGTAATCGAACCTATTTGCATGTTGTTGATGTGTTAACAACTTTCGGTGATTAACTATGGAACATGTCTTCATTGTAGAGAATATTTCTGTGTCTGGCAAGATCAGATTTTTTGAATGATATAGATAAACAAAGGAAACGAATATGAAAATACAGTTTTATTCTAGATTAGCTTCATGTCGGGTTTATGGTTACAGAATGGCCAAAAAAGAAAGAGTACAGTGTCGTCTGTCAGGAGAAGGATATATAGACAGTAGCATCAGGTCAAGCCAAGTAGTGTTGAGGAATGTTGATAAGGGTGTTGATAGAGGTAAAAAGGGGTCGGAGGGATGGAGAAAGATGATGGTACTCTTTGATTTTTTGGCAGGAGGCGCACGATTTATGGGATAGGCTCGTAAGGACACAAAAAGCAAAACATCAAGCTTGGTTTATGGTAAATGAAGTGCAAGGTGCCTGGTGCTTTTAATCTGAGCGGTGTAGTTATTTCGGCGAGTCAGTTTAGAAGTGGATGGCCTTGGAGTAGGTGGCCATGGCGGCTTCTTTGAAGGCCTCTGCGAGAGTTGGGTGAGCGTGGCAAGTTCGGGCAACGTCCTCTGAGCTAGCACCGTACTCGATGGCAAGGGTGGCCTCAGCAATCATCTCACCGGCGTTGGGACCGATGATGTGGACACCAAGGATGCGGTCAGTCTTTGCGTCAGCAATGAACTTGACCTGACCTTCGCTGTCGAGGTTGGTCTTAGCACGGGAGTTGGCGCTGAAGGGGAAAGATCCGACGCGGTATTCAACACCGGAGGCCTTGACCTCGGCCTCGTTCTGGCCAACCCAGGCGACTTCGGGGTAGGTGTACATGACACTTGGGATGGCGGCGTAGTTGACGTGGCCATGGCCCTTGGTGATGTATTCGACGGCAGCAACGGCTTCCTCCTCAGCCTTGTGGGCAAGCATGGGACCAAAAGTGCAGTCACCAATGACACGGATGTGCTCGGACTTGGTTCGGTATTCCTGGTCGATGACGAGTCTGCCCTTGTCGTCAATATCGATGCCGATGTTTTCGAGTCCGAGACCAGCGGTGTATGGTCGTCGACCAATGGCAACGAGAACAACGTCAGCTTCCAGGGTCTTCTCCTTTCCACCCTTGGCAGCCTCAACGTTCAAAGTAACGGTACTGCCGCTGTCGTCACCGCTGACAACCTTTGTGCCGGTCATGAACTTGATGCCCTGCTTTCCAAGGAGCTTCTGGGCCTGCTTGGAGATCTCAGCGTCCATGCCGGGACCACCGATCTGGCCGAGGAATTCGACGACGGTGACTTCAGAGCCAAGTCTAGACCAGACGGAGGCCTACAACAATGGTCGTTAGTTATAGTTTCCACATGCAAGCTTAATAGGTGGAAAACGCTATACCATCTCCAAACCAATGATTCCACCACCAATGACAACCATCTTCTTTGGAACTTCCTTCAATGAAAGAGCACCGGTGCTGGTGATAATCTTCTGCTCGTCAATGGTCAACCCGGGGAATGGGGTGGCTTCACTGCCGGTAGCAATGATGATGTTCTTGCCCTTGACAACACGCTCACCACCCTCATTGAGCTCAACCTTGACGGAGTTTTGGTCAACGAAAGAGCCGGTACCCTTGAGGTAGTCGACCTTGTTCTTCTTCAAGAGGAACTCAATTCCCTTGGTGAGACCATCGACGGAGGATTCCTTGGCCTTCATCATCTGCTCGAGGTTGAGCTTGACATCACCAACTTCGATACCGCGCTTCTTTGTGTCGTGCATGATAGTGTGGTATAGATGGGAGTTGTTGAGGAGAGACTTCGATGGGATACAGCCGACGTTAAGGCAGGTTCCGCCTAGGGTACCGCGCTTCTCGATACAGACAGTCTACACGGGCAATGTCAGAAATCAACGGTCAAGCGCGCACCCGGAGTTAAAAGAAACCACTGATCAACGTACCTTTAGACCCTCCTGACCGGCCTTGATGGCAGCAACGTAGCCAGCCACCCCGCCGCCTATTATGACCAAATCATGCTCTTCTACCGGAATAACAAGACGGCAAACGGTTAGCCTTCCCGAACAGCATCACGGACCAAACCGGAGGGTATAATCTCAGCCTTACCTGACTCTGTGGCGTATCCTCTCCTTGATCTGGGGAGAATGTAAGCCCCAAAGGCCGGGTAAGCGGTTGCGGCGGTTCGTTGGGACGGAGCCCAAGCCGTCTGAAAGGCACGGCGAGGAACGACCGTACGGAACATGATTGAGGAGAGAGAAGCTTGGAAGGAGAAAGCACTGCTTCGAGGAGGAAATAGAGGGAGCGACAGCAGTCAATTGGCAGCTCGCGAGCGCTTTGGAGGATGAAGATGGAGAGAAATGTCACGATCGTGAAGCAAAGTCGGAGGTTGAAGTCGAAGTTCTTTTTGCGTTGAAACTGCGCTGACTGCCCAAAGCGGTTAGCTCGCTGTCGGCGCCGGCGCGCGCTCTCCGTCGGCCTTTTACGGTCCGCTTAGTCATCACATATGCACGGATGTAGACGAAAGAGATAGATAGAGATGGAGGGCTAGAGGCTAGAAAGAGTGTATTTGGTCTAAAGATATACTGGTCTATAGATAAAGACGTGTTCTAGACAGATGGCTTAATCTCAGGGGAAATATTCTGGGCCTTGAGCTCGGCAAAAGTGCGCTCAGCGTCCCAGGTCCAGGGGGTGTCGGCAGCAAAGAGGAGGTCCATGTCCTCCAGCGTGCGCTGGTTGGATTCTGGATAGAGTGCCCACACCATGGGGATAGTAATGGCGTTGCTGATGGCAAAGATGTACAGCGTCTTCTCTCCAATGGCATCGAACATCACAGGGCAGAGTAGAGTCTATCATCAAGTCAGTTTAGAATAGTTAAGCTAGGGGAAAGAATTGGAAAGAGATACACGTACCAGCCATCCGTTGCCGACGCTCCAGCCTACTACACCCCATGCGTTGCCTCTAGCCCGGACTGCCAGCGGAAAGATTTCCGCAGGATAGAGCCACGGAACAGTAAGCCAAGTGGCACCAAACACCGAAGTGAAGATGAAGATCATCGATGCTGCTGCTGCACCGTATGAAGCGGCCTTGGCTCCATCTCCAGCTGCGGTAGCATCTAGGCCTATGCGTGAGAACCCGCCAGCAAGGAACATGGCAATTCCCTGGCCAACCGAGCCCCAGTAGAGAGTCCGGCGGCGACCAATGCGGTCAAGCGTGAAGACACAGATTAACGTAGCGAACTAGAAATTAAGTCAGTAAACAAACATTGTTATAGATTAAGAAGTAAAACATACCATATAAAATATATTGTTCAAACCGCTGATCCACTGACTCTTGATGGCGTCGAAGCCTGCAATGCGGAATATGGTAGGAGCATCTTCTCTTGTTAATCGTTGCTGAATTGATACGGAGTTCTCCAGGTGGACATACAGATGGTAACGCCAGCTATGCCAACCCATTCCTGCATGATCTGCAGCCAGACAACCAAATGAACACGCCGTCCAATATGCAGTTTCCCTGACCCACGCCCAGTAAACATAGACAAGTACGAGGTGCTGTACGTCTCCTCAAGTGCAGCAACTTGTTTGATACCGTTGAATTCTGCATCCGCGCGTGCGATGTCCTCTTCACTTTCAGTCCCTCGGAGCTTGCTCAGGATGTAGCGGGCCTCTTCATACCGGCCCTTCTTGACCAACCATCTGGGAGACTCGGGGAAGAACCAGACAATGCCAAACAGGAGAAGCAGAGGCAGGATCTGGAAGGCGATTGGGAAGCGCCAGCGGAAAGCAGTCGCACCATCGTCAATGAATGCAAGGCCACTATAAGTTTTGGTTAACAACAAAGTCCCATGGTGAAAGGTAGATAAGCGGGAGACATACAACTCTAGCCAATAGGCCACGACAACGCCGAAGATGTTAAGAGTGAACTCAATTGCAATGAATTGACCGCGAGACTTGTGTTCTGCCGTTTCTGTGGCCCATACCGGCACAATCGCATTCAATATGCCCGTACCTATACCATTTATCAACCGGGCTGCATGCCGACGTTAGCTCGTAAAGCATCCATCAACCGAGGACACGCGACCAAACCTACCAAAAATCATCCAGACGTGATTTTGGGCAGAACACTGCAATGCAGCTCCAATGATTCCCCAAACAGCACCCAGGGCGATGGATCTGATGCGTCCCAGTCTATCCCCAATCATTCCACCAGCAAGTGCCCCTACCAAAGTGCCGAGGTAATACACCGACACAATCCCACCCTGAAGCAAGCTGTCAGTAATGACGGGGCTGTTCTTCGACCCGTTGACGGCCTCCGTATGCCCAAAGCCCATGAGCTCAATGTAGTGTTTGGCGTTGTTCACGCCCCCCATCATGCCCTGGTCATAGCCAAAGAAGAAAATGGATAGAGCAGCTACGCTGTTGATCGCAATCAGCAGCGAGCGCTTCTCGAGCCGGTGGGTAATATTCCACCGGTGAATCCTTTGTGTCATTGTGACGTATATAGTCCTGAATGAATACCTTTGAGGCGAGCGAGAGGTAGAAGACAATGCGTGGACCTGGAGACAATATATGTATAGCCGTCTTGGACTTTGCCATCAGCTCCCATGGATGGTGGATCGGCTGGAACCTGCCATCCATCGATATCACAAGTATTGTAGCAGCTCGGCACTGATACATGTCTCGTCATTATTTGGTCCGCAGTGGAGAACCGACCCAGGGAAAAATGTGAGCCTATTTGTCGGGGGCTCAGTGTGCCGATTATCATTGCGTCAACAATGTGACTCCGCTTGCCGGCATCCCTACACTTCGGTATCATGGAGGTGTCATATAACTATCAAAACCGCTTAAGGATCTGCCTCTGACAGCAGATGCTACCGACGTCTTGATATGCTTAAGCGAGAAAGAAGAAACAAAAAAAGAAAAACGTCTGGGATTTTCGCCTCATTGGCGGCTCCAAGGAACGCCAAGAACATTAGTCATTTGGCCGGGAGCTATGCCTTTTCTGTCATTAACGCTGAAGAAGTAGCTTAGTCATATTGATTTAAGTCACGTGCTTACGCAATAGCAGATATCTTAAGGGCGGCCTCTGATTGGCTATAATGACGACAAGCTTACAAATCGCGACGCGACGGAAGGCGACGACGATAAAAGGGACGAAGAAACCTCCTGCATCTCGAGCATCTAGAGCATCTCGACAAGTTTCTTGCAATCATATATCCAGCTAAACCAGACGTACAGCTGCGAAGAGAGAAGCAAGAATGACCGCCGCAGTAAGCACGAGGCCAAAGCGGAAGCTCTCGGCTTCAGGATCTCGAACGACCTTTGGGTTGCAGAAGAAGATAATCCTCTCGTCAGCCTCTATGATATCCCAGAAGCCAACTACAGCGGCTGAAGAGGACCCAGAATTTCTCCGCAAGCAGCTGGACCGCATCTCCTCGCACCCATCGCTCACTCCTTACAGACGACGGGTCTACCGAACTCTGCTCTCCGTGCCCAAGGGCCAGTGGACGACCTATGCAATGCTCTCTGCCCACCTATCCTCCTCCGCAAGGGCGATAGGGAATGCAATGAAGACCAATCCTTTTGCACCCGAGGTTCCCTGTCATCGCGTGCTGGCGTCGAATCGCACCATCGGCGGGTATAAGGGCAGCTGGGGTAATGGCGGCTCTTATGCTGTGGAAAAGACGAAGCTGCTGCGTGGTGAAGGGGTGGTTTTTGATGCGAAAGGGAGGGCAGGCGGAGAGATTTTTACTAAGTTTACCGACATGGGCGAGGTGATGGAGAGGAAGGAGTCATGATGTGGGTTTATTCCCTTGTCTTTGCGATATCACGATATGATACATGGATTGACATGACATAATGTTGACAGAACGTAGCAGTGGCCATTGATGAGAGAGAAATGAGGATACACTTAGTGAATTGACTGATCATCAGCCCAGGAGCCTATGCCCTTAAGATCCTCCTGAACCATATTTTTGTACCTGGGAGTGGAATTTTCCTGCTTCGTGGTGCTGTCGTCGTGGGCGTGGGTGTTGCTAGGAAGACTACCGGCATGCGCATGGATGGAAGACTTGGAAGGAGTGTCATTGCCAACCTCGTTCGAGGATGGAGGCGGTTCAAAGGTCGGACCCGGTGTGAACGTTCCTGCAGGCCAAAAATAATGAGACGCTGTCTACAGTTTGAGAAATGTGAAGGGGTACAAAGGGCTAATACCGTTCATGCTGACCAGGTGTATGTAAGTGGACATGCTTGAGAGTAGTTGGGCTACCGTCACAGTGCACAGGATTGAAGAGCAAAGGCTTACCCATCGTAGCTAGCAAGGGAGGGAGATAGGCGGTTTTTTAACTACGTCTCCACTGCAACTACAACCTACTACAACCTACTACAACCTACACAGCACTGGTGCAGGTATCTTACTCTCCCCCATTACTTGCTTCCTATCGTTTCCAATGAATTTCTAAAAATGGAAAAAAGGTATAAAAAAAGAACCCAGAACGGATCCCTCCGTCAGGGATTCCCGCATCCTTGGCGAAAAAAAAAAAAAAAAATAAACATGAACGACCGCCAGTGAACTCGCAGTTTCAGAGCGAGATGGGCGCCTGCATGGAACATTCTCTGACACGCAGCCCCAGACCAACAAGCACAGTCCGCTGAGGATATTCAACTTCCTCAAACTGATCTTACCTGGAAGTTTCCCTTCGTCAATTCTCCCATTTTCCGTTTTCGGAACATATACTACTGTCTCGCTGCTCTCTGCCGTCATCTAAATTTATATCCAATGTCCGCGTTTCAGTCTATGTACTCTGTCTGGCAAGACAATTGCCAGTTCGTTTGCTGAGTTTGCGCAGACAGGGACAGCCTTGAGCCGGGTAACAAGGCCACTAAGGAGGGCTATTGGAGCCAGCAGCGAGAGACGCTAACAAAAAATCAAGATTACTGGTTACAGTAGACCCAGAAAGAAGTTGAGGAAGCAGTAGAAAGCTTTACTGCTTGAATTGAACGCTTATGTGCTCAAAAGCAGATAACTTCATATCTTGTACCATAGAACATAGGAGTAGGCTTGGTTTAACTCTTGAGTCCGCACTCTGTTATTGTCATCTCAAGTGTGCATTTCGTTAAAGTAGGCCACGGACTCGAGAATCAGCCATTAAGGTGTTGAATAGCCAGAAGATTTTGAGAATTATCGAAGGGTAAACCCATAATTTTGGCCGATTGGGTTATGAAGTGTGCCTTTCCCATGTGATGGTGCAGGGGATTGCTATGAAGGGCTATTTTCTTGCAACTAACTTAGAGATTCTTCGCCGTTTCAATCATGATTCCCTTGGAATTCATCTTTGGCGGCATCCGGGGGGATTTCCAACGTCGCGATTATCCCCCATGCAGGTTCTTGCTTGCCCAGTCCCGAATTGGCTGCTTGCCACTGGAAGACATTTGCCGTGCGAGTCGCGCCTTTAGCTGCACCAGGTTGTGTGTCGGGTATCTCACGCGTATGATCAGAAAGGTCGAAATGAAACCCAGTCTTCTGAAGATCGGGACTGGGATTTTGGATAAACTGTCCCTCCTGCAGAAGCGACAGGGTGGGTTAATTTGCGGCAGACAAGTTCCGATCAGAAGCTCTGTGAAAGCATCAAAGAACAGTTGATTAACCTACCTAATACAGGTCCGAGGGAAAGGCGATATATTGGGACGAAGGTCAACAGGAAAGCAGGACTTTTCTACTGGATGCCCTCTTTAAACCATCCATTGCAAACCAGGACCCTACTATCTTCATACCCTTTCTTGTCATTTTTCGACTCTGCATGCTCCCCCGTTTCATCACCCTTGGGCGTCGTCCCTTTCCAGCTGGCCGCACTCTTATAAATCAAGTCACTATGTGCCTATCCACAACCTCAAGAGATGCCTCCTCTGCAGAGCCAGAGTCGTTCTTTCGCAACACCTCTAGGCGATGGATGTGAGTTTCTGCATGCTTCGTGGCATAATTTACTACTAACTGATTTTTCTTTGAATAGTTGCAACGAAGATGCCAGGTTTCAAGAGCACTACGTAAAATTCAATATCACCGAGTTGCAACACAAAGCAGTGGAAACTGTCAACCGGCCGTACTGCTCCCAAATTATAAAAATGGCTGAAGGGGGATTTAATAAGGTATTCCTCTTAACAATGGATGATGGCAGTGAAGTTGTCGCCCGTATTCCAACTCCTATTGCTGGGCCTCGGGGTTTGACGACTGCCAGCGAAGTTGCTACAATGCGGTTCCTCCGAGAGACTTTACACATACCTGTGCCCCGGGTTCTTACCTACTCTCCAACTTCAGACAACCCGGTAGGAGCTGAATATATTTTAATGAAACGGCTTCGAGGTGAAGCTCTTGGTCCGAAATGGCTTTCCCTTTCAAAACCGACATGGTCGACTTGATGACGCAGATAGCGCGTATCGAAAAGAAGATATTCAACTTTAAATTTCCAGCATACGGGAGCCTATACCACGGACATGATATACCCAAAGAGTCAAGAGTGGATTTCGAGGTGGATGGAGGGGACTTCTGCATCGGGCCTATCTGCAAACGCCAGTTCTGGCACGGTGAAAGGGCGGACATGGAACTCGACCGTGGCCCTTGTAAGCTAACACACCCCACATTCCCCTTTTGTGGCTGTGTGCATGATATTAACTCGCTTATAGGGACTAGTCCTGCTGACTGTGTTTCTGCTCCCGCTCGTCGAGAACTCGCCTGTACATCGACATTTGGAAAACCAAGACCTAGAAGAGCCTTTCTCCTACCAACTGAAGAAAACATCGATCCTAGGGAACATATCTCACTCCTTTCGCAGTATCTACAGGTTGCCCCGTTCCCAGTCCCAGCCCAGCAAGAGATGGCAACACCAATACTACGCCATCCTGATCTCAGCTTCCCTAATATTCTCCTTACCCCTGGAACAAATAAGATAGAAGGGATACTCGACTGGCAGGATGCGTCCATTCTTCCACTTTTCATGCAGGCAGGCTACCCTGCATTTTGTGAACACAATTATTCCCAAGTCCAGTCTTTAAAGGAGCCAAATCTTCCTGATAATTACGGGGAATTGAATGATGTGGATAGAATGAAGACGGATATAAAACTTCAATTAGAAAAGGCCAACCTATACTACTATGCTGCGACTGGGCTTGGGATGATACAGTATCTTATATCCCACGCTGGCTATCCTTGGGATGCTGATCTAATAAACTTCAGGGCGGGCCTAGTTGGACTGACAAAGATCTGGGATGGATTGATATCCGATCCTTGCCCGATATCTTTTTCTCCAGACGATGATAAGGCAATATTAAATGATGCGACTGAATGGAGGGAGTGTGAAGAGATACTTTTGAACATTCAAGAGAATATTGGAGTCGATCGCGAGGGTGGCACGCATCCAGACGATTTTGAGCATGTCTACGAAATGGCTCAGCGACTACGATTGCAGATATATGCCAATGCAGAAGAGAAACTACGCAAGTTGTTTTGGAAATCTTGGATATTTAAGGATGATGGTGATAACTCCCCCCCCCCCCCAGCAGCTGAGATACCCAACAATGAACACACGCAAGGAGTTTACTTCGTATTTCTCGGCAAATGATAAAAAGCCTCTGGTTCGTAAGGAGGAAGATGATGACTCTAACTCTGATTCGGGGAATAGTGTCTATAGTGATGCCTATGAAGATCTCTCGGGACATGGAGGGCGATGGGTTTTGGTTCTATTGATCGCGATAGTCGATATGATCAATACCATCCATGCCGGAGCCATAGGCAGTCCCAGTGTCACGCATTCGT